CTACAAGTGCTCAGGGAGCAACTCGTCGCGACCGGGCAGGGGTAGCAGAACTTCTTAGGGTGGAATCACGCAGCACGCAAATTGTACAAAACAATCTAAAATGAGAGTGATTCACAGTCCGGGGGAAAGCTCCCTAATACAAAGAAACAACGTGCTACTTATACTGTCTACGACGATGCTTAGTAAAGTCCTGTACAACTGCATAGTAGCTACGCTATCTAAGATTGGTCGCCTTTTAGGGTAATGAAAAGTTGAACGATCGGACAGGACCTGAGTGATCAGGACCCCGCCCCATAGTCCATATGGTACTTTTGATGTGGGTCAACCCACTGCGTCATACTTTTGGAATACAACATGCTGGATTGGCCAACTGGTATGTCTTGGCGGGTGAGTCCAACGTGGGTGCCCCAAGAAGCCGTATAGTCCTAGGCACGCCAGACGTTCCTCACATGGTTCAGTTCACGGATCTAGCCGTGTTGATCTTAGTGTGTTTGGGAATGGGCGTGACTCGCTGTGACACCTTGGAAGTGTCACTGCGACGTGTCCACAATGTCCCGTGATCAAATGGATCCTGACATGTGATGAGTTGTCGCCATGGCATGATCTGAGGAAACGTCCAACCCAAAACCGGGAGTTGCCGCGACAAGATTGGTTCAATCTCGTAACGCCAAGTCCTGTCCAGTAGTAGTTGTAATATTGAGAACGTCGTGTGTTGCTCAGCCCTTCAGCCCAAGTTCCTATCTGCAGAGAATGACCCTTTTGGAGAGTCGCCACAACAAAGATCCCTTTTTGGGGAATTGTCACGGTCCAAGCGTTCATCACTAATAGCCCTGAGCCTGGTGTAGACTTATAAGACCAATTCCACAGTAGTGGTCTTACTGCCTTGCTATCATCGATACTATCCACAGTTGTCGACTGGGCAGTAGACCCTTAAGTCCTACTGAGCGCAACACTGTCAGCCGCGACAGAATACACCAAGTGGTTCGAGAGTAAACTCTGTAAAAGCGCAAAAATACGCCCTTATAGAGCTGGTGCAGAGCGCGTCTGGTAGCCAGCCTATCAGCGCTCAGCATTATGATGTGTTTGTATGATTGAGCAGACATAGGAAATTTTCTGATTGTTTCATGGCCCTCAGTCTTACCACTGTCTGGTGTGACTGAGGGTACGTGGTCCTTACATTCCATTTATGTCTAGATACTTACACGTCCTGTAGACTGACTGGGTCACTTGTCTACAGGTATATAATGAGTCTTACCACTGTCTGGTGTGACTGAGGACTGACTGGGTCACTTGTCTACAGGTATATAATGAGTCTTACCACTGTCTGGTGTGACTGAGGACTGACTGGGTCACTCGTCTACACTGGTTGCTATTCTACAACATAATGGAAATAGTGTGTAGACTTCCCCTTGGCCCTTGATTCATTGACAACAGGACCTTTGACAGGTTGGGCTTCTTACAGAGAGTTCATGCTCCTAGAGTGGCCTGATTTGTACTAAATATAGTACCAAAGACACTTGAATCTTCCCGTCCCATTAACCCATGCATAGCTGTAGAGGGGAAGACTTCATGCAAAAGCTTGCATAGTCTGTATGGCTAAAACTCGCATCAACTTAGTTGCTTCTTCACACTGACCAGGCTGCTACTCTTGATTCTTCCACATCAAACCAGCAATTTCCATCTATCTGTACTAGATCAATGTTGACAGAGATGAATTGTAGTACAGATACAAGGAAGGGTCGTGACTGTATGTATGCATGCGTGATATTACGATAGAATCTAAGCATTAACACAAGCAAGCGGGACCTCAAAGTCATCGGTCCGGATGCCGAGACCCCAAGGAGTACGGAGGATCACCTCGGCATCAGGTCCGAGTCCGCGAGAGGAGAATCCCTTCCAGAGCGTGCAGAAGTTCTCTCCGCCAGTCAGCATCTGGTCAGCGAGCAGGATGGCATCGCGGGCAGCGAAGAAGCCCGGACGGCAAGGCTGCAACTTCATGGCGTCGAGGACAAGCCTAGAATGCGTCAGCAAAGACAAAGAGAAAATGGGACAAACACGCACTGGACGATGAGCGTGTTGCCGTGCTTGGGGACCAAAGGCTTCTTGCCAGAACGGGGACGGTAGAAGTCGCCTTCCGGAATGGTGCCGTTCTCGAGAGCCTTGGGAGGATAGAGCGTGTCGGAGAAGCCGTGTTTCTCGATGAGGCCTTGCGACACTACCCACAGCATCTGGGCCCAAACTTCACCGATGGCATGAACACCAAAGTAGCCAGGCTTGTCAAGGGTCTTGTACGTCGATGGATTAATGGTGTCGTTCTGCCGGTACAGTCAGAAAGACAGTCTAGGCAAGGAGTGAAGTACACACCAGAGAGTACGGGTAGTTGCGGATCCCGGAAACACGGTTGGCAGCCCAAGAGCCCATCGCATAGTCGGAGTAGTTGGACGTGCTGCGGATGGTAGTGGCTAAGAAGTCGCCCCAGCCTTCACCCATGCCACCGCTCTCGCCGAATGGCAAGCAGCCAGAGTTCATGGGCCCACCGGTCAAACGAGTGCTGAGACCATGGCTGTATTCGTGGATGACAATGCCGGCCTCGAAGTCACCATCACGGTAAGGAATGGCGGTGTTCCAAACATACATACGCATGCGACCGTTCTGACCGTCGGGAGGAGTCATGAAGTTGGCGTTGTTGAATCCAGATCCATCCTGAGCATTGGCGATGACAGCATCGTTGCCCTGACCGCCACGACCGAAGTTGTACTGCTGGAAATTGCCAGAGACCTCGTCAAAGCCGTATCGGTAGTACAAGTCATGAATCATGTTGTTGGTGTAGAACAGCTGGGCGACAGTCGCATTGATGTACTTCTGCGCTTCTTCCAGGGCGTCGCTCGAGGGAGTCTCTTGCGGATTATACTTGTAGTCGAATGATTTGCCAACGCCAGCATCGGGGCGGAAGTTGTTGACGTAAGCGTTCTGACCCTCCCAATTCTCTTGAGCGAATACCTAGAGCAGAATGTCAAGAGCGGGCGTTGTATATAATCGGCAACTAACGTTGTTCCCCCAGGTGTTAGTGGTATTGCGATAAAATTCCTTAGAAGTCCTCTTGATACCAGCGAGCGAGGGGTCGTTCGCAAACGGAAGACTGTGCCATCCTACAGGCGACGCCAGAGAGTCGAAGTTCTCCTTCTCGATGGTCCGCTTGCCCTCAGCCGGGTCATTGATTCCCCACGCGAAGACGTTGTAGGTTGCCTCAGCCTCAGGCGTAGGAATCGGGACGGGCGCGTCCGAAGCCCAGTCGACAACAGACACAATGCGGTGAGGGGCCAAAGCGGAGACAGCCGCCTCGTACCAGTTGTCTTGCATCTCAACCTCGAACTGAGGAAAGTGAGTCACCCGCAAGGCACTATTTCTGGTGGTAGCTCACCTTCCAGACAAGACTGAGCTTGACGGAATCGTCCTTGCCGGGAACTTGAACGTAAGCCAATTTGGCCTTGACGGGATTCACGGTGTCAGGAACGTTGGTAACCATAACATACTCGGATTCCTCCGAAGGAGCGAAATGGTTGATATCGGTGTACTCAACCATCTTGCTGACATGATCATCAAAGTTGCCGAGAATATCGTTAACGACCTCGTCGTTCGGGGTAGCGGCAACCATGAACTGGAGCAGGGCCGAGCGAAGATCTAATTCTCCGAGGGACTTGGCAGCCATCTCGAGCGGAAGACCTTGGAAACGGCAGTTCGAGTGATGCAGATGAGTCAGGTGCTTCATGGCATGACGGTCGACCTGTCCTGACGGCAAGTCACCGAAAACAACCTGGCCATCATGGGATTGCACAGAGGCCCTGTAATGGGTCTCGAGAGAGTTGGTGATACTCTCGCAAAACTCCTCATGCGGGTGACGGAGGTCCTCATTGAGAGCGTTCTGGCCCGAGTAGGAGGGAACGGGACCAGGGAAGAACTGAAAGAATACGTTCGTGACCTCCATATCATATACGAGATGAATTGCGTACCGAGTTGCCATACGACAACACAACACCGTCCTTGATGTTGAGATTCATGTCACCGTCGGACACCTCCAACCCGTTCACCACCTGTCGCACGTACACGTGGGTGATACCGGTATTCGAATCCGTATATGAGTCCTTGCGAATCCGGTACGTGCTAGACTCTGACAGCTTGTCCCCGAGGAGGTCCTGGACGAATGCCCGAGCGACGACATAAGGGTCGGTGTCGTGAGACATGGCCGCAAAGCCGTTGGTGATAATTTGATAAGGAGTGGAACGATATACGGCATGCTTGTGGACTGGTCCGAACCCGAGAGACTTGCGTTGCCGGCCAGAGGCGTCGCTCACACGATGAGCGGCGACACCAGCGGCAAGCAGCGACGCGATGAGCAAACAACGCATCTTAGGATGACTGTGAGGTGATAGTCAAGCGCACAAGGTGGCCTAACAAGTGTAGTGGTGAGAGTAGAGTGTGGGGACGGGTAGTGGGGAGAGGAGAGTCAGAGCGAGAGCTGCTAGATAAGGAAACCGGTCTCCGTGTTTGTCATTGTTGTCGCAATGCTGAGCGGCGGACGTCCCAGACATTCCCAGTCAATGCGTGGGAGAGCTCGGAGGAAGCGACCCTAGAATCTCTCCTTATCGTTGTCTTCCGGGTACTACCCCATAGGATATGGCAGGTCGTGCGCACAATGCCAGACAGCCTCATTGAAGCAGCGTCTAGTAGCGTGTAGACAGCGAACCCGGCAGACGCGTCAGCGAGCACGTGTCATCTAGGCTGACGCGTCCTAAAACGCATGGTGCGCGTTTTTGGTTAGGTACAACCAGCGGACCAAGACCGGAGCTACATTTTGATGAACTCCGTGTGGCGTGAAGCTCAAATCCGGGCCTTTCTCCGAGTCCTTATCTATCCTCCTCCGTTCAGCGGCTGGCTCAGAAGAGACACTGACAAGTCACGAGCGACTATCTCGTCACGTGCCATCAATCGTGAGACGCAACCTGAAACACCCACTCAAAGATACATACTCTGCTCCTATTGCGTGAAAGCGCGAACCTGCGATGGCTTCCTGCGATGGCGAAGCTCAGCCGTATAGAGATCTCTCCTACTCCAGACTATCGGAATCTGGCTGCCTAGGACAGCTAAACTCTCAGACTCGGACCTTGGTCGCCGACCCTTGACAGTCTTGGACAGCACTCAGTATCTCCCTCGAGTTTTACCCAAGCCACCGCTCGATCCGCACCTGTATACATCACATGCGAGAAACGGTATCGCGCTCGATGGGATTGGGCACCATACTCAATATCGGCGAGGTCACAGGCAATCCTAATCATACCCCGCTATTCAGCAGTGCCTGCCATGAGCTCCTTCAAACCATGCTAACGATCGTTCATACGCGTATGGCTCATATACGACCAGCTCGGACTTTCGAGGTCACGGTTTTCCATATATCAGGCCGTTGGGGATGACATCGTCGAGCGCGGGGACTTTGGGGTCAAGGCCTTTTTGGGGCCGCAAGGACTGGCAAATGGGCGATAAACTTGCGTGTGCAGCATTTCCCCAAGCCAAATGGCGGCAATGGTAATGAGGCATGTTAAATAAATGATAATCGTGACAAAACACCTGGGCCGTCAAGAAATGGACTCCAAATGACTGGCATATCGTGACTCTGCCCAAGCCTTCGCCCTCCCCTTGCGGGCCACCGCTGGATCCTCTGAGCCTGATTCCGTATCCGATTCGTCACTGTCACCGTAATTTGCGAGAGCCCCCAGTCCCGCGGTCTCCGAGTCCATGCCTTTCCTCGCCCCATCGTCACATCGCATTCTTGCCTTGAGCTTGATCAAGGACCACGCATTCTTCCATCGACCACGTAAAAAAGCAAACCGACCGTCTGTACCGTGATTTGCAAGAATGCGCATCTCCAATTGAGCCACGTTGTCCGAGGAAGCTAGACTGCCGGCAGTGCGCTCCATCAGAACTATTTGATTTTCGTCCGGCTTGAAGACGGATGGGTATTGACCACGTCAAAGATGTATGGGACAGCGACCCACCTCCTCACCGTCACCACCCCATGGATCTTCCTCCAAGGACGCCCGGGCTGATTCTTCATCCTCTCGTTCACGCGCTCTCACTCGTTCGTCCCGGACCCGGTTGATGAGAACTTGCTGTTTTTCTCGTTGATAGTCGGCTTTCTTTTCGGGTGAGAAGAAAAAGGTGTCCTCCGTGTCAGAAGGGAGATCGGACCACCCAGAGGGCGAAAGTGAACGCGGTATTTCTTCAGCAGAAACGCCTTTGTTTGGCAGTGTATCAAGTAAGAACAGCGCGTCGTATCTGAGGAACATAAGAACGACCATCTGGGGCAGTAAATGAAGGAGGAAAGCGAACCGGGACACTCATATGTTACAGATTCATAGACGTGGGCAAAAGCGTGCCTTTTCAGGCAGAGAGGACATACCTGTCGGCCCAAATCAATGGCCTGCCTCGTTCAGGCGCGTGGCCAGCGGCGAAATCATCGTCGACATGCGCAGTCGGCCTGGAAAGCGAATCCAAGCTAGTCCATTGTATGAGGGCAGATTGAGTTCCTTCCCGACTCGGTTGTTCTAACGATTGTGCTGCATGGCGCGCCCTTGCTCCTCTGACGACGTCGGCTTCGAATGCAAGAATGTATAGGTTAGGATCTAAAGCCTCGCCGTCCCGAGACGCATCTCCACAGGCAGACTGAAAGGTCTTTCTCTTTTCACGATACTTTCTCTTCTTCGAGGACATTGAAGAAGCCTTGTGATGGAGACACAGGAAGTAAGAGAAGAAAGATGAAGCCGATGAAGCAGGATGAAGCTGAGCATCTCCACAGCCACCTGTCATGGTGTCATCATCGCGACCACATGCAAACACTTGACTTACCTTCCGCTCTTATCTCGACTCCGTCCTCAATAACATATCTAATTCCATATGTGCGTCCAAAAACCCTTCGTCGCATGCATTTCCCATGCCTCACGTTGTCGGTTCATAGTCTCGATGCTCAGCTCCGCTGAACCCTATCGCAGTCTTCTCTGTTCTGCTTGATCCTCGACGAATCGTCGTGTCGCACTTCTAGCCCCGAAACTTCCGTCGGCTTCAATACAGCAAGAAAATTCACGAGTTTTTATCATTTCTGACGTGCGTCTGGCGCGGGGACAACTGTGTTTCCCTCCCGCTGTTGCGGCGTGCAAAGCTGGAACCGTTCGGCATGTCTCGCGCGAACTCGGACCAGGACATCTCCGATGATGATCATGACATCATATACACTCGTAACACCCGGGCTTCAAGGGTAACACTGAGGACACGCCTTTTCGGCCGGATGAAGGCGGATACGATTTCGACTGCCCCGGAGATGTGTGGAGCTGGGGAGACTGAAACGGAGTGGGATGAGCCTGTGAGTTCACCTTCGTCATTTTCGTGACCGTCCGCGCACTTTCCACGGAGCATTGGTTACTTCGAGATGTGTTTATTTTTGTCGAACTTCCCAGACTCATCACGCCTTCGGCATGTCAGATTGAAGGATATGTCGTATACTAAACAGTTCACTCAGTCGCGCCATCTTCCAACTTCACGTGTCCGGCCTGCCTCGATACCCATCGTACCTCCGACAACATTAGAGCAGCGGTTGACTCCTCTGTTGTTCGAATTCTCTCGTCTGCTTTCTGTCGTTCCTGCTCTGCTGGGAGTATTGTACAACTGTTATCATGTTTATCATCCACCATCCGGTCTCCGGGCACCGGAACGCATCGACTTTCTAGTGTCTGTCCTGTGGGTGAGCCTGTTTGTCTTCGACGCGTTGAAACTAAACGTAACTGAATCATGCAAGGCTATGCTCACTGGGTACCAGTGCTTGGCGTTGACCACTGGCCTCTTGACTCGTTGGCGTGTCTACTATCCGCCTCTGGCGACACTCATCCGCCTGCTCGCCTTGCAAGGAATTTGTTGGCCCGCGACTCATGCAAGCCTCTCAGTTCTAGACCACACTCGTCGTCCCGCCGCCGTTTGGGCAGCCATCGGCACAACAACTTGTGTCAGTCGCAGTGTACAGATCTGGGTCACGAGTAATCTATGGTGGGAAACAAAGGAGATCAGCAGCGGAGCTAAGACCAGTAAAGCGACTGGCTCCGGTGTGGGCGGATGGCGCCGCTTCGGCGGCAGATGGGGCGGAAGAAGATGGGATTGGCGCGAAGTGGCGCTGCAATGCATGTTTCCGGCCGGTGTGCTCTATTTTGTCATGGCTTGGGCAGAGCAGTTGAGGAGAGAGTGGTCACAGTGTTGATTCAATTCGGAATATCGCTTTGTATATCTTGCCGCTTTCTCTGTTCCTTTCTCTTTCTGCTGGATGTGCAAGATTATTGTTGAGGATAGTTCTCAGCAGATACCGATAAAATTGGTCAGTAATCGATTGTTGCAAACGTGACCAAATGCATTTGCGGTCAGATGCTTCCACTCGCTTGCCATCCAGCTCTCGGCAGCGCAACCATCTCTCCTTTCTAACACCGCTCATTATCAGTAATAACCTTGGAACTGCGCAAACTCAAATCCTGGACTTGGCACGATAGCACGCAAGGATGGCCTCGGACTCGTCGGCTTCTACCACGCCTCTAATCTTAACACCGGACTCGACGGGAATTGTTGAAGCCGATCCTTCTGGTAATTCCTCGACGCAGCTCAGGAAGTCCCGACGACAAACCGCGTTCTATCCTCATGTCAATTCGTCGAACAAGACACAGAAGCCGTTCAGCCGGAGCGCTGCGAAGCGGGAGAGTGTGATGGCGTTGGGAAGCATTGAGCATCTGCAGCATTATTTCACGAAGACTGGCATTGAAGCGAAGAAGAGGTGAGCAAGTCTCTCTTTGCTTTCATGCTTCTCGTCCGGGCATGACCGTCGGAGTCGATCTCCGTTCATTTGTGAACTGCGCAGTCGAATGGCGGAACTTACATTGCTCATGCTCCGCATCCTACCGGTATGACCTTGCAACTTACCGAGTTGTAGTTCGAAAGCAGGGAAGGGAATCCACGGCCTAGTCCCCGTTTTCGGAGGTCTTACGCATGGGCGCACGGATTCTGTCGAGTCAGCTTATGCGGACCTGCCTCCCTCTCCGGTTATTCCTCAGCCCCCAGTCCAGGCCTTTCCTCCCTATGTCAAAACATACGAGATGGATCCGGAGTCTCTTCTGCCCGGCGTCATTGATGACCTGTCGGATGTCGCCTTTGCGTGGAATATCGACCAAACTGCCCCCCAAACCAAATCCTTCGCTCTGCTATCCGTGGGCAGCTCCTCGAACTACGTCGACGTGCTCAAAGTGTTACAAACGACGACCCGGGCCATCCGCTCTGTCCGTAACTATCTCTTGTCGCTACCAGACGAGTCCGCGGGAACGATCAGGGCACAATTCCGATCGCGGCATCTACCGGGGAGTTTCCGTCCGGCCATGTCGTCCAGTCTCGCGTCTTCGCGGTCGATCACCGATCTGAGGGCTGCAGCTGCAGCTGCCAAAGAGAAAGAGAAAGAGAAAGAGAAAGATCCGCTTTCGCTCATTCGGCGCGCAGCATTGGAGGTCCTTACGGTCCTGCGGGATCTGGAGGAGCGCTGCCGGCTGCCGCTGAGTGACGATGCATATGACGCACAGAGCGACCGAGGCTCCAGGGGTGGGCACTCGCGCATTGCTAGTCCTAGCATGCTTTCCGATGTGCCCTTACCGGATGGGGGATCATCATTTGACCATGATGAACACCACGACCACGATGGTAATGTTGCCTTTTCGCTGGTGCAGGTCAACGGGAGGTTCGAGAGCGTGCCGGTTTGGGAGGATGAGGACAGCGTTGTATGGGACGACGAGGACGACAACAAGGTCAAAAAGGAAGGCTGGGACGAGAAACTGGTTCTGGGCAGCGGCTGGCTCTATCGACAGGACGTAACTTTGGAGGCTCTCGGCCGGGAGCGGGGTATGGTGTCTGCATATCTGGACGTCGTTGACGAAGTCATCTTCGAGGGCAAGAAAGCCGAGAACGAACGAGGTTGGGCACGAGAGCGTCGCAAGGCTTCCGAAAAGGGCAGTGTCAGGTCTCGCAGCAGAGACACACGGAGGGCCAATTCGAGTGACGACGGCAGTGTCTTTACGTCCAACTCCGCAGAAAAAGCCAAACGCCGTGTCTCGATGGGCATGTTCGAGATGATGAGTGCGCTCAAGGTGACAGCGGAACCCGGGCAGATTGATGAAATTGACGAGGAGAGCGACGGCACCGAGGAGAGCGTGGATGACGACGATCTACCGGAATGGGCACGACGGGCTGCCTTTGAGAACGATGAACTTGGTCCGCTCTCTTGCTTAGATACCCGATCTGCGCTGACACCTTGTCCAAGGTCGTGCGCACTCCTTGCTGGCTTCGTCGTTGCCTCCCAATCTCGTGGGAGCTCTCGCCCCCTCAACGTCGAGACTCAAGTTTCTGGAATCTCTTTCCTCTGGACAGCTGCTTAGCGTTGCATACAATACGTGTGTACGCAAATCCAAGAAACCTTGGGGATACATCAGTCCAGATGGCATCCATGACATACTGGCCCTCGAGGCAGCGACAGGAGACGGAGAAAGCAAGAAGGGCTGGACCTTCCGGCGCATAGACAATCTTCGACTATGGGGAGGGTGAGTTTTACTGTTTAATCTGCCGGCTCGATTCTCAGGGATCGTCTCCAGTGCATTGAAGATACGGTATATGCTGCCGATTACTGCACCGCCATCCGGCACTACGCCACTGGGAACGCCATTGAATTCTCCTTCTATCCAGCAGCGGTTCAATCCAGGCCAACCGCCGGTCGTCTTCGACGCTAAGATTGTGGCACGGCAAGACGCGGGGTGGGATGAGATTCTCGAGGGTGTGATTTTGCGCTGGATGCAGCGAGTGGTGGCGGAGAAACGAGGAGAGGCATGATTAATGTACACGACGACCTTGGATTGATTATGAAAGGGAAGGAAATAATGTCTGTTCTGTATCTGTATGACTTGAATCTAGACATGCTTCATATGCTTTCGGCCGAAGTATTCGGATGACATCGGACGAAATGAACCACAATTACCCTTTTCGGAAATGAACTTTACGGTCTCCGAATGAACAAGGGATGATGTTGGAGGGTCATAAAAACCTTCCATAGACTGCAGTAGCCTCAAATATCTGACTTTCAAACATTTTGCTTGCATAGAACCCGGTGGAATTGGCCGGCTAGCTTCCATCACATAGGAGTTTCTCCCTGACTGGTGAGTTTGTTATAGTGAAACATGGCCATTTAGCATTAGGCTCTATTCAAGACTCTGACACGGTGATCTCATCTTATTTTGGACGGAGTAGAAGTGGAAGCGTGCAGTCACAAACGGATTGTGTCTATTTGTTCTGCAACAAATCATTCTCACTCTTTCCCGTCAAGGCCATGAAACTCACAGAAGCACTCGGGATAGTGCATCAGATGGGATTCACAATGTTTCTAGGTTTTCCTGTGGTTTTTAAAGCGATTTGGGCGACACCATCGTTGCTTTTCCGCCCCCGCGAGCTCTCGCGCATCAGCATGAACGCTCTCTGGATGCTCTTCGGAGAAGGCAGTGACCAAGGCTCTAGGGACGACAAGATCAAGCTCATCCGAGCTAATTCCTACGGGACTGTGCTTGACATCGGAGCTGGTGAGATTCCAGTGTCCGTTTTTCTGCCCCGCTGGTATTGATCAGTAGGACCAGGCCACGGCCACACCATTCCGTACTTGGACAAGATGCAGGTTGTGCGGTATATCGCCGTAGAGCCCAATAGGCACATGCACGCGCAAATCAGGGTGCGCGCTTATCAGGCAGGCTTCACAGAGGAAGCAGGCACTCTGATTATCCTCGGGTGCGGAGCGGAGGACATTGCGACAATTCTCTCCGCTGCGGGGGGTCCTGTAGACACCCTGATCTCTATTCTCACGCTCTGCACTGTGCCCAGCCCTCAGAATACGATCCGGGAGCTTGTTTCCCATGTTCTTGCCCCGGGAGGAACTTTTCTGTTCCTCGAACATGTCCTGAGCCACAGGCAAGATGTCGCTTGGTGGCAGGCATTTTGGACACCCATTTGGAAATACGCATGTGATGGATGTCGCCTGGATCGTCCGACTCATCTCTGGATCGAGGATCTGCAAAATGATGACGGAGAAACGGTGTGGGAGGGGGGAGGATCGCGCTGGAATGCAACCGGGTGGCCTGAGGAGCATCTTTTCTGGCGCCAGCTCGGCCGCTATATCAAAGCATAGAGGACAAGTGCATACACATAGTACAAGAAGGGCTACAGTGAGATAGAGATACATGGAGACTACCTTTGCTGCAGCCATTCAGCGAGCCCACGCACAAGATGTTGCGCCGCCACCTCCAGCCGCTCGTTGCGGGATCTTGCAATATCTAGGATCGTGCGCTTGCTTTTTCCAGCACTTTCCAGCTGCAGCCCGACTTTGCGTGTGGAGAACGAGACAGACAGGGCCGAGAAGGGGACGGGCGCCGGTTTCTTCGATCTCGCACGGACTATCCCACTGATTGGCCGTGTCACGGGCGTCGACGCGGGGCGGAACATACCGGTCGTCGGTGAAGAGCTTGGGCTAGAAGGTGTGACTGGAGTGCAGCATCCGTCACCACACACCACGCCCTCTCGAACCCCATACAGATTGACGAGATCTTCCAGCCTGCTACGCGGTTGTGAGAGATCGAACAGATCTCGGAAAGATTCGTCTCTCTCGAGATAGAGCTCCGTTTCATCTGCCCATACGTCCTCTCTCACTTTCAGCGCGATGAAGAGGTCCAGGATAGTTGTCTCACGGTGGCCCGTGGACAGATGTATATCAGTTGCGCCCGTTGTCGACGGGAACGCCGACTGAGCTACGACGGGAAATGGATCCGACGAGTACGGTACGCGGATGAGAGATTGATATGCAGGGAGATACGCAGAGCGCAGAACGTGCATGCAAGCTTGCGCTGGGTGAGAAAGCCTTCTCCAAGTCGACTGATGCTGCAGGAACGCACCGACATAGAGAGTACGGCTCACCAGCCGTAGAGAGTCAGAGAGCCAATACAACGTCCTACGTTGCCTTTCCAGCTTGCCGCTGTCGATTCCATGCGTCTGCGGAAACGTCATGTAGATGATTTGTAGCAAGATGTGCGGAGGAAGCGACAGCAATGTGGGCTTCGCGCGCGTGTGAGGAAATGGCGGAGGTGCCGTGTTAATCGGTACGACGTTCGCTGACGCATACGGTGGAGGAGGGGGGATCTGCATAGCGGTCTTCTCATCGATGATCATGTTGTTTTAGAAATCGTATCGCGGTAGTAGCTGCGGAGCACGTAGAAGGAGGACTGCGGAGTGATACCCGTGAGAGAGGCAGAAATAGGCAGTTCACAGGAGGTACGTGTTTTCAATGCAGTGAAGACGGAACAAGTACTTGACCGGGGCGACTCAGACAGGCCGAGGTACAAGCGAGTCCCAAGAGGTCCCAAGCCATTTATCACTGATCATGATCAGCCGTCACAGTGGTGCCTTTCACGCGGTCACGGTTCGGTAAACACTCACAAGTAACTGGTCACCGGCACTGGTCAGTCTTTCCGAGCTTACACCTGAGCCTATGGCATGGATGCTGCTTTCCTCTTCTCCAGCGCGGTGGGGTCCGATCTTCGTTTGCCGAGGTGATGAGCAGGCTTCACACGCCTCAAGACTGCTGTCGTCGTGTTGCTCACACAACACCTCGAGGCATGATCGTGAGATTTTGATTGTCCCGCTTTGAGATGAATGAACTCGATGACACAATACTTGACCGGCGGAAATGTGACCGTCTCTATCTTTGCAGGCGACCTTTAGGCACTCTCGACTCTACCCGATCCAGATCTCATCCTCGAGCTCAGATCCCTAGGCCTGACCCGGCATGCCTTTCAAGCATATAATCAGCCGGAACTTTGTAGATCTCTCACCGATCGGTGATCTCCTACTTATAGGACGAACACGAGGCTGTTACCTTCCACGGCTTAGCCCCGGAAGCAAATTGGCCATCACCCCGCGGACGCCACAATTTACGGGACAAAGCGCGCAACGCTCGCAGAAGCTGGGCCCTCAACATCAAAACTGCTTGACCTGGATCTGATTTTCCCGCAATAACATGTAGGATGCGAATGGACCGCTTTGCGCTCTTTGTTCAGGTTTTGGAACTGGGTTGCTGATAGTAATGGCACTCGCACCTGCCCTCGGCAACGTGTTCTCGCTAAATGACGGAACCACAAGCAGGGCTGTCTTCTTATTTAGGACGATGGCTCTTTGTGAGGAGTTTCTTTCCTTCCCTTGACTGTGCTCCGCTTCATCCTTGACTGTGGCCCGCGCGCGCGTTCGCGCAAGCTCAGGCCCGGGCATGTCTGAGACATCGCGATCTCCCAGTTCAGCCACATCGCACTCCTCGTCGGCGCCTAGTCCTCCATCGACATCGACATCGTCGCCCTCACCCCGGGTCCATATCCGCATCCCAAGTTCGATCCTCCCCGTTCCTACGATTCCTCGAGCAAAGTCAAATAAGAAGTCGCATGCGCGCAAGCAGCCGGTTGGCCACATCCCCCGACCGCGAAATGCCTTTATCCTCTTTCGCTGCGACTATTCGCAGCAGAATCCGCACAAGACTAAAGACTGTGACCAAAACAGCGTGTCGCGGGTTGTGGGCAAACTGTGGCGCAATATGACCGACGAACAGCGCCGGCCGTGGATTCAGCTCGCTGCTGCCGAGAAAAAGAAACACGAATACGAGTATCCGTCTTACAAGTACATGCCACGCAACAGAAAGGTGGCCCACTTCACCGAGGCAGCTGTCGTCAAGCAGATCATGCACGAGGCGAAGCGGATGGTCAAAGCAGAGGTAGATGCTGAAAGACCCAGTCTGACTCAAGACGACATCGTCGATATATTCTATCCGCCGTGGGCCTCCAAGCATCCAGCGCCGACTCGCCGAACCACTTCTTCTCCACCACCAGACGCTGTGCGCATTGAATTATACACCCCAGAGCTGGAGGAAGAGATGCGGCGTGCATCTGAACCAGAGCGTCCTTGGGAGATTGTCGCGGACCGTATCGCCTCATCCACAATTCTTCCGGTCTACCCATCGGCAGGGACGAGCGGGTGGGGCGGAGAACAGTTGTCCATCGAGGAATACCGGCAGGTGTGTTTCACTCCACTCTTCTGACGCTTTGTCGATCGCTGACGCTGGTGGCAGATCAATCATTGGCCCCCTCTACTCAAGATGGCAGAGGACGAATACGCGCCATCGACAAAGACTGCGACGGACAATGCCCCAGGCATGTCGAGTTTCCCAGAAGACTTTTTATCGGAATACCAGAGTGTGTTGCGAGCTTCTCGCGACTCCTCTCTGCGCACTACTTACAAGTTTGACTATGACGAACGTTCAGGCGTATGGTAGTCGCTGTGTTTCATTTAATCAGTACTTTCGCATCGGATTCGGAATCCATCATGTACCATCACCCCACACCCATTCTCTTTCATGATTTGTATGTTGCTACGCCGAAATCATGCTTCTCATGATCAAATCTCTGCACGGCTTGCTCCAATCCTCGTCCATGGCTGTGTTGGACGACGTGCGTACAACTGCAGATCGTCTGAGCTTTGCTGTCCCGGCGGAACACGAGGCTGACTACCTCGCGCTGTTAAGCGCGACCGACATCGCAGCGCAGGCTGTCTTATCTCAGCCAGGTGACCGAGGAGATTTTTACGTGAGCGTCATCGTTGATAACAAGTACAGATTATCAGCCACTGCCTGAGCTGAGCGCGTACCCCCGTACTGACGTTCATAGACCTGACCCCGAGGCGAACCGGTACAGAGCATGGGCCTGGAAAGTGTCCATAAACGGAAAGCGCGGAGGAGTGCTCGATGGCAAGACCGTGTGTCTCAAGGATACGATCTGCGTTGCAGATGTGCCTCAGTTGTTCGGCTCGAACGCAATTTCACGCGGTTTCAGACGTCAGTGGTCTACATACTTTGGTGCACGGAAATACACATGTCTCTGCAGCCATCTCGGATGCGACTGTGGTTACACGGGTCCTCGATCAAGGAGGACTGATTGTCGGAAAGGCAATGTGCGAGGTAAGACTTCAGATTTGAGCGAACGAACACTACAGAATGGTAGAACTTCTCGCACGGTCCTTGCTCCCACTCGACACCATTTGGGCCCGTCGAAAATCCGTACGCAGCAGGTTTCAGCGCCGGTGGATCGAGCTCGGGTTGCGGCGCTCTCATCGGTTCTGGAGAAGTCGACATGGGAATTGGGGGAGACCAGGGTGGAAGCATCAGAATTGTAAGAGATCTTGCGCCCTGCGTACAGTGCTTGACGAGTCGTCTCAGCCAGCAGCGCATTGCGGCCTGGTGGGTCTGAAGCCCAGTTTCGGTCTCGTTCCATACACTGGAGTGGTGCGCGGCTTCGAATTTGTTTCGAGCCAGACAGCAGGATCATTCGTCTTGCAGTTGTCTTCGGAACCGACAGTCGATACAGTAGGCCCAATGGCGCGCACCGCTCTGGACGCTGCTCGATTACTCGAAGCCATCGCAGGGTCAGATGGAATTGACGATCGACAGCTGGGCGCCCCGTCTCGATCAGAGGTAATGCCGTATGCACAATCAGTACTGGACAGCCGCAAAGTTGGCATTCAAGGTCTCCGAATCGGAGTCTTGAAGGAAGGATTCGCGTCATCCCATCTCCACTCGGGTGTGAACCAGAGATGTCGAGCTGCGATACACCATCTTGCCGAGATGAGTGCGATCGTTGAGGACGTCTCTGTCCCGCTGTAGGTCAAGCTTTGTCTCGGAAGAACGCCAATGAAAGAGACGAACAGACATTCAATGGCCCCTGCTATAAACCATGTGATCAACAAGTTCGGATCGGCCCAGACGAGGCAAGGTCGGCAGGTCGGTCGAAGAGGGTTGTATATCAACGAGTTCTGGGACGAGCTGTTGCCCTGGACACAGGAGAAGCTGGAGGCGGCAGGCTATTATGTGACGGGAACAGCCATGAGCGGGTGCGTACTACTCCAGATCTGGGATCCCGTATCTCTTGAATGCTTCTGACAGGGAATACGGCTGGTCCCGCTACCCTACAGCGTCAGAATAAGATATTTTATCCACTCTGCAATCTACTCACGCGCTACACAGTTATGGTCGAGCAACAAATCTCGCTCGAAAACTGCGCGATGCATTCGACATGGCATTGGCATCTTGCGATGTCCTGGTCATGCCCACCCTTCCTCAACCGGCACGGCGGCATCCGAGCGATGGAGCAGGCCCCTTGGCCTGGACGGAGGTCGCTCGTAAGTGGAAAAGTAAAAGAAGGCTATACAAACTGAGAGCCTTCCCGCAGCTGGGATAACAAACAACACAGCAGCATTCAATCTGACAGGCCATCCTAGTATCACATTCCCTGTCGGTTTCGTCGAGCCCATGGAGCAAGATATACAGAGCGATGAAGACGCTGGGATAAAGCTTCCATGCGGCCTGATGCTAGTCGGAAAGATGTGGGATGAGACGATGCTCTTCCAGATCGCTGATGCCTTTGAGATGAAGTTCGACTGGCGAAGTTTGTGAAAGACCAATAATACATATTTTCAAGACCAGTGCCCGATGCTGAGTTACTGTGGTACGACCTGCCAGTGTCAGTGTCAGGGATTAACCGACACACGTGACTAAAATCGTGAGATCTTCAAAAAGTAAAGTGGTGTGTTCTGAGAGGCTAGAGCAGGCATCAAAAGGCAGCGACTCGCTCTCTTTCCCCCACCATCACTTACCGCAGTTGTCATCCGCAATGGCTTTCAACTCCACTGCATCGGCTCACATGGCCTCCCTGTACGGGACTACGGACTTTTCTTCTTACTCCTGGCTGGAGCAGAAATGGGCAGCATGGTACATCTACATGGGCAATCCCATTCTTGCTACGGGCTTGATGAGTTTCCTCCTTCACGAGGTCGGCTCGAATCTCTTTCCAATATGTGGCACTCTCTAAGACTCATCCCAGATTGTATACTTCGGACGTTGTATACCATGGGTCATCATCGACTCTATCCCATATTTCCGTCGCTGGAAGCTACAGGCAAACAAGATTCCCACGGCCAAGGAACAGTGGGAATGCACCAAGCAGGTCCTGTTCTCTCATTTCATGGTGGAGCTGCCTGTGGTACGTTGCCTTGCTAACCGTGCTCTGCGACCCTGCTCTGACCTGGCCGCTCCAGATTTGGCTGTTCCATCCCATGGCGGAGGTCTTTGGCATGCGGACATACGAGATTCCTTTCCCACCTCTCAAGGAGATGCTTCCTCAAGTGTTCCTGTTCTTCGTCTTCGAGGACATGTTCCACTACTTCGCGCACCAGGCGCTCCATTACGGCCCGCTGTACAAGCACATCCACAAGATCCACCACAAGTACTCGGCTCCCTTCGGCCTGGCTGCAGAGTATGCCCATCCCGCTGAAGTCGCCATTCTGGGCACTGGCACGATCGCTGGGCCCCTGCTGTACTGCATGATCACCAGCAACTTGCACATAGTCACCATGTACCTCTGGATTGTCCTGCGGCTCTTCCAGGCTGTTGATGCCCACAGTGGATATGGTGTGTCTTGCGTTTTGAGGGTTTTCCGGCGCTCACCGCTGCATGCAGACTTCCCCTGGTCTCTGCAGCACATCGTTCCTTTCTGGTCTGGTGCCGAGCACCACGACTTCCACCATATGGCATTCACGAACAACTACAGCACGTCGTTCCGGTGGTGCGACCGCATCTTCGGCACGGACGACAAGTACCGTATCTACCGCGCTCGCGTCGAGGCAGCCAAGAAATCGATGGCCAACGCGTCGAAGGCTGATCACGACGAGCTCGAGCGCAAGCTCATGGCCGAAGTCGAGGCTGAAGGCCTGCTCGCGGAGGCTGAGGTCATTCGCAACGCAGAAAAGTCTACCAAGAGGGATTAGACGTCCGCTTTACATATTTTATACTTGACTATTCTGGATGAGACGTAGAGTAATCGCACTCAATCAATTGAGTGTACCAAGCCTCAGAGAAAAGCGTGGATTCATTTTCTTTGTCCAGACTGTCTGATCTACTATGCTCTCCCCGAAGGCGTCCTTCTGGACTGGACGCCCCCAGTCAATGTTATTGGGAAGTGGTGATATGCGGCTGCTCGTTGTGTTCAGAAGTGTCCTGAGGCGGAGCGGCTTGGCCAGTGACAATTTCGATGACAGTAGCAGTCTGGGACAAGTCTCCGTCTTCCCTAGTCGGCAAAGCAGGCCGATCCCGGCGCGTGCCGATGAGCCAATCGACCGTATCGTGGCGTGACAACGTCACCATGAGCGAGCGAGTGCGGGATTGCATATTGCCGCTGAGCGTGAAGAACGGGATCGAAAGACCGTCTACCGCGAATGAGAAGGAGCCAGTAACTTGTATATGAAAGCACGCACGGACGATGATCGACCCCAGCACGACAAATGCGACGATGGGTTGTATCGTGGCAGCCAGAAGCTCTTGTTGATCCGCTGGTGGATTGTTTGGCCGAGGAAGTCGCGACGCGGCAAGCGTGGACACAAAAACTGCCCCGACACCCATCTGCAGTGGATGCGTTGAGTTTACAGTGGTTAGACGAGAAGCTCTACTCACTGGTCCAAAATGACCTGTAAAAAGTGCCTCCTTCCACGTCTTGATCTCCGGCACGAATCGATACAGCAACAACACTACAGGGATCCGTCGCAGTGCCAAGATGGTCAAAAACAACACGACCAAACGCCAGGGGGTGATTCCAATTTCCGGACTGTTGAATGCCTCGAAAGGCATCCACGCACCGATATAGACAAAGCAGCCACAGTTGAGCACGAGGTCGATTACAGAGGAGAAAACTTCGTTCTCTGTGATCTCGTTGAAGTGCTGGTCCCAAGAGATAGCATTCCCGCATGCGAATGCAGCCAGCAAGTCGTCGCTGCCGATGGTTGAGGCAACACCTTTTGATACGTCAAGGAAGGGAGGAATGGGGCACAGAGATCTCGGATATACCTGTAGTGAACAGGGCCAAGGCAAGATATTGCGCGATATAAGATTGTCGATCGATGAAGCCCCTTCGATGCGAGACCTTCATGAGATACGAGAAGCTCAATCCTAGCTATTTGTCAGTCGCTTTCTCCGGGAGAGGAATGACACTGACCCATGATAGATCCCAGGACGATACCCAGGATGACTTCATCTACGACAAATCAGATCTCAACTCAGTGCGATAGTGATTCACGGACATAGCCAGCCCACCAAGAACCACTTCCCAATCGCCACCTTCCTCGACGCCTCGACCGTCAAGTAGATAGAGATGCTCAGGAATGGATATGCGAGCCCATCGTTGGCTGCCGATTCAGCTGAGATGAGCAACCGCAGGTTGCGTGGTACGTGCTTGAGTGCCCAGGACCCGCCCACGATTGTGGCACAGATAATAGGGTCGGTCGGCGTCAAGCACGCCGTGACTGCGAGACAGGAAATGAAAGCGAGGTTGGGGAAGATGAGGTACATGATCGCTGGGCAAAAAAAAGAGCCGTCAGCTGTAGTCTAGCCAGGTGAAAGATGCTCACCAGAGATGGTGAGCCATCCCAATGCCATGGTAGGCACGACTAAAACAGCAAGCCCACGAGCATGTCTCTTCATGTACGATCCAGGAAGCTCTACACCAATGGCGAACAGCCCTGTAGCAAGGATCACCCGCATGACTTCCAGTGTAATGTCATTGGTTGAGGAGCCCCACGAGCGAGGATCGAAGATATTGGCACAGTGGGGGCCGACAATGATACCGAAAGCAGTTCCGAGGATGACTTCGTTGATGTACAACTGACAAATAGAGGTGAGCAGACGAGATCCAAGTTATGCCAAACTAGAGACCTTTTCCTTAACGAGAAGCGATATGGATGAGAACTGTACAAAGATTGAGTTATCATACAAATCCCTATGCGATAGCCGGCGTACTGCAACAATGAATCCTCCCAGGCAGATGTAGGCGAGGCTTGTGGGGGTGACCTAAAAACGAATATGAAGCGTGTTAGTGCTAGATAGCGTCATAGAAGGGCTTATGGGTATCTCAACTTCTAAGAGCTCTGCGTTAAGCATTCTGACAACCCAGGTTATATCTCTTTCAGTATGAAGCAAAATTTCTCTTTGAGTCAGCGGGACGTGTAAAGGCGAGCAACAGAGCCGTTGGAGTAGAGCTGAAGGATGAAGCTTTGACTGGTCTGAGTAAGTCACTACAGCCTGAATGTGATTTTCCAAGCGGTTTTCACACGGTTTTCAATCCCAAAATCGAGTCGCGTGACCATGAACCGCCTACTGCAAAATAGAGCGTATTTGCAACCCCCCAAAACGACGGTTTCGAAACTTTGATCTTAAATTTGGACTCTGATCGGTTAAATTTGATGAATGATGGTGTGACACCAAATGGAGAACGGGTCGCTCAAGGAGCTACCCGAGCATCGTGTATCGGGCAGCGGGCGGCGGGCGGCGGGCGGCAGGCAGCAGAAACTATCCGGTATGGTAATAAAATGCATTATTAGATATCTGAGATAGAAAGTGTGTCGTCGATGTGGGACATGGTCCCCCTGATTGTACGTTGCAGCTGCTCGAAGCTATCTCTCCAACGCAAAGCCCGATCCTTCCACATCTCAATTATCTCGCGCAACCGATTGTTCTCCAGCTCTAGATGTTCTTGTAAAGTCATAACTGAGACAGAATGAGCTGTATGTATGGCAGTCAACCTGGATTTGCGACGCACCCGCTGCTGGAGCTTCTGAATCGGACGCATTCCCTGGGTACAGACCCGTCGCATACTCTTGCGAAGTTGTTTGTGAGTCCAGAGCACCGCCGGGAGCATATAAACTCGAGGCCTCCTGGGGCTGTGTCGTGTTGTTGCCGCTCATCCGGTCCTTGAGCACGCCGTGGGGCACAACGAGTCCCAAGCTGGGGGCGCGCGAAAAGCGGGAGTCACATCGAAAGTCACATCTGTCAATTGCTCGGTTAAATTTGATCTCTGATAGCAGAAATTTGGAAAGGCTTGCAAATACGCTCTAATTGTGTTATAAAATTCACTTTAAAGTATCGTATTCGATAAGTATCTGTGACAGTGATCATGTCGCTCGCTGCATTGAGAGAGCTATAATCTTTGGCTCTAGGTCATACGTTATCGCTCATTTTGGAGTTGAGGGCTGAGCGCGGATATTTTTAACGTATATGTCGCCAGCTGCAGTATGAGAACTCTATGATAGCGGACGACTGAAAGTAAGTGAATAAGGATAACAAAATAATGATTACTTCTCCGGGTCCCACTAGCTCCGATCATGATGCGTGATACATAGGTTGTCAAGCTGTTCAAAGCAGTGAGCCGGCCCGAGCACTGGTTTACTGTGAATCACTCATAAACCTCGTTGTGGTGCGGCGGAAGCAGCTTTGTCACAACCTCCAACATGAACGACCCTCCCGTCTACACCGCACCTTCCGCGCGCGAGTATGCGCAAAAGTACACATACCTTCCGACACATGTGTCGGAAGACTCGGTTTCCGAGTCCATGACCACTTTACACGAGCTACCCTCGGCGTACGACGAGTCCAATGGAGCTCCTCGGTCTATGATGCGCACCCCCAGTCCCACACCGAGCGAATACAATGCACTCAATGGGATCAGTGAGAAGCGGTCGTTGAAAGACAATATCAGTGTGTCCCCCTTCTACTGCCTTCCGGATCGTTGCAGGCCGCTGAGCTACACTGTGGCCAGTTCGAGTGGTTGTCCTTCTCCTCGTTTTGGCTGTCGTCATTGTCATCGCCGTTCTGCATGACCAAATCATCACTGCACTCCGGCCTGCTACCAACTGGCTCGAAAAGTGAATCCTGCGCTGTATCTTTCCGTTCGAATGAATCTGACGGGTTGTGTCGCAGACAGAAGATCCTGGGCCCGATCATCGTCATTATTGTCTTTCTTGTCATCTCTTTTCCTCCTGCACGTGTTTGCCGTTTCAACCGCGAAGCTTAATTTCATGGTTTCCCTCAGCTTTTCGGTCACGAACTGGTCGCGATCCTTGTTGGAGTCACATGGTCGTTACCGGAGGCCTTTGCGATAACTGCAGTCGGCACCCTTCTGGGAGAGATCGCCAATTATTTGTGGGTCGAATTGGCGACCTTACTACTACCCACTCAGAACTAATCATCTGTGACGTTTGCAGTGTTTTCCGCTATGGCTGTCATTCACGAGGCGAAAAACTTGAGAAAACGAGTCTCGACTATGGTCTTCTCGCGCACGTCGTTCGCAAGCATGGGTTCCCGATCATCCTGGTCATTCGCTTTAGCGCGATCCCGTCACATCTTTCAACGACCGTTTTCGCCACAGCAGGGATCCCCTTCCTCACGTACCTGGCTGCGGCAATCCTCTCACTCCCGAAACCTCTTGTTCCGGTGTATGTTGGGTATGCGATGAAATCGAATGGTACCCAAAGTAAAACTATCGAGCACATCGTTTTGGTGATAACCATCGCCATAACCATTGGCGCTCTGATCTGGATTCGGAGGCTGGAAGCGCTCGCGAAACCTGACGTCATCTACGCTCGCCGCAAGGCCCGTCAAGCAAAGCTGTGTGAGTGCTGGTCGCATCGCCGTGCATCGCCGTCTGACAGGGTTTCTATGTAGTATCCAGCACGGCCTACGAATCTAATGAACGCTATGATGCTTAGAGTGGCTCTGTATTTACGAGGACAATATATTTCTGCGCATTGTATCTAGTAGCTATTTCACCATCTTCCATCCTTGGCCGCACTGTGAAGGCCTCGCCTGTGCGCGCTTGACGTGATAGTGATCATTCACTGGTCCATGATGTGATTACTTGCTGTACACATCTGCGACATATCCAGTGCAGACACCCTTCAGTCTGTTCGTCCAGGCCTCATCCAATACCAAGACGACATCTTCAGCTATGCCCCGAGTCAGATCACGTCTGAAGGTAAGAGGCCAAGAGGCTCACGCAGCGGTCCCTTATCGAGGTCAATGAGGTTCTGATTGCGCCAGTCAGCAGATATCATGTCCAAGCAGAGATGGAGAGCACCTGTCTCAGGTGCGCCATGCTGGACGCGCCGATCAAAATCGAATCGCCATATTCACGCTTCATGAGGGAGTGATGATTGATCCATCGCAGAGCGATTTCAGGCAAGGTAAGACCGTGTTTCTCGCCTGCTTCCTTAACCTTTGCGAGTGTCTCAAAGTAGGGCTCGTTCCAGTAGCGACTGCGGTACATCTGGAAAAAGTAAGCGGACATAGACATGGACCATCTAGACTCAGCGTCTTACATGACCGGTAGCATGAGTGTTGTCGAAGCGAGAGCCAGAATCGGCTCCACTTTTCATCCCGGAGTAGCGTCCGGTGAAGAATCCGCCACCAACTGAATATGCGAAAGGGTCAGTCAGAAGCGCACCATTGAGAAATGACACTCCCGCGGATTGAATTCATAGAATGCGATCCCGAATTTGCGGAGACAAGGAAAGAGCTCTGGCTCAGCAGCCCGATGGATAGCATTGTACAAGCCCTGATAGACGGTGGGCTTGACCCAGCCGTTGCGTTCGCAGATCCCGACAATTTCAGCAACCTCCCACGACTTGTAGTTGCTGATGCCGAAACGCTTGAACTTCCCTTCCTGATAGAGCTCATTGGCAGTCCGAAGTGCATCTTCGAACGAGTTGCCACGAGTAGGCCCATGCAGATACCACATCTCGATCTGGCTGCCAGGGCGCAATGAATACCCAAGGGTTCGAAAGCTGAGCTCACGTACTCTGCTTTGAGGGCATCGAGCGACATCTGGCAGAACCTGCGGATGTTTTGCGGGGAATGGTCACCGATGTGCGTCAAACCGAGCTCAGGCTGAGAGCACTGCAGTCAGTTCAGTTCGAATCAAGATCGAAGAGAGCCCACCGGGACAGAGAAAAGTTTCGTCTCCATCAGAACCCCCTTGCCCTTCCAGTCGATCTGACCAAGCACCTGTTCGTTGGTTCCCGCTGCGTAGAAACGCGCTGCATCGAACTAGCGAAGATGATCAGAGCTGGGTCCCACAGAAAGTGACTTGTAGAAACCTCGCGGTGCCCATGACTGAGGAAGACGTCGATCATGGCCTCGATGTCTTTCAGATTAGTGACGCGTGTACCAGGAGTGCCCGGGGCTCCGAAGGTCATCGTCCCCTGGACGTTCGAGTCGAAGCGGGTGAGAAACGTCCGGTAAGGAGGCACACGCTCAACGAACCAAGACGACATTGAGCTCGGATTTCTGTCCGGGATATGCGGCAGTCGACATTCTCTGCTCGGGGTTGCCGTAGATAGAGGGTTAGACTGAGAGACGGAGGGACAATCGTCCAGGTGATGTCACATCGATCTATTATTAATCAACCTTTTGAGCGCGTCAACTTGGATGCGCCATGTGGCCACAGCAGTCACGCCACCGCGAAGCTCCAGGGATGTGGATTCAATGAGGACTCGGAAAATGTTTTCAAAGGAGAGTTAAAGCTCGAACGGAGCCTCCGTACTTGTGAGAGTCTCAGCTCCTGCTCGGAATGAGTGTCGTCGTTCCTCTATTTGTCATCTGCACGGATGGCTAACTTCAGATCAGGGCCTTTTCAGCAAAGATTGCGGATCTAGGATTGCAGTCGCAGCGGAGATGCCCGGCGAACAGTTTGTAGATCGCAATCGATAATCTATCACGTATCAATTGTTCCTATCAATGTGACAAAGCAGTGATGTCCCCATCAAAAACGTTCCTTCTCGCAGCGACGACCCTAGGCATCTTGTCGACGGGATCTAACGCGCTAGCATCCCAGGCAGTCTGAGAAGCTGCGTGGAAAGCCTTCCCATCTCGTCCTGTCGTCTCGGAGTAGCGCGTTGGAAACGTATGTCTCTGACTAACGACAGTTTGCTCGCGCTGACGGGGAGCTTTTGCAGATGTCTAGACCATATTCGCGACCAATGTCGGCCATCACACAACCTCTGAACATGGTGTATCAAGCTCTGCTAGCGGCTGTCGGTCGCCTGGATAAATCCTTCAACCCAGCGGACACACTGGAGAAAGTTCGCAAGCATCAGTTCACATGGAGTGACTCAATCTATGCCCTTCACCTCGCATTACTGGCCTTCTGGATTCCCATGATGGAGGTTCCGGGATACCCTACGAAGCTTGTCATCCCGTTATTCTTCGCGGTGACGTTATCCATCCCGTTCACTGCGCAATTCGTCCACCGAGCCCTGCCAATATTTGCTTGGTTGCTCACGTATTACACCTCACGGTTCATCCCTGTCCCTTGGAGGCCGGGCATCTCGGTGTCATTCCTTCCGACACTCGAGTCGGTCATGTACGGGGCGAACATCTCGGATATCCTCACTCGCTTTACCCATCCCATTCTCGACATCATCGCGTGGCTGCCGTATGGGACGTTCCACTTCATACTCCCGTTTGTCGTTGCTGCATTTTCATGGCTTTTCCGACCAAAAGAGGTTTTGCACTTGTGGGCCCGTGTTTTCGGGTGGCTCAACTTCACCGGTGTGCTTATTCAAATTATGATCCCCTGCGCTCCACCGTGGTACGAGGTCATCCATGGTCTGACACCGGCGAATTACGGCATGAAGGGCTCTCCGGGAGGCCTGCTGCGTATCGATCGTCTGTTCCACTCAAACGGATACAATGTGACTTTCTCCAACTCACCGATCATCTTTGGAGCCTTCCCCTCGCTTCACGCCGGCTGTGCGACCCTTGAAGCCCTCTTTCTCTCGCACTTCTTCCCTCAGTGTACGACCTACATCTGGGCTTATGTCAGCGTCTTGTACTGGGCGACAATGTATCTTTCGCACCACTACCTCATCGATGTCACGGCGGGCGCTTGTCTCGCCGCATTCTTCTTCTATCTGTTCCTTCCCGACGAGTTCCGCAATACAGCTGCAGCCACGGCCCCGCCGTCGAGTGGCCCACGCTCCAAGTATGATCTGTATGGGTTGGAGACACCGCGGACCCTTCGGCGCAGCATGATGGTCGATGCTGCAGACTTTGAGCTTTCCGAGGGCGAAGTATCTGAAGAGGAGGAAGATATCTCTTACCGTTCACCGCTTCCCGTGGGCGTGGCTACCAATGCCAACGGAGCAAGTAAGACTCAGCAGGGTCCCAAAAGCCATCGGCACACTGCAAGCATCGCTAGCTTGATTCGGGAAGGGGAGAGAGGTCCCGAAGAAGGTTGGCAGCCAAGCCCAATCGGCGCAACCTTTTTCGATGCGGCTGGAGAGCTGGAAAGCGGCAGGAAATAGACGCATTGTTGTTCATTATCACTTGGAATATATACTGTACAGGCTACGTAATCACTGAAATAAATGACTGCCGCTTTCCTGATCGCTGTGTCTCGCATTTAGAGAGGGAGTTCGATTAACATTTCTCTCAGTTTCAGTTGAATTGCTTCGAGGTGTCATGTGACTCGCCAAGCACTTGTATCCAGTCGCTCACCGTCTTGCTTCTTTACTATAACAATGCCCAAATTCCCTTGGGATGTGTTCTCCGCCAACACATTGCGTCCCATGGTTGCAGATATCCTACGACAGCGTCAGGGAAATGGCCCTGCGCCCAAGCTGGACAAGCAGGAATCACTTCAGCTGCTACAAAAGATCGAGTCGGATGGACGTGCGTTCTTCTATTGGATCCCTCTTTCATTGCCACAAGATCTTCTAGTGAACTCGGCTCTCAGAAGTCTGTCCGCACAATCGAAAGAATCCAAACAATCAACGAGAAAGCGAAAACAGGAAGAGCCACCTGTTGAGGAAGCCAGGCCAAGCCGCAAACGAGGAAAACAGGTGCTTGAGTCTCCGGAGCCCTCGATTTCGGCGCCAGCCAGGATGTCGCTCCGTTCTCAGAAGACTGATGCGCCGGAGCCGGCCCATTCTCGTTCACTCGTTTCAAGTACCGCTATCAGTGTTGGAAGAAGCACCCGCCGAACTCAAATCGCGCCAGTGCATACCTCAGCACCCGAAGAAGCGAGGAAGACCAGAACATGGCGTGTCCTTGAGAAAGCCTCCGAGCCATTCTTGTCGCCCTCCAAGCGCCAAAGAGTGCCGAGAATTCTATCTTCACCCCAGCCTCTAATCGCATCCAAGCGGACATCCAGAGCAGCTGGCAGGAAGAAATCGACCTCGACTATAACCACCAGCCATGGAATGTCCACAGTGACAAGAGGGGTCGGCAGGAAGACCAAGGCCAAGGTCATCGGCACTGCGAGACCTCCTCGACTGTCGCGAGCCGCTCGGAAGTCCGTGAGCAGCAAACCTGCTTCTGTGTTCGACGGAGTGGAACTCTTGCGCGCAAAGCGGCTGGCTGGCGGGAACGAGGCGACCACAGCGGACGAGGAGAACCCTGCAGGTGGACATGATGGGGATGAGGACCGAGACGCCGAGGGGGATGTCGAGGCCGACGTTCCTCAGGCAGACCATCAATTTGACGCCTCGAGCTCTGAGATGTCGAATTCGAACAAAGGTGCACATTACAATCAGCACAATCTGACGTGGTCTCACTGCAGACAGAGAACGAAGCGGAACCGAGTACTTTGACGGGTATTGCGGATGCGGAAACACCTAGGACTGATCTTCTTGATGATCTGCTGGTGTCAGAAGGTTTTGTCCTCGACACATTACTCTTTGCATGCTGGATTTGACAATAAAACAGGCACTCCTGCGCCGCAAATAGGTGTGTCACCTGTGGAAGCACGGGACATTGGGCTGGGTACGATCTGTTCCTCTGTGCCGTTTGCAACCCTGACACTGAGGGCAGCAACGGGATCCCCGACACCACATATAAACGTCGAAGCTATGGGGTCGGAAGAAAATCAGGTACATCACCCGATGCAGCCTGGTGGAAGTAATATTACAGCGAATTTGTTGACAATCCGTGAGTTTGCTTTCGTTGATATGAATCCATTTCTTATTCGCCCAGAAACTCAAGGTGCTCGCGCCACAAGCGTTGATTTGAATCCCGAATACAGCATCCAAGTGTTCTCCCCGGGCAGCGTTCAACATAATCCAGACGAAGAGCAGTGGGTTCCAGATCGTTTCCAAGACGGGCATCCAGCTGGCCCGACCTCAGCAGGCGGCGGTCTCGCGGCCTTGGATTGATGATTAGGCGTGGAACCCATATACGGCCTACGGGCTTGTGTAAACCACCTTTTGTATGTACTTGATGATCCTTCACTTTCTGCTGTGATGCATCTTGAAATTATCAGTGTGAGCCTGATAGTAATGTCGACTGTTGAACGCAAATCTATATCTTTCTACAATGCATTCCTTGGGCATGCTCCTCCAGACGAACCCCATACCAATTTGTCTTATCAGCTGAGAGCCAACGGATGGATGGGATGAGCTGCACAGATGCCGGAGCATCACCTCTGCATATACACTACCTGCCAATAGGATGACTAGCAGAAACCTTTCCCAGGGCCAAATGGGCATGTGACAATGCTCAAATACCTCAACTGCAATGTCTCTGTCACATTGGCTAACAACGTCTATAATCCTACCCTTGCTGTTCACCTGGAGTTTGATGTTGCTAATAGAAATACTCAGGACGAAGCCCATGGACCACAAGACTTGCACAAAGTTCGGAGGTCAGATAAAGCTGCTATGTAAGTCTAGTATACGCAGTCCGCTTATCAACAATGTTCTTCGGACCTTCTCTTTTCCAGTGACGATCTGGTCAATGTCTTAGTGAAGGATCTCCCAACCTCCTGCCCTCCAAAGTTCTCCAAACAGTCTGTTGAATAACAGATCCAGGCTGTCATTCATTTGCAAGTCTATTCTGGTCTGGATATTCAGTTCGGATCTGACCAAGCTACCCAGTTGGTTGCCCTTGGGACCTGGTGGACTTTTGAAGCCATGATGGGAATGTGTGATCTGATCACAGATCATCCAGCAGCGCACGTGTCCCTAATCCCATGCACGTGACTTGTGCCCTCTTGCAGTCCCTTGCGTCGCCTTTACCTGCTGGCTGGAACGATCGTAAAAGACCACGATCCGGATACTCCTTCAGTGCTATTGATTCAACTCCCATGCCATTCGACTCTGGCCAGTCGCCATCGTCCTCTACGACTTGCACCGCCGTGATGTGGTCTCATCTCTGTCATCGTCATTCCAAACCCCCTCAACCCAACCTCTCAAGAACAGATTATAACTGGAGCCGTTCTTGAATAGTGAAGCATTGGGTCTGGAAACGGTTGTTGGATAGGTGACTATTTTTCACATCAAGCAGTGAGTCGCCCAGCCTCGCTCATTTGCCTCCTGCGCTCTCACTCATCGCCGATTACTTATACTATGCGTACAACAGGACTTCCATGATCCCTTGGCTTTATCATGGAAAGAGAGACCCCACAGTCAGCACACAGGCTATCGCCTGATCGCTTCCACGTACCTCGTACTCGGTTTCCCAACGTCTCCTGCAGTTGTCGGACTCACAATCATTCGCTCTCACTCGTCGTTGGAATCGTAATTGGAAACGCGATGGTTCCTGCGTTCATTAGTAGTTTGGAGTCGACGCTCCAGCTGGATCGTGTTGTCTCTGTTGGCTAGGAGGTGCGTGATCCATCGGTGCCAACTTCACAACTCTCTAGCCTCAACACTTCCAGCATAGTAAGGCCTAACTTGCCTCTCGTTCTTCTACTTCACCCTCCGTTCCCCTCTGGCAATGTCATCGCCCATCGCCGGCACGCGAGGTCAATCTTCCTAAAAAGGCAATCGGGCCGAGCCGGGAGTTGCCAGCAAACAATCGACTTTTTGGACACCCGTCGCTGCCCCGCAGGACCAGCATCTAGTCCCCGCTCGTTCGAACAACACACTCGAAAATCCGGGCCGTTTATCTGCGACGCGCTTTCCGCTTTCCATCTCCCGAGCTCGCACCGCCCGTGGCATGGCCCCCCGCGTTAATTTACCCCCAAAGAAAAATCGCGCGCGCTGTGGCATCAAGTACCAGCTACGAATCGTCAAAGGCGACCTTCCTGCAGACTCGGAGTTCAAAGATGAGGACCAGCATGAAGACATGGCCTCATTGGCTGTGGCAGATGTCGACACCACTGAGGGCAATGTGCGTTCTTCCCCAGCCAATCAGCGTCTGCCACCTTTCGTGGCTGTGTCGCCCGCAGGTCGCTGATGTAATTGTCCTTTTTAGGAACACCATCTACAAGCTGCTCTTGCTACGAAGGCTGTCTTCATTCCAACACCTGCCGCTGAAGGAAAAGTTTCCGACTACAACCTTCTGTATCCCCCAGACAAATGGAAGAAGCCTGCGACCTACATCTACACCACGACGACGGTGGAAGAAGCTGTTACCAATGCCTTTCTTGACTACGACCTGACGTACTATATGGACGAAGTCGACATGCAATGGCTGGAAAGAAACAATCAGGAAGCAAGGGGGGAGGGAACTAGCGCTGCTGCTGAAAAACTCAAGGGTGGGGGGGCCGAAACGGGATTACCCGTGTCCATATCTGAAGACGAGTTTGAGTTGGTGATGGGTCTCCTCGATAAACTCATTGAGCCCACCGTGCGTTTCATCTTTCCCGTATTCATTCCAAGCCAATAATGCCACTGCAGGGATTTCATGGATCAGGGCCCGACTTCTCTGCAGTTCACGAGTTTTTTGATCGCCCTCTACCTAACAACATCTTCGCTTCTTTTGCTGTGCCAGCCTGGGTTCCTCCTCCCCCTTCATTGGCTTGTATTGCCCGCCTGGTCTTTCCCCATTGGAAACAGCGTCGGGTTGAGTTGGACGGACGGAAAATTCATCCTTCAATCAACGTATGTGGAACACTCCTTTTTGTCTGTGATCACGCTGAATCGACAAACGCCTCTAGTACGACGAGTTTGATTTCGCTAATGAACCCTACGTCTGTTTCCGCCGTCGCGACCCCAAAGCTGTTCGGAAGACTCGGGCTGGTCAAGCTGTTAACAACGCCGATAAACTCGTTCAACTGCACTACAACTTTTCGCAGGCTCTGGCAATCGCAGAGGCCGTGCTCGAACGAGAAGGCTTTAAGCAACTTGCTGCGATAGAGTCGGAGACTCTTTGGAACGCACGGAAACCGATGGCGGATCTGTTCCGAAGCGTGCCAGGTTTGATCACGAAAGCTGACGAAGAAAGGCTGACGGAGAGACCAAAGAAGATCAGGCCCAACAAGTCAACGTACGTTTCGCGGCTCCATTCACTTACCATGCGCTCATCTACCTCAGGCTTCCCAAAGTCAAGGTTCTACCTCCCAGTCATCCTGGCGGGGCGAACGGCGCCCTGGCTCCGGCGATTTTGCCCTCAGAACGCGCTTTTATTATCCAAAAAGAAATCTTGCAATCTGTGCAAGAAGACACAGATTGGCTGAGATCACATGCTTGCTTGGATGTGACGGATGTGAGACCGCACGGCCCGCAGCATTTTTCTCGCGCTCACTCGGCTTATAGGACTCGTATCAAGCGCCTTTGGTACCGCGCGCCGACAAGATGTGGGTGGATATTCCAAGTAAAGACAGTTCCAGACTGCGTGGGATGCGAATGCGCTTTGGGCGGGGTGGACGGCGATTTATCGATCGACGGTCGAGTCAGCCACATGTGGTTCCCCTATGGAGTGAGCGCAGGAACGACGACGACGTTATGGACGCTTGCGAGAACGACATCGACGATCAGGAATTGGAGCGCCGCGTTCGAGCTCAATGGCGGTTCGATGCTGACACATCTTTCGCTGGACTGGCTGAGGACGAACACCGGATGTTTGTGGACGAACATGACACCAAGTGAGTCTTGTACTCAGGACGTTGGCGATGCTGACGCTAGGTTACAGATATCTTGTATCGCGACTGCAACGAGACAACAAGGATGAATTCTGCCTGGTGACGGATGCGTCGATTGTGACTCCGGGTGGCAACCCCGATGGCAGCGACAAGAAGCACTTTCCATTCGTCACCAATGCCTTGCACACCGCCTTTATCCACGGGAAGCATCTCGGAGAATATTTCCAGTCCATTGGGGTCAGCTCTGCACCCGGGCCTCGACCCGTCTCTACCCCTCAACCGGTAGCACCGCGTTTCCAACCGCCAGCACCTGTTCGCCAGGTTTCTCGTCCCGTCTTTGCTGCCAATGCCAATCCGAGTGCCACGATCCCCAAGATGCAGGAGAGCATCTCACCCGGGAAACCCACTGCACTCAACATACCAGTGTCCATGCCGTCTCGGCCCAGCCCTGTCTCGAATCCACGTGCTGTGACCAGCAGCCCCCCTGCATCTGAAACTTCTAGGCAGGCTGTGATTGCAAATGGCCAGGCGGTTAACGGTCATACCGTCAATGGTCATGCAGTCAACGGCCAGGCAGTCAACGGTCATGCAGCCAATGGCCAGGCAGTGACTGGCCTGGTAGTCAACGGTCAGCCAGTCAATGGCCAAACAGTGGTCATGAACGGCCACGCGGCTAACGGTCATGGTCATTCTCTGCACAACGGCGCCCGGTCAGCTCATCCGACTTATGTACCACTAGGTGCTGGCGCGGGAATGAGTTTGAAGCTCCCTTACCGGCCGTCCGCTGCCGGTGAAAAAGCGTAGTAGTCGTACATCGAATGGATCCCATTTTGCTTGCTCTGGGTCTCGTCTATGTTAGTTTCATGCCCACTAACACATCTGTGACACGCCTAAATTCCTGCCGAATCCCAACCTGGTTAGATCTACAGCGACACAGTCCTCAATTCCAATCTTTCCGCGACGTCAATGGTTAACGTTTCGTGATTGCCAGCCACGCCCCTGTTGCAGGGTTCAAGACAGCAAGAAGGCTGATCGATTCCCATCTTGGACACTCGTAATTTCCTGCCTTGTTCCTTAGCACTGTCTGGCACTGTCTGGCTCTCAACGACATCCATCTGGGAGACGGGGCGCGTCGTACAGAGAGAGAAAAGGGTTGGCGGGTGTAACAAGGGCGCAGTGGAAGCTGCACTGCTCAAATCTTCGACTCCATTTAAGCGACGCGTTCTACGGCAATTTCCTCCGTAATAGTATCGTCTAGCGACGTCGCATCGGACTTCTAATCTGTCTACATACTTCTCTCCTTTCCGACCCATATTCTGTCACCCAGCCCGGACGCGCACCGCGCATGGCACCAGGGTTCTCAACTTTTCACCATCCCCATACACGCCTACGACTTTTGTTGTGAATATTCTACAGCTCGGCGGGGTCGATGGCACCACTCAGTAGGGCTATTGTTCTCTGTGTTATGTGCGTAGGGTTGGTATATGCTTACCCTGCAGATGCTCATTTCGAAACCCCTAGCTCGCTTTCTCTCGCTGGAGGTGATGTCGTCCAGACGGCGCCACCCACATGGTCACTGTACAAACGACAATGGATACGCCGGAGACTGAGCCCCGTCTGCCTCCTCTTCTTTCTTTTTCGATAGTGCGTCCTATGTTCTCCGCCCGCGGCATGAATTCACCGTTTGGCCTGCTCAGTCTGTCATTGCTAGCTCTGGCTGGTTATGGATATTGTACGTTTCTCTCGCCTCCCAATCACAGCGCAGGCGCTCACCATCCAATTGCAGTGACATTCGAGTTGGATTTCACATATGCGGAATGCAAGGGGATATACTGGGCTCCGCTTGTTGCAGGCTGTGAGTTCCGCTACCCTTTCCTTGTGGCCGTCCAGTGCAGCTCACGAGACCCTCAGCACTGGCGGGACTTTCGGCGCAAGCTTTGCTGGCCCTGAGGGTGCACCAAATCTCCGGTCGTCCGAAGCGCCTGGGATTCGCTCTAGGCGCGCTGCTGATCCTGTTCGTCCCCATGCAGATCTTCGGTGCGGTTTATCACGTGTGTATTCTTTCGAAATCAAATGTGCGTGGCTGAACTGTTTTGCTTTGCAGCAAGATGTGAGTCGACGAGTGCGGGAACAAGAATGCTGCTAATGATTTGTGTGCGGCGCAGCCCGTTTTCCAGGATGTGTGTCTCAATCCTCTTCCCCATTCCTTCAATGAATGTCTAAACTATCCTCCAGGGCTAGTAAGGCTTCTTGCTGTTGGTTCCAAGTCTATTCCTGGATAATGACTGTTCTGTAGCTGTCAGGCTAAATCCCTTCATTCCGGCGAGGTGAGTTGTTTATTTTCATGTTCCCTTGGTGTCTGATACGAAGCCACCAGCCCAAGTGGCCGATGATGTGAATGAGATGCTGTCAACTTGAGGTGGTCATCTGACAACGCATTCGCAGGTATTCCACCCTGCACACTATTTTTGACCTCGCTACCTCGGTCGTTGCGACTGACGCTACTATTCGTGCTTCCATAGTACGAGGCGCACTGTGAGTGGTCTCACACTATTACGAGTCTCGTTCCGAACCGCCGTGTGTGACATAGCCAACCGCGAATCTTGATGCGACGATCCATCAGCCACGGGGTCCCGTTCTTCGTCGTCGTTTTGATTGCGAACTTGTACGCGGATCTTTGCCTAGCATCTGGGCATGCCTCATCTCTGATTGCAGTTGGATAATGCTGGAATCGGCTGGTGCATTCGTTTCACATGCGGCGCCAATCCTGCCGTTGACCTTGCAATTCATCGGTAGGGTGCAGTCTAGCCGTGTTCCAGGCAGCTTGCTGATGGTCGTTTGCAGCTGTCCAGCACATGATTCTCGACTCTCAGCGCCGATCACCAGAAGAACTGAAGACTGGATTCGAATCGGTCAGTGTCGGGCCGCCGCAGTTTCGGGTGCAGGCAAACAACGAAACAATGGATCTTGACGTTGATGATGATGATGCGATCCTCCCTGAACCTGTCGGGAACAAAATTTTCAAGGGCTCGTACAGCTCTGACGAGCCGAGTTCATCCGGCGCGAGTCGTCTCCAGCGAGACATTCTGGACGCTTGACGCCAAGACTGGAGGACGAACTTACGACTGAATCCTTATTATTGTACTTCTAGAGACTGCTGTGTATCGGGTTCGTCAAATTCCAGCTTTGAAAACCAGATGCGATGTATGCGTTGATTGCGTTGATTGCCGGTGCAGCCTACGCAGGGATCTGCGCACGATTTGATTGTTTCAGCGGGTGTCGCATCCATCACGGCTCGGTCGGTCGCGTTTGGCATCGCCACAATCGGCTATATAACACGCTCTGCTCGTTAATCAATGTTTTCGGTTCCATTGCTATCTTTCACCCAGATCCTCTCTTTGTTTCCTGTTTCTATCCGTCCTCGCTCGCTTTCGGCCGGCCGATTTGTCTCTCCATCCTTACACTTGTTCTCGACTACACGAACGTACAACTACCACCACATTCTATCATGAAGGTCTCTTCTGTCATCACTGTGCTTGCATTGGCGTCCTCGACGCTCGCCGCGCCTCTCCAGCAGGCCATTTCGAAGCGCGCGGGCCCCGGAAAGCGTGGTCTCTGCTGGCCCTTCTACAACGGACCCCTCGACCCGGCCAAGTTCAACGACGGACAAGGATCTGTGAACCTCATGTCTGTTCGCGTCCCGCGCTGGTGGCAACCGTGCTGACTTTGTGCGGTAGATATGACTACGAAACATTTGCACCGCCGTCGTCGAATGGCAATGGCGGGCTGAACTTCATCGGGATGCAGCGCTGCCTCGACTGCCAGTCGTCGCCCATCTCGCAGCTGGCGGCTCGGCAGAAGCAGCTCGGGTTCGCCACGCTCTTCACGTTGAACGAGCCGGATATCAACGGGATATCGCCGCAGACGGCGGCTGACTGGTACAAGCAGAACATCAATCCCATTGTACGTTTTGTCAAAGCTAAGCGAACCGCACCTCACGGTCGTTTTGGACAGGCTATCAAGAAAGCACTCCCTGCTGTCACGGCATCGACTGCACCTGGCCAGGGCCTTGACTGGCTGAACCAGATGGTCGCGGCGTGTGCTGGAAACTGCTTCTTCGATTACATCAACCTGGTGAGCAATCAAGTTTCGATTCTGTCTCGAGATACAGCACAGCTCATGACCGGACAGCACCACTACGGATCCAGCTTCCAGCAGTTCCAGGACTTTGTCAACGCCGCCCACGCGCAGCACCCCGACAAGCAGATCGTCGTGACGGAGTTCGCGCTGCAGAACCCGGCGGGGGGCCAGGCCGACCAGGTCGCGTACTACAAGCAGGCGTTCAAGTTCCTCGACGAGGCGCCCTTCGTCGAGATGTACTTCCCCTTCCTCGCGTCCACGCCGTCCCTGTTCTCGGCGAACGACGCGGCGGGTGTCGGCTTTGTCGGCACGGGCTCGGCGCTGTTCAACGATGACAAGAGCGTCAGCGCCGTCGGCCAGCTGATGTTCCAGACGTTCTAAGCGATGACCATAATGAGTGTATGATGTGTGTGAACTGTATGTGTGTGTTGTAGTGTACTTTGGGTACTTACTAGAAACGAGAGACAAAGATTACTTTTGAGCTGCTTCAGCGAAGATGAGATCAGAACGCATACATTTCGCACCGCCACGCGAATCCTACGTCAGCTCCGTCGCGGTCGTGCCAGATCGTGCCGTGGGATACTCCAGACGTCGGTTTCAGCTTGAAACTCTTGATCTCTGTCGAGATGATCTCGTAAGACTATTGAGTCCCGGCTGCTCTGCGACGTCGGTGATTTCTTTAGACGGATCGCATGGGACTGCATCCGGCGCCCAGGGGCTCCAGTCGGACCTGATCTTCGCCACTCGGGCATGCTAGTGACTTGCTACACATTGAGTCGTTCCCCGTTAGCATCTTCGTCTGAAAGCTCATCACAGAAACTGATATCACCCGTAAATCCGTGGGGTCAGGCGAGGCGACATCGGGATTAACAAGCTGCCAGATGCTTGCTTTCGCTTAGGTCCAGAGTTGCCGAATTCGAGGTTCTCAAGTGCGTCTTTGAGCTTCTCTGGGAGACGCACTTCAATCCCATTGCTATCTCACTGGCCCTAACAGGTCGGTTGAGACGATTCAGGAACAGATCGGCGCGCACTTCCGCGAATCCGATGATCTTTTGGTGCTCCGATCTTTGTATTGGGGTTGTATTCAACAACTCAACTACCATACATCCCGCGCGCCCGTGTGTGCCGACACCTTCTCCCGTCGCAGCAGAAATCAGGTTAGCCATCTGCACCGTGCCGAGTGGGCCAGCCCGATCTCGAGTCACGCCTTGGTCCAATGACCGCATACGACTTGGCTGGGTTACCACCGCGGCTGCTGCAATCTCAGCAATGCAGCAGATCCGCCTGATGAACTGTGAGCACTAGATCTGGAAACGGGAGTAGGTCCAGGAATATAAATACGGCCGCGCTGGATTCTTGTTGGGTTGTGGAATCAGCGCCCTCTCGTTCCCTCGCAGCCTCTTTCTTCACGAGAACACGATGGGTCTTGTCTCTCTTGTCTTGCTCGCGCTTGCCTCGACTTCCGTCGCGTCGCCGACGAATGTGACCAAGCGTTTGGGCCCGGGAAAGCGCGGTCTCGTCTGGCCGTGGTTCAATAGCCCTCTTGACCCAGCGCGGCTGAACGACTTCCAAGGGACGATCAACCTCATGCAAGTCCCGTATGTTCTTTGGGATCCTGTGCCCTGACTAACGATGTCCCACAGCTACGACTACGAGACATATGCACCGCCGTCGTCGAATGGCAACGGCGGGCTGAACTTCATCGGGATGCAGCGCTGCCTCGACTGCCAGTCGTCACCCCTTTCTCAGCTCGCAGCGCGTCAGCAGCAGCTCGGATTCGCGACGCTGTTTACGTTGAACGAGCCAGATATCAACAACATCTCCCCTGGACAGGCCGCGGACTGGTATGTCAACAACATCAACCCGTTCGTAAGTCATCACCAAGGTCATCCTCCGCTGAGCTATGAGCTGATATGGGACGTAGAGAATCCACAAGGCCCTGCCGGCCGTCACTTCCTCGACATCCGCAGGCCAGGGACTCGACTGGCTGCAGCAGATGGTCAATGCGTGCGCCGGCCGATGCTTCTACGATTACATCAACCTCGTGAGCTCCCATCATGGATCCACTTGATACTGCCCACTGACAAAGGCTCCCCGCAGCACTGGTACGGCCAGAATTTCGGGCAGTTCCAGAGCCACATCACGCAGGCCCACAACCAGTTCCCCAACACCCGCATCGTCGTGACCGAGTTCGCGCTTGCCAACCCGCCCGGCGGACAGGCTGACCAGTGCGTGTCTTCTTTTGTGCGACTTTTCACAGATGCGGGGCTGACGTGGCCGCATCGTCGCATCGCAGGATCGCGTTCTTCAAGCAGGCGTTCCATTTCCTGGACAATGCGGCATATGTCGAGATGTATTTCCCGTACATCGCGACGTCGCCGGCGCTCCTGCAGCAGAACGACCCTGGCGCGGTGAACAACGTTGGCGTGGGATCGACGCTGTACAACAACGACGGCTCCGTCAGCGCGGTCGGCCAGCTCATGTTTCAGTTGTTCTAAGGAGGTTCCTGTCTGCTGGTCATGGTGTCTGTGCGTACATCGGACTGTCGATGATGAGCTTCAAGTCAGGGTGCAGTTTGGATTCGTTATTCTACTAAATACTCAATAAAATCTCGTGGTTCGACTTGTCGGTTCAACCGTGTGAATAACACGGACACGCTGACTTCCGATCGCGTCGGTCGTCTCGTGACCGCGTAAGGGACTGGAATGATTGATCAGTACCCAGGAACCGAAACAGGGATAGCGCTTGCGGGAGACAGTGAGCGTGGTTCTCCACTTTTGCGCCCGGAGGGAGCGCCATCCTGAATTCCGGACAAATCGACGTTCAAACTATCTCAGTGAAGGGGGCCTGTTCGCCGCGTGAGCAGGGAGTTTGATGGCTTTCAAAAGTTATGATCGCACGGTTCTTTCAACTTGGCTTTCGGGATTTGATTGAGGTAAAATTCGGACTGAGCTGCTATTTACACCCGCTAGACGATGTGATACACGAGTCTTGAAATATGACTTGAATTCCATCGCTGTCTTACATCCCTGCAGTTCTTCTGGGAGCATTGCAGACTACTCCGGTATAACAGGGACTCTGAGAGCAGTGATGTTGCTGGTTCCACATGCTTAGCCGCGTGACTTACAAGGAACGTTCATAAACAGCAGACATGACGAGAGCCTTGTCTTCATTCCCACGCAAGAGACGCGATAACTCATACAAACCACATCACACCACTGAAGTCACTCGACGAAGGTTGGCTCAAGGCACTACCTTTCGAAAACCAAACGATGGTACTCAGAACCAGGCAATGTTCAAATTGTCCGAGATAGGAGGCTTTATACAAGTGATTAAGGTGATCAGGCTACACATTCTTCTTTGGAGCGAGGGTCATTATCTTCGGGGAGACCGGTGGACGGGAAAAGACACGAGAAGCCGTTATAAACGAGTGCTGTGAAATAGAGGTTTCTAGGGTCACCCACCGTTGCTGATGAATAAGCGGAATGTTCCCAACGGATTCGAAATCTTATCGCACCGCCACACGTCATGACGCGTCCTTTCAGTTCTATCCACCATGTCGACATTAACAGTGCACACTGCAGCTCAGAATAGTGCGTCCTGGATCAGGCCAAAGTCTTGGAATCTATGACGAAGCCAAGTATCTAGATCAGCTCCATGTTCTACGCACGCTTGTAGGCGAGAACCCCAACTTAGTCAACTCAAAGGATGTCGTCAGTTCTTTCGATGGGCACAGTCGATCTTGTGTTGGACTTATGGTCAAAAAGGATGAACGGTCTCCGCTTCATTGGGCTGCTGCTTCAGGATCTACCGAGATCGTTCGCTTCCTGCTCGACAAAGATGCTACAGTGGATGTGGTGGATAACAGTGAGTGGACACCGCTTCATATCGCTGGTGAGCCCTTTGATTTCTCTTCATTCGAATCATCTCAAATTCTCGTAGTCAGTGCAGGGCACGAAGATATTGTCCAACTGCTTGTTGGTGCCGGTGCTGATGTGAACAAGTACGTACCATGTATGCCCTGTTCTCAGACCAAACTGCTGATCGCTGTTAAATCCAGGAAGACTAACAAGGGCATGACTCCGCTGTTTGTCATTCTAGCAAAGTTTCTTTGTTTTGCTAAATGGTCATCAGACACTACGCTGCATCGAAATCTCGGCTGGATGTGAGTGATATTGTCCAAAAACTCGAGTCGCTCACCAAGCATGGGCCTTCTAGATTGCCAAGCTGTTGATAGCAAGGGGGGCCGATGTTCGTGAAGCATTTCATGCGATTGAGCACGTATCATTGACGAATAATCATTCTCTTAGATCAACGCGAAAGATCGAGCCAACCAACATCCACTGTCAGTCGGACGACCGATCTCAAACTCAATGCTGACTTTATCTTAAGGCACCGTGCTGCAACCATAGGCTCTGCGCCTTTCGTTAAGCTGCTAGTTGAGTCCGGCGCTCCTCCCAATAAAACCCGATTGAATACGGGTGATCGGATGGGTACGTACTCAATCCATCGGGGACCAAAGGCAATACTCATTTTTAATACACAAGGAAATACACCACTGCATCTCGCCATGGACTCTGCACATGCCGAAGCCGCTGTTGCGCTGATTAGTGCTGGGGCAGACCGCGATAGAGTATGCGATGTCCATTCGTGGTTTGGTCTGGACTCACTGTTTGCCTCGCCAGGAAAATGTAGACGGGGAAACTCCAGAAGGCATGGAGGGTGTTGGCGGCTCAGAGCAGCGTAAGGCAAAAGCATATGTTATCGAGATGTGTGGGCCGGCGAACGCTACTTCATAGGTTTAAGTTGTTTGTTAGTAAGTGCAAGCTCAAAGTGCGATAGAATTCGAGGTTACATAGTACAGGAAGAGATAGAAAAAAATAACCCGACGGGGTCGGTGAGGTGGGGAGCGTCAAAGAAGCGGCTAAGAGAAGCGGCTAAGATCTCTTCGGACGATAGACGATGGTGGAGCTAGCTGCTAGAGCCAACACCCGGGCACGTGACAACAGGCTATCCGGCTGGATTTCGGCGATCAGAATGTTAGAGGTTGGACAGACACGTTTTCTGGGACCGGTTCCAAATCTCTTCAAATCCACAATCCCTGATCTATGTGCTTTAGGCTGAACACCTGAGATTAGCCTGGGCGTCAATCAGAGCAGGGAGGGTTTTATAAAGTCACATGGGGCTAATGACACTACGTTTCGGACATTAAGAACCGGAATAATCCCCGGTTTCGAGGGTCTCAGCCAATCTACAAATCTCTGAGCAATTCATGCGCCCTTGAGTGATGAAAAAGTAGTCACGCCGGCGTCAGTTCCCATCCCCCACTTCTCCTCTCCATCACGACAGTGAGTTGTCGTCAGGAACTGGATCTGATCCCAAATCGTTCTTCGTTCTTGTCTTCTTCCGTCCCTTCCATTTTCGCCTCACACACCAGGTCCTCCCAGTTGCTCGTGCTGGTACTATGTGCGACTCTCCATGCTCAAATCAGGCGTCTCGTTGACGGAATCCTCAGGAGTACACTCAAGGAACGCATTGCCGCTATTCAGCAACGGGAGGAACGGGAGAAGGAGCGTTCGTCGGGCAGTGTGCCCACCATGCCTGCATCCGTCTCTGCGGGTGCCATGCGCGCCAAGATTGCTCAGTTCGAGAGCCAGGGCGCAGTGCCTGCGCCGCGAGGGTCGTAAGTGCTCACGTCAGCGAGACCACCACATGCTCATAGTTCTCAGTTTTGGGCTCGGTGCTCCGCCAGAGCGGGGGCCACGACAGCGTGCGGAGATGTATGGGAATCGTATGCAGCCTGCGCGGGTGCCCAGCGCCACTCTGGGACTCTCCCGGCCTATAGAACCGTTTTCAGCGCCGGATCCCCGGGCGCCTATCCCACCGTCTGTCGATGACGGGGAGACACACGATGGTTCTCACGTCCGCCGCCGCCTCGATTCCACAACTGGTACCACAAAGTCCGCCGTGCCTAGTCGCGCGACATCATTCAGTGCCGCGCTCGACATTGCGCGCAAGGCCGAAGCGGAAGGGAAAGCGAAACGGAGAAATAGCATCCTCATGCTGCAGCCACAGCACACAGGCGGGCTCACTCCACAGCATACGGGCGGAGGGTTGACGCCGCAGCACACAGGCGGCAGTATGGTGGTGCCACAATACACGGGAGGATCTTTCGCATTTACCTCGCCGCCTCTGTCGCCGATGGTCCCCTTCTCGCCTCCCCGATCTCCGAGGACCCCCGTTTCGCCGATGCTCAATCCATCGGCATTGCCGTCCCCGAGTCGGTCTTTGACTTCCCCGCTTACAGACAAGGCCGACGAGGAACCCCCAGAGATTGAGGTTGAGACTGCACCGGTTGAATACCAGGAGTTGGTGGTCCCAGTGCGTCGGTTTCCTTATCCTCTTAAAGTCTATATTCACATGCGCGCAGAACGACCCAAAGCCTGCGGTATGTCGATCCAGCATGTGCTGTGCTAAATCTGTTCTCTAATGGTCTTCCCGATCAGGTGCCTATCATTGATGTGAAACAAACCACTGCCTCGACGACGGTAGCAGATAACTTCCAGGTGCTTTCGACAGCACCTGACCCGGATGGCCCGCCGGCCGAGGCCATCTCTGCTTCCGACACCCCAGATGATGAAGCAATTCCGCAACCGGAAACCATTATATCCGCTCCCCCTGTCCCCGATCTCTCAGGAACTTCTCCAGACTCGACGCATGAGGGTTTCGATATGGATGCACATTTGCGGGACTATGCGCTGCGGCAGTCTTCCCAATCTATCCCGCAGGACATCATTATCAACGATGACGACTCGTTCACTGCTGGAGGGGAAGAGGAACTGGAGGTGGACGTGTATGATGAATCCGCTCCGCTGGGCCCGCTTCCGAACAGACTGCAAACGCACAACTTTCGCAAGCACCTGTCGACTATCACAGAGCGCAGCATCGAGCCGAGCAGTCCAGGATGGGATTCGGGATTTACTGTGGACAACCACGAGGAGAGTGGCCTCGGTGCCGGCGCTAGAGCCCTTGCCAACCACAGTTTTGGCGAAGATGCGGAAGTTCTGGGCGTGGACCGGAGTGATGCCCCCTCACCTTCGCCGTATCGACTCAGTGGGCTGACTGAACGGACGTATTCCCCGAGTCTACGGTCCGAAGACGAGCGCAACTCCTTCGATGAAACCGGGTCCTTGGATGAGCAGGCAGCAACAACACCCACTGCAGATTGCCATACACCCACCGCACCGTCCGCAGAGCCTGATCTCAGCAACTTGCCTCATGACAGCTCGTTCCGAGACTCGCTTTTGACGAGCGAATCCGGCTCGCAAGTCGTCGCATTCAGTCGGTTGAGCATGCTTACAACGGACAGTGCTAGCCCCAGCCATGTAACACTGGCGCATCGGATCCCTGTTGCGGCTGAGGTAGAGCGTGGCGTCGAGGTTTTCGTGAGTGGCAAGGAACCTCACCCACCCGCGGAAGAAGCACACAGGGCGGCAGCCCGTACTTCCTCGGAGGGACGGTCGGTCCCAGCTGCCAGGGCTCGACCCCAGACGATGTTCTCCCAGACGACGACCAACCAGCGGAACCATTTGGGTCTGTCACGTTGTCACGGTCGTTCACAGCAGTTGTACATGGGCGGTGCGTGAAAATCGCACGTGGGAGACAGCCAAAGTACCCAAGACACCGGAGAAGCGCCATCCTCTGCCCGCGACTCCGCTGAGTCCAGGTTATGCTAGTGGAGAGCTCGCTGAGCTGCTAGCGGAGGCAGCTGCCCTGGAACAGAGACTCGAGTTCGGAGAGCTGTTTGAAGAGCCAGCCAAGCGGATAGCTCATCCGCCGCCTCGCAGTGCATCGCTTCGAGCAACGGTCCCCCAACAACCAACACCCCCTCCTCCTTCTGTTCTCAAACCCCAACGGTCCTTCCGCAGCGCTCTAAAACAGAAACCGATCATCCAAGTGGAAGAATCTCCTCTGCCCCTTCCGCCCCCTTCGCCTGCTGTATCAACCACCAGTTCCGAAGTGCCACCGACACCGCCGCCGAAGTCAGGTTCGCGCTATTTTTCAAGTCTCCGCCGCCTGGCGAGCACATCACGCACATCACCTGCTCGAGCGAGCCTCTCTTTATCTTCCGAACTGTCCAGCGAGGACTCGGTGGGTCTGCAGACACCTCCGGACGATCACTTTGTTCAGTCAAGCAGCGCATCGGTGTATTCTGTCCAGAGTGGCATCAACTGGCCATCACGAGCGGGATCTGTGTCTTCCAAAAAGAGCGTGGGGGGCATCGCCTCACTGGCGGGCAAGATGTTCAACCGCAGCCGGACCAAGTCCAACAACAGCACCCTCAGTACATATGAAGGTATCAATCTGTCCCCTTCTTTTCCCCAGCATAGGTTACTGATTCATTTAGTAGCACCATCCCCGCCTCCAGCTTTGCCTCCTATGCTTCCGAATCTCGATCTTGATGAGGCCCCTCGACCAGCACATCTGGTCATCGATTCAGACCGAGCGCTTCCGCATCGACCCACTTCGTGGCTATCCGTCTCGTCGATGGGCTCCTCCTCCGTTGCAACCTCTCCACTGTTTGACCAGACGCTGTTTGACGCCTTTCCCTCCGTGCCTGAGATGACGCCTTCGCCGCAGACTGCCAGCACCCTTCGCCCTCTTCCCTTTAGCCAATCAAACGCATAAATATTATTCACCATATAGTAGTCTCACTCGTAGTCTCACTAGTCTCGCTCCCTTGATCTCCGTTCAATCTGTAATCGCTTTCGTTACTGCACATTTTGCTCAAGCTACTTGCTTTACATGGTATAAAACGCAACCAGTTTCTCCTCAACACCTGTTTGAGTCATTGGTTGCGATGGCAATGGGGGGATCCCTTGCACTATATTCTGAATTTGGCGGAACTTCTGGCTGATACTATCGAGGAAGTCCATCGATTGGCCAGGTTTCCGAAGTTGGGAATTCGTCAACGAGCTACAAAGCGCGTTGAACCGGCTCGACACTTGCCAGATGGTCGGTCGGCGGGCGGGATCCTCATCTGTCATGTCGTCCACCAGAGGTCGTAGGAAATCTAGTGGAGCATGACGGTGTTTCACTTCGGTACCCTGCTCGGTGGAGATCAGTCAAATTCTTGATCGGGGTAGCAACCCAGTCGACCGGCCTTTCTCTGAACAGTATACTCGATGAAATTCTCCTTCAACATGTTACCCAGATAATATACGTCTGTAGGGAACGGATTGCACGGTTTCAAAAGTCGCGACAGGTCGTGTTCAGGGGGGCTTTTGTCGGCCCCGCGTATTATTTCCTCCCTTGGCGGCGAACTGCCGTCGATCGAGTATTGGCGCGACAGCCCGAAGTCGATCAGATAATACCGTGGCCAGCAACGAGTGCGCGTTGTGGGGCGCGAAAACGCGGTATATGCGGGGTTCATCTTGAACCGAACGGGATGGTTGCCTTGTGGGTATAGTTTAGAAGGGTCGACGACGACATTGAGGAGAGCGCAGTCTCTGTTAGACGTATGTGAGCTTCGTTTTCACACGGCCGGTTAGCATGCTGCGCACCGATGGGCGACCCCATTCTCATGCATGTAAGCCAGACCCTCAAACAGCTGTCGGAAGCAGTCCAGCACCTCTCCAACTGTGTCGAAGGGGGGCGCGTACAGTCCCGTGAACCGCGGCATGACGAGTATCTCTCTGTCCTTCTCTTCGGGATCTGGCAAGACGTCCAGAATGGGTATGCAGTGATTACGCGGGTCGGAGGCGCGCTGAGGCTCAGAGAAGAACTGCCCGATGGACGACTCGTACGGATGGGAAGTCCTGCAGATGTACTTGAGCAGGATGGGTGCCGAGTCGACGGTGCGCGTTGCGTCCATGATGCTCGGTCTCTAGCGAAGGATGCGGAGTCAGGGAGCGAGAATAGGGAGAGATTGTAACAGAAAGCGCGCACCGAATGCCTCGCTTTCAAGCTGCGCGTACTGACGTCTGGTGGGCGCACATATCCTGGCGTGAACTTGGGACGGAGAGCATACCCCGCCTTCTCCAGGAATTCACGCCGGTCAAACCAATATTGCTCATCCTCGTGTATGTATTCGGACTGCGACATGGCTGAAGGAGGGGGAAAGTGAATGGCCGCTTTCACATCGCTGTAGGGTTGTATGCCCCCGCATCTTCTGCAGCCCACTTCGGCCTGTGATCCGAAGTGGTAATCGTGGGGACAGGCACCGCGATGACAATCATGTGATGTTTTCCACGTGGCTGCAAACGTGGAATTGCTGTTTCGGAAGATTGCACTTGCAGTTACCCATCCGAAAACTTTCTGGAGGAAATCAAATCCAGTCCATCCTTCTCAAGAGGGTGCTGGTGAATTTCCCTCAAGTTCGTAGAGCTCCAGGTAAGAGCAGCTGGGAAACATGCTTAGCGATCTTTGAAAATCTTTGACTGGGAGAAGAAGAGTCGAATGAGCGAAAGACACCGTTCACTATCATCAAAGAATCAAACACACGCATAACTACAATCATGCCAGAAAGTGTAATTACGGACACGTGTCACGCCGGTCTTTGGTCAAGTTCCTTGCGCAGGCGTTCCAAAAAAAATCACAGGCAGCCTAGGGATGACGACTTGATAGCCGGCCAGGCCAGGTGAGAGGGAGCCGAGATGCAGGCAAATTTACGAGCTCTTTCCAGACTGCTATTGATAATACGTCCATTTCGCCCTCAGTTCGACCAAGTGCTGCTGCAGTCAGGGACTTTGCAGTCTAGGATCTTCATGGTAGAACAGCACGACAAGCAATCTCTGAGACAGTGAGTACCAAGGTGGTTTTGACTTCCATTCTGCAGCAACGGATTTCTCCAGGGTCACGATTGCCGAAGTTGAGCTAATCAAACTCGCCGCAAACAAGTTGCAACAGATGGGATCAACATCTTTCTTCTTGCCTGGCGAGCTCATGTTTTCCTCTTCCGGCAAGGCCACAACGCTTTCCAGAAAATTTACGACACAGATACCGATTCTATGCCCGATCTCCGGAAGAAAATCAGCAGGGACATTTCAACGACGTCACGCTTTGCGAACACAATGATGCCACCGACCTGCAAAGCCCGCGACAATCTAGAACGATTCATCGATTACAGACGCGACATCACGAGCGCCACCTTGACGTCCGAGGAGAGCCGCTAGTTCAATTTTGTTGCATCATTATGTCCATGTGATAAGCCTGGATGATAACAACTTTTATGGATCTTCTGGGAAATACCAGCAACCGCCGACGAATTGGGACGAGTCTCGATCGCGAGATGCATTGATATTCGTCTGACAGTCTCGCCACTCTCCACGTGAGTGCATGTCTAGAAAGAAACTCACTAAAGGAGACTGGGATGCGAAATGAGCTTCGAATCTGAAACGGGCAGTTGTCGCTCTCTCCTTGAAAGCTTCTGGAACCACCGGCAGTGGACACCTGTGTAATTACCAGTTTCTCAGGCCCATCGCAAAGCATAAATTCTCGCTCCCGCGGCGAGGGTTTCCAAGCCACCCATAAAAATGCCTGCACCCACTTGCACCGGCCCCCTTCAGGATTTCACACATGTCCAACAAATCGTTTCCGTCTTGGGAGGGAGCATCGACGCTTGCCTGCTCGGCGAAGATATGCAGCCTCTGCGACACGGACAGGTGATTGTTTGCGAGAACCAGATTTCAGCCACCTTCGAGCTGCCGCCCGAGACCGTGAGTGGGAAGCGCCTAATGCGGCCGAATATTCGCTGACGCTCTGTGTGGCAGATATTCTGCGTCAGTTGGCGCTCGCACAACGCCATCACCGCTCTAGCCGCTCTCGTTCATCCAAGCTTTGATGGAACACACGTCCAAGATTATTGCTGCACGGCGGTATTGCCCATGGACGCCCATTCCCCGGAAACCCAACACCAAAATTCTTCGGATGCCCAGATGTCCGGCGCCGCCATAGATGGATGGTTTACTGGTCCCCAGGCTCTCCAAATCGGTGCGAGCAGTCCCATCCTCACGCATTGGTGATACTGACCTCTTAACCGCTTCAGGGTTTGTCCAGCTCGAGTTCCGAAAGGCAGTTCGCACAGTTGCAGCGGACGGGTTCTATGACTACGACTACGACACGAGCCCCGAAGCTGCGCAATGCCTGCCTCTGATCTTCCGGTTCAACCTCATTGGCACGGATCCTCCTCCTTCACTCGGCGCGGGGCTTGTAAATCCCACGGATTCAACCTCGTTCGCGCGGTCTCGCTCTCCCTCCCCAGACGCGGCTCCCTGTATTCCTTATTCACCGGTGGTGTGTTCTCGGACTCAATTGCGGATGGGGCATTCACACATTCGGGGTCCCGTCCAGGATCCACAGAACCCGCCGCGCTCAGCGCCACCGTCATACGATCAGGTCATCGCGCAGTCCCGGATTATCGCCGAAATTCTGGTCAGTCGAAGCTGCTTGTTTCCTTGCCGGGCTGACCACTCATCGCATCAGACGGCAATGTTGAGAAACGGGTGTCGCATCGATCCGGCGTTTCTCGCTGCATTTCTCAAGTGAGCGATCCCGAGTGTTCTCGGTTGGTGGGCTGACCTCTCCCCGCAGCAATCTCAAGATGTATGAAAGGGAAATACAATGCTGAAACGCATGCGATGTATATATATCTATATTGTACTCGGATTCACTTGCCTAATTATGGCTATGACGGACTAATAGCTTCGGTGTCTAAGGTGGAGCGGATACTCTCGAACGAGGCCGATGGATCTTTTGCCAGCAAAGCGTGGCCTTCCTCGAGCGACATGGCAGGGTCCGATTTTTCGGCAATGTGCTTTGGCACAGATAAAGCAACGAAGATGGCCGACGACATAATGATCGAGGTGCCCAGCATTGAGAGGAATGTGGGCGATGTGCCGAAGAACACGCGCTCTAGGACGGAGGCAAATATAATCTGCATGTGAATTAGAGAGCCCTGCATGACTGATGAGCGGAGGAAAAGACTGCGCACTTGTGTGTATAAGGCCATCCCTGCCCTCCCGGCCGTTTCTCGTTGGTAGCCCATCGTCAACAGAACTTGCGCGAGGAAGCCGAGGACCCCGATGACCGCCAGAAGACCGAGCCAAGCTGGACGAGTCGGGATCACGACGGGTTCGTGCTGGAAAACCATTCTGGCAAATGTGTCAGAAGCTGGAAGGTACTGCGCAAGATCGACCGCACAATATGGAAGCAGCGATAACAGACTGCAAAGAGAAGAACGACAGAAGATGAATCGGATGGGCCCGGTGCCCGATCGCTCTGATGGTGGTCACTACAGCGGAATGAGGTGTTTCCACAAAGGAAATAAAAGTACTCACTGGCTCCCGTAGACCCAACCACCCCCGCCAATGCAATCCTAATCTGAATTCAGTCGATGCAACGCCGATGCGAGACGTGCAAACCTACCCGATGGCCATCATTCGGTTCCTCTCTTCTATTGGTGTGGAGCTTGTCGAGGGTCCGAACAAGAAATCCGGTCTTGCAATGAGCACGACGCCAAACAGACTGCATACTGAGGAGGGACGATCACTCTCAGGTCAGATCATGGATGGAGGAGCTCTTACAGCCGGCTAAAGCCTCCTTGCGCGAAAACGCCTCTCCCAGAAAAATGCTGGCACTGAGAGCCGTGGTCATAGGCACAAGGAAGCTCAGCACAGTCACGTCCGACAGCGAGAGATATTGCAGCGCAAAATAGGTTCCATTGAGCCCGATAAACCTGTACTCAGAATCGGTAATATGGTCGGGCGAAATAATGAAACTGTGGATACCCCGTCACACCACGGAAAACGAGAAGAAGCCGAACGCCCTCAGGTCCTAGAAGGGATGAGGTACCCTTCGCGCTAGCCTGGTAGGGAGTTGGCGGCGTGTTTTCCAAGGGAGGGTATGCGACATACATGTATCCAATGCTGCAAGCATAGGTTATCGCCTGAAATAGCGATGAAGCGGCGTCGTGAAATTGAAAGCAGGCCGCACCATTCGAACCACGATCAACTGTGGCAGATGGATAGGTCAGGTCATAAACGCGGATCGGGAGGAAGACATACCTGCAAGGTCGAGACCGGCTCCCGTTCTAGACTCTGCAACTTCTTGACTGCAACATTCACGACCGAGAACGCTGCTTGGGCAGCTACGACTAAGAGCAGGTCCGCATTCAAAATTACGATCTCGCGCGCCCGTACGAATAACGCCCATCGACGCCACTGCGGAGAATCGAGGGGTGACCAGGCGCTTTCAACGGTCGGCCCAAGGTCCCGAGCTTCCGATCGCGGGTCGGAGAAGGTGGCTTGCCAATTCAAAGTAAGTGCTTGGTACGGCCGTCGAGACTCTGAGGGCATTGGAAGGAGAGATGACGACAATAGTCGTGTGCGGGTGGGGAAAGGAGCGGAAACAGTGCAAAGATAGCCCCAGATCACTCGGGCTCCGGCGTTTTGTGGAGAGATGTCACAGAAAGGGTTCACTTTGTCTCAGAAGGTCTGAAGCCTGCGGTTGGAACACGCAGGCTCACAGAGAGATGAGGGATAACGAATGCGCGTCGATTACTGTACCCATGGTAAGTTGGAGAATTTTAGAGCTGGGGGGAGGTTTCCTGGGTCCATGTCCTCAAAGTGCATAAGTTGCAGTCGGCAAACGAGACTGTCCTGATCAAGTGATGTGACTTCCATCCAAATTCGGGGCGGACCTAAAGCGGTCCGATATCCGCCTTCGGCCGATGTTGGCCGATGGCAAGAATCACCATGTCACCACACAACTTGACTTCGCCCACCATGATATCTCTTTGGAAGAACGCAGGAAACTGTCAGACAGGAGTTCCTGGATTCCAGATCGCGAATTCTCGTGGTTTCTCGACAGCCCGTGTGCGACGCATCGACATCGGGGTACCGGCCACGTAACGCCCTCCAATCGCCCAACTGCTGTGTCAACATACCTCAGCAAAGACGCCAACATATTCGCCAAAAGTCCCCAAATGGAGAATAATGAAGCCCTCGATACTCGTCATGTTCCATCTACCACTCAAACTAAGATGCTGCACACGATGGCCAAAGCCGATCTACCGTCATGCTCAGAGCGCAACACATGTCACCGGTGAAACAGCCTCCGTATAGAGTCTAAGCACACGGGAACACGACATCGATATTCTCGCCGTGATTTGACTAGCAAATCTGCCTGCACACTGCGCAGGCCCTGGATGCCACGACGTGGATCCTAGTGAAATCCGCAATGTCAAGGAATTCTGTTCAGAAGACATTCCATTCTCAGGGAGACTGTTTCATATTGATCATCAAAGCCCACACGACTTCAAAGGAATTGAACAGCACCATGTGCATCAAAATGAATCGACCACAAGCAACGCCTCCGGAGTTCATTGAGAGGTATATCTGCATTCAAAACAATTTTCTTCCTCTACAGTTGGCGAAACTATTCCGTGTTCGAAATTCCGACGCTCGCATTGTCAAGCCGGTCACGCAAAACCCTCTGATGGGAAAAACACAGATCCTTTTGGAACCTTGGCCCGGTCAGCCGCCACATCTCCGGTGAAGACCCATTTTCTCCCATCTTTACCGAAGTCTCCAATTAGAAAGAATTTCGCGATCACTGTCTTCGATGTCGGCCTTATCTGACGAACTGGTGCGTTTTAAATTAAAGGGTGTCCTTGGGCCCATTTTGTTCCGACCGAGACGCGGATTCTCTGCCTAGATCTGTCTGGAGAGAGAGCAGGACAAGATTTCGGTTTCCGCGCCAATATATTCAACCCGGTGTGGCCTCGATCCACAAACCGAAGTCTGGCAAGCCCTCCTGACCCGGTCGTTGTTCAAATTTGTTCTAGGTCTAGATAAAATTCAATGTCAACTGATCCTACTAGCATGTTCCTCCCCGCGCTCCGGACAAAGGAATCGCGTAGGAGATCACACAATTCTCAATTTCCACTTCAAGCTCCGTCATCGAGAGATAGGACCGATCATACATCAACCACACTTTCCCGTTTGGTTGGGCTTCCTATGCGATCGAACCCGACTCTCAGAACGGTCATCGGGTGATTCGATTGGCTTCTCTCTCTTTCTCTCCTTTTATACTTTGGGATTGTTAAAATCTATCCTCTGGTTTTAGAAGTATTCTGGTCACGCCAAAAATCCTCATAGGTTGATCCAGTATGTCTGCACTCTTCGTAACGGGATTGCGAGAGCACTCCGCGGGATCAGCAATCGGACTGTGCGGCCCACAATCTGAACTGTCGCACGGTTCGCGTCGCTTCTCGAGAAATCTGAGAAGCTCTCAGCCGATCTCTCTCGCTGAGCTTCACGGGAGAAGCATTGGAGATTGGACAATTCTCGCTTCGTGCATCAAGTTCCGAGAATGACACAAGTCCTCAAATATTTGGCCCTGCTGCTGATTAGGTAGGGGGAGCCCCGCAATTCGGCTGTGGGCATCTTATCGCGTTGAATGGTTGGCCGCGGGCGTCTGCTCCTACTCCAGCATGAGAAAATGGATGTCGCGCACGAGTCCAGGACGGTCAAATGAACGCTTGTCGTTGATTTTTCCCCGGATAGAGAGTGGTTTGCTCTGGTGCTGAGAGTGGCAGGGACGAGTCATGCTTTGAACGAAATTTAGAGCCAAATCTATTACATATGTCCTCTCCGTCATGACTCCAGCTTGTTCAGCCTTACGTGGGACGCCCATGAATGGCGGGAGTAAAGTCTCGGACTACGAAACACCGAGGTGCTTACACATCATATTTGTCACGCCTTAGACTCTCGCGGGGAAATCCGGGATAGAGTCGGAACGGAGCGGAACGGTGTTCATATAGGAGTTTATCCTTAAGTTAGTTAGCTGGAAAGTCTTTAGCCAACGGGCTGCAGCGGGGACTAAATGGCCTCCGGGCTCGAGGGTCAGGGTGCGAATGCTTGTAATTACAGAGAAGCAGGGGGCACAAACTTCGAGCGCAATTCACTGATACAGTGCACTGAGCATTGTTATGTATCTCTAATTGACACAGTCTCAAACGAGTAGATATCCGCGCGTCGGCATTGAATCGAGGAATCATAAAGCTTGAAACTTTGAGGCTGTCGAAGGAGGGTCATTGGATGCAGGTGGACGGGCTGGGGAGTGATTCGATGAGCCGCTGTAAAGCCGCAAAGGAAGGCGATTGAGCGGCGACTTGGACACGACGAAAAGCGGGTGGACGGGTAGCCTGACTCCTGAGCCAAGGACACATGCATGGCAGAATGGAGACAGGCGGATTGCGGACGCGGACAGACCAAGGCACAACGGTCGGCTAAAGGGTTGATGATCAAACAGGGATCTCCCACGCGAGGTTGATATGGAGATGACGGTGCCCATCCCTTCACTCGTGAGCGAGGAGTCCTTGATGTCGTCCGTGTCGAGCCATGTGCACGGGGCTCCGACTGGGGGGATGTGAATAACACGGAGTGACGGCGCCCGGGACCTATAGGATGACTCCGGGAGTGAGTAGGCCTGTCGGAGCACGGAGCTGACAAAGCCTGTGTGGGTTACCAAACGCGTCGGCCAATAATGTGTGGTCTAATATTTGGTGGACTCCGGCTTGTCATCTACAACCATGTCCCACCCTATTGCATTCCCAGCTGGGCAGCAGATCGCCCGCTCCCCGGTAGACTATCCTATGGGCTCCTACGACGATGGCAACTTCAATCCCTCTAGTTACACCCGCCATTTCATCGGATCTCCCATCTCCTGGCGTGCGGGTAGCTTTGGCGCACAGTTCGTGCCCAGTCAGTCCCCCACTGCCATGCTCGTTGGCTCATTCGAGTACGAGTGTCTCTCTGTACAGCCCGGTCGCATGCTAATGCCACGCAGCCCAATGAAGTCCCCACGCGACTCATCCATAATGAATGCCTGGTCCGTGTTCGACCGTCAAGGTGAACTGTGTCGCAACTACACCTGCTGTGGCATTCAGCTTCCCGACCTGCATGCGCTGCTGGAGCACTTCGAGGACGTGCATATCGTCGTCAAGGACCGTTCGCAACCGCCCGCTATCCAAATTCCCTTCAACCCCCAGATTCACGACCCTGCATCTCAACCCACCCCCACGTCCCATAATCCAGGGCCCCAGTATGGGACACCCTTCGATACTGACGACATGGATCTAGGGATGGACGAATACCCATCTGGTGATTCAACCTCTCCGCCGCCCTCCACTGCACCCCCAAGCGCGGGCACCTCGCGCGCAGCTTCGCCATCATCGTCCTCCTCACACGCCCCCTCTCCGATTGCTACCTCGCGACCTGCACTTCACATTGGTGTTGGTGGTGTTGGGTTCCCTTATCGGGCCGAGGGACTTCACACGCCCTTGTCTGCGGGCACGCCGTTCAGCGCTTACTCAAGACTCGGCAAAGGTAGCGAGTTCAATCCCCAATCGGAACAGGCACCGGCAGAATCCGGTGCCATTGCACCTGCGTTGGTGTTTGCCAGCTCTAATGAGGAACCTGAAGATGATGTTGTCCCTATTGTCAAAGCGGCCAAGACGAAGCGGACAGCGTCTCCGCCGTCGCGCGATGGAACGCCCGGACCGTCTGCATCCGCCACACAGTCGTCACCAGTTGGTCAATCAGGGCCGACACTGACTCCATCGGCACCGGCTACCCCAACAACGGTTCCACCGGCCGCATCAGCTCCGACCATCCTCCTTCCCCACAAGCCGTTCCGATGCCCGAAGCCGAATTGCAGCAAGTCTTACAAGCAGGCCAATGGGCTCAAATATCACGTCACGCATGGGCAATGCAGTTTTGGGCCCGCCAAGGACGTTGAGGCTGTGCGTGCCGTTCTGGAGAAGAAGAAGGCGAGCGCGGCTGCGAACTCTACGCCATCGACCGGAACATCCACGCCGGCAGAAGAGGACCCACATGGAGCCTCTGCCTCGACGTTGACCCAAGCCGAAATAAGCGACATCGAGGCCAGGGTTCGTCCGTTCGCTTGCGGGGTCGGTGATTGTCCTCGCCGCTACAAAAACATGAATGGGCTGCGATACCATTACCAGCATTCTGGAGACCATGGCGCCGTTGGGCTCAGCCTGCTTGCCGGTGGTGTCCATGCCTGTTTGCAGAAGGGTGGTGCAGCGGCAGCTAACTCTACGTCGTCGTCCGCGGCCAACTCAGCTCCGCCGACACCTTCCACAACGACTCCACCTGCCGGCAAAAGCTACGCGTGGGGCAGCACGCTTCTGCCACATATCCAAGCCACTGCTTCTGCTGCCAAAACGAAGGCGAAGACAGATGCGACGCCGTTCACTCCTCCATCGACTGGCTCTGGGACGAGTACATTTGCCATCACGCCGCAGAGCGTGATTGCCAAGGCCAATCAGCAACAGGGTCTTTCGCCAGCCCAGACGCAGGAGTACATCCGGCTGCAGTACGCCCAGTATCAGCAGGCAATGGCTGCCGGGTGGTACAACTCGAATTCGCAGTCGGTTGACGTCACCATGGGTTGAGCGTGTGCTCTCCGGGCCTACCATCCGACTCCTCATGCGCTCCAAAAGTATTCTGTAATGTGGCTGGCTGCGTTATATGTATTTCTCGCAGTCTCTTCCGCAAGTATCATAGTATCCTATACATATGTCCGCGCCCTCCTACTCTATTGCTCACTATATTTTGTTATCTGTCTTGTTGTGCTTGTGCTGGTTGTCGCACCACTCCCCACTCACTTTCCACCCCCACCCTCCCTCTCCCTGTTCCTCTCCCTCGTCCCTCTTACTCTCCCTTATCCCTCGTCCCTCGTCCTCGTCCTTGACGCCGACGCCTAGTCTCCGGCCAGGGACCATTATGATTGATAAATCTGTGTACTGTCGTGGCGTATATCCATCTTGCTGGTACATGTTGTATCGAGACATCCGATATAGAAATCTCATTCCGTGTCGCACTCAATCATTCAGGACTTGAATAGCAAGACTATTCGACACTGCCACGTTGATGGATCAGATTACAAGCTGGCCAGATGCGGATACTGTAGATAATCACTCGTCACTTTTCTCTGTCCACCCATGTCCGCACCTGTCTCGATCCCTTCTCCCCGATCATCCACTCCGGAGTCCGACTCTCGACTATCCGAATCACCTCCCACTCTGGACCCGAGCACGCTTGCGCTGCTCAACGATTTCATCGCGCACAAAACCGAAACGGAGCGCCGTTTCAATGATCTGGCGGGAGAGGCTGCGCAGCAAATCGCAGGCGGCGGTGCGGAAGGCGGGGACGAGGAGGCGAAGCCCATGATGAGCGTGGACGAATACCGCGAAACGTTCACCGAGGACTGGCAATTGAGCCAATTCTGGTGCGTCTGCGCGTTGGCCGTCGCACCCTGGGTGTCCCTGGATCATCGAGCTTCGCAGGTATACCACCGCATTCTCGATGAGTTTCGCGAGGCTCTTGCATAAAATGTGCACACCGGAAACGTCCATTGCTTTTCTGTGCTGTCCTACCGCGTTTGTGGGCTTTCAACATCTGAAACCGCACAAGAACGCCCGGGTCCTAGAAGTGGACGGCCGGTTCGCCGTCCTTGCTGGGAGACACTACGTTCCATATGACATGGAAGAGCCCACTGAGCTTCCGGCGTATCTCGACAACAGCGTCGAGATCGCTGTCGTCGATCCCCCGTTCTTGAATGAGGCAGGTCGTCTCGTTCGCCTCGCGTTGCGTTTCTGACGGCGATTCTGCAGTACACGAATACTCGGGTAGTCACCACTTTGCGAAAAATCATGCGACCGGACGCCAAGTTGATTGTGCTCACTTCGACCTCCGTGACGCCTATTCTCGAGAAACTATACGATTCGCCGCCACTGGGGCCTTGAGGCTGACCAAGTCCAGGTCCAGCATGGACAGCTCCGGAATGATTTCGGATGCTGGGCGAGCTGGGAAGGATCTGAGAATCTGACGCTCGAGGATTAATAGTTTTGAACCAAGCATAGATTGATTGTACATGTAATTTGTATCCTGTCATGTATGTGTCTCATTCAAGTGCCAGCTACATCTCAAGAGAAACCTGGATTCCTGGTGATGATTCCCCGGACGAGATTGGGCTCGGAGTGGTAAAAGTCCATCACTGCGTGCACGCAATAGATCAGTTCAAGCTCCTGCGCGTGACCTCCAAACTCACAAATCACACCGAACCGAACTCCTTTGCGCTCACTGATCCACGAATGCAGGCGTTCATTCATCCCGGACGTGGACTTTGTTCCAAGCGCAATAATCTAGCGAGCCGAAACTTTTAGTTGTAGCCACATTGAGAGCGAGAAGGCGACTCACGTTAGGTGTCAAGGGAGATTCCGATTCGTAGTCGGCAAACGCGCTGGAAAACGTGATGTAGAGTCCCTCTTCGACATCTGGTTGATGAGGGACGCCATCAATAGCACGGTTCAGATGGCTGACGACTGCGTCGAATTTTGAAGATATCGTTGTTTCCGCTCCTGAATTGGGGGGAACTTGTGGTTTGAATTTGTCCTGGCCGTGGGTTCAATTTTTTTTTGATAATAGACGGTGATCTAGGTCACGACGGACCTCGATGTAAGCGACACGCCGGGGCTTTTCATTGTACACAAGGTGGATGTCTCCTCCGTTAGCGGTCCAGTGGTCAGCGCCGAGATGGATTCCGAAAGGATTCATCGCAGACGCGTCCAAGAATTTATATGTGAAACGTTGGAGCAGGATTAATTTTCCGCGGGCTTGGCCCAAAGTTCCCAGCTGCCCCGTCAGGCGCTGGAACAAATTTCGAAGAGTGAAAAGGTTGACGCACTTTTCCTGCAGGCATGAACCAAAACTTCTTTCCCGCGTCGTTATTGAGCGTCGCGAACAATAGCTCTTCAAATTTCTTGTCGTACACTGTCTTTGAACCTTCCTCGTAGTTTATTGAGACCAGAACTGTTTCCGTGGGATGCGCCAGCAGCCACGCGTAGAGGCCAAACAAGATGTCTTGCAATGTTGAAGTAGGCCCAAGAAGCGCGGTACCTTCGAGTCTGTTCGATTTTGTGGGTAGCAAGGAGCCCTCCCTAACTTACCGTGCCAAAATCCGATCGTATCGTTTCCGGGATTGTATGCTACGCGTAGATCAAAGGCGCGCACACCGTCGTTGAGAGATTGAACCAGAGAGCGTTCTTGGCAGTGAAAAAATACAGCCGATGGGATGCTGCATCCGTCCACATCTGGATCAAACGCTGAAAAGAATGAAACTCACTTGCCGGTGTATTTTTTGAGTTCATCCTGACGGTCCTGCGAATAATCCCCTACATCAATTCGACCACTTTCATGAGTTGCAGTGGCACAAAAATGCAGCGAAATACCGACATGTCGCAGAGTCGTGCGTCCCCGGGATACTCATATTCACTATGCGCGTGGAATCTGGGACGCTGGACATCCAGTCACTCCAGGGACGGTTGGGGCCGTCATCCTGGCCTTGCGTGAATAGTCAGATGTTTTGTTGGATTATCAGTTACTAGAAGAGCGGGTACCCAGGATGGGCTTTGCCCGTGCCAGTATCTCACTGAGGGCCCTGTCTGCGAGAAACTGGCGCAGCTCCATCGACGGCGGTGACAGTCCGAGTCTGCGTTAATGTTCCGAACGGTCGGACACACGTGCGTCCGCGCGTACGGCAGATAAGATAAGATCTTCCCAATGGCACTGTTCGGTGATCGATCGCCCATCATCGACGTTCGCTCGAGCGGCTCCCACTCAGACCATGGCCTCGGATTTGAAAGTCGATTTTATACTCTTGCCTCGCTTTTTGCATGCACGCGCTATGGCAGCATGTCAACACTCCGCAGCGTTGAGGGGGTACGAGCTAAAAGTTCCTGGTGATACTTGAACTGCTGTGCTCTCCAGTTAAAGAGGTGTGTGGTAGTCATTCATCCTGGAGGTATTGCCTCAGTGCTCTCTGAAAGATGAGCGCCAACTCTCCTGGTGTGAAACCCGCGCGTCACGTATCGTTACAGTATCCAGTCCTTTCTCCTTCCTGCAGTCGTACTGCGTTTGGCGCTGCCCTGGTTCTGTGTCAAATGCCGCATGGGCTTCCGCACTCCACTTCGGGACCCGGACCACACGTCTTCGACTTCTTGAACATGCAAAATCGCGTGGTGGTGCTGAGACGCGTGCTGGACGCAGTAACCCTTCATTCCGCCAAGCACTGTCATGTGTCCGACCGGCAAGCCACTAGGAACCCATTCAAGTTGGCTCTCTTTCGAGCGGTCCCCTCCAAAATTTGTTCACTGTTTTGACGACCCTCGCTTCTGCCACATACCGCTTCCCTCCTCCAACAGTTGGGATGTCTACTGGGAGAAAACCTTCGATTCACTGCCCTAGTGTCCAACGCTTTACGCGGGTTCGACCGTCTCGCTGATGACACCTCGAGCATGCCGCTGACTGTACTGGACATGTCGGAGGAATGAAACACCCGCTGCTATCAGCGCTTCCCGAAGCCCGCCTTTACATCGTTTGGACTGACGGGCAATAGTCAAGGTCCAGAAATGTCTTCGGGGAGGTCTTGGACTACTGTCTCATCTTCCTGCATTCAAGGCGCTGGCGATGGTTCACGCCGGCTCTGATGGCTGGAACTTAATCGACGAGGGACCAGATGATGGCCGGTCAGCACCGTGTCACGACTTTGCACAAACGGCTTTCTATCGCGATATCAAAACGGATCACTAGTAAACCAGAGGACGATATGTTGAGTTGGCATGAATGCAAATGTTCGTTCCGTTCTCATGCTGTTCGCTTCGTGTACATCGGTCGAGGCCATGCGGGAATGCTCGCTGCGTGAGCAATGCACTCATCTTGTGGAACCTGTTGAGCCGAGTACTTGGGGGGAGCCACACTAGTGTAGTGGAAGAGATACATCGGGTCGTCAGCCTTCGATGACTCTTCATTCACTACTTCATTGACTATTATCTTGGGAAGAGATCAGAATGGAGATAGGTAGTCGAAGTCGGTTTTGCGATGGAACTGTGCCATCCGATTCAAGTGTCACTCATGCCAGTGGTTCAATTGACAAGCAAGATTAGGAGCCCTTGGTCCGTGGAATTGAGTCGTAAGTACATGGGTAACTTGATTATTAGGAGGGTATCGTCTATGCCATCTACACGGCTCAGTGCTATACTGCTGCCCTTCGCGTTCTCCGACTGTTGACCGCCTGAGATTCATCAAGAGAGGTAGAGAAGAAGATCGTTCACCTGCTGCAGGCACCACAAGTCAGGCAGTCGGCGATGGCAGCTAGACAAGACGCGATGGCTGGGGATCATCAGCCGAAAGGGTAGCGGAACGAAAGTGAGCACTGACCAGCGACGATGCATTCAATACATCCGGCGATCGCTGCAATGATTGCCATGATACACTCTCCGATGCACGATATAATTCCTAGAGATGTCCCATCAGAGACGGCTGGCTTCTGCGAGGAAGATGGACCGACCAGACACGCAAGATATGATGCACCTGGGAATGGAAGACGAAACTCAGAAAAAGGATCACAATCGGAAGTCGACTTACCCCATGATTCCAAGACGTGAAAAGTTGTTGTTCAATCTGGGAGACCTTCCGGTCTTAAGTATGAGCACGACGCAGGTGACGTCATTCTTGTCGCCCCAACGATGACATGGTGTTGCGAGGGGGCTCCCATACGGACTTGGGAAGAAGTCGATTTGACTTCAGAGCGACTGTTCGGTTCTCAATGAGTCCCTGCAAAATATATATCAGCCCAGCGGACCTTTTGTTGTAGAGTCAGCAGACTCACAAGTAAAATACACCACGTGATCGTGTCTGCATAGATTTTGGAGATCCGTTCTGCAACGACTCGGAGCTCCCACGAAAGTGAGGGACGCGTCAAAGCCAGGTGCTCACGTCGGAAAATCAGAGTGCCCTTGGAAGGCTATTGTTCATCGCGTCAATGCTCGCATATATTGTGGGGATGGCCAGATACAGTCGCGAATATTCCAGTTCAAATGAACCAACGGAAGCAAAGAAACCAGTCCAAAATCAGCGCACTCGAATACTCATGCCCGAAGCGAGTAAGTACGCTCAAAGCCAGGTTCCTGGATCAGTATTCATCTGGATCCCAGTCATTTGCTCGCTAGTCGTCGTAACGCTACCCTCTCCAAAGCATGCAGCTATTGTCGCTTCGAAGAAATCAGATTACATACACCCACCACCTTCTGCTACTCAAGGCGTGGCAAGGGCGTGGTGGTGTCATTGTTGGGAACGGAGAAAGACGGACACAATTTGGGCTTGTTGTGGCACGAAGTGTTGCTTACTTAACCAACCCACGCACGCGCTTCCACTTTTCTTGTGCATCCTCAAGTGCATCCCGTCTTCCCCATAACCTTCAACGTGAGTACTCATCCCATTCCTTCTTGAGAATCGCCCGTACCACTGAGCTCCCTTCGGAGCGGGCTTCCACTTCTGCACTGGCTCCTTGGCCACGTCGCGTCCAACTCGTACCACTTATCATCGACTATGGCTGACGACACCCCAGAATGCGTGAAATCGTGCACCTGCAGACCGGCCAGGTGAGTTCCGTGGCCTTGGATGTTTGCTCTTTGTGCTTATGCCGCTGTTCTAGTGTGGAAACCAGATCGGTCTGAATCGTCACCCCCCTTGTCTTGGCCAACACACTCATGTTTTTTTCCGTCAGGTGCCCGCTTCTGGGAAGTCGTCTCTGACGAGCACGGTATTGGCGCGGATGGTCTCTACAACGGCAGTAACGACCTCCAACTCGAGCGGATTTCTGTGTACTACAACGAGGTTGGCAGCAACAAGTACGTGCCTCGTGCAGTCTTGGTCGACCTCGAGCCTGGTACCATGGATTCCGTCCGCTCTGGTCCTCTTGGCACCCTGTTCCGCCCCGACAACTTTGTCTTCGGACAGAGTGGTGCTGGCAACAACTGGGCCAAAGGACGTGAGTAGCGGTCATATCGCTGATAGCACGATGCTCATGGCTCATGGAATGTTTTAGATTACACTGAGGGTGCCGAGCTTGTAGACTCCGTCCTTGATGTCGTTCGTAAGGAGGCCGAGGGAACGGATTGTCTGCAGGGTGTGTGGACTTTTTTTCCTCTCTCTGATTGTCACATTTGACGCGCTCTAGGTTTCCAAATCACTCACTCGCTTGGTGGTGGAACTGGATCCGGAATGGGGACGCTCCTCATTTCCAAGATTCGTGAGGAGTACCCTGACCGAATGATGTGCACATACTCTGTTGTGCCCAGTCCCAAGGTCTCCGACACTGTCGTCGAGGTGAGACCCCGCTATTTTATATCGTATCATATGTATTGACTTTCTGTTTGACAGCCCTACAACGCCACCCTCTCTGTCCACCAGCTTGTCGAGAACTCTGACGAGACTTACTGCATCGACAACGAAGCCCTGTATGACATCTGCTTCCGCACGCTGAAGCTGTCGACCCCGACATACGGTGACCTGAACAACCTCGTCTCCGTCGTTATGTCTGGAATCACCACTTGCTTGCGTTTCCCTGGTCAGCTTAACTCTGACTTGCGTAAGCTCGCTGTCAACATGGTGCCCTTCCCCCGTCTACACTTCTTCATGACCGGATTTGCCCCGCTTACTGCCCGGGGCAGCGCCCAATACCGGGCCGTCAGTGTTCCTGAGCTGACAGCCCAGATGTTCGACGCAAAGAACATGATGGCAGCTTGCGACCCCCGTCACGGACGCTACCTCACCGTCGCTGCCGTCTTCCGCGGAAAGGTCTCCATGAAGGAGGTCGACGAGCAGATGCAGAACGTCCAGAACAAGAACTCTGCGTACTTCGTCGAGTGGATCCCCAACAATGTCCTCAGCGCTCACTGTGACATTCCTCCTCGTGGTATCAAAATGGCCGTCACCTTCATTGGTAACTCGACTGCTATCCAGGAGCTGTTCAAGCGTGTCAGCGATCAGTTCACGGCCATGTTCAAGCGCAAGGCCTTCTTGCATTGGTACACCCAGGAGGGTATGGATGAGATGGAGGTCAGTATATGCTCTCCTTTTTAGCGACGGCCAACTGATGCATTCATTTCTAGTTCACTGAGGCAGAGTCCAACATGCAGGATCTTGTTGCTGAGTACCAGCAGTACCAGGATGCTACGTGCGTCATCTTCCATTTCGTGTTCCTCCGCCTCACAACTGACGATCTTTTCCAGCATTGAGGAGGATGGCGAGTACGAGGAGGATATCCCTGTTGAGGAGGAACAGTAGATGTGTTGTTAACGCTGCACTTGACGACCACCTATACCCTCACAAAACATATTACTCCTGGCTGACTCTTAATACTTGATTTTACTTGCTTACCTTCTTTTGTCGCGGATTGCATTAACAATGAATAGCTGGGCTTTGGCGCCGGTTGTCTCTCAGGTCTTAGTCGTCAATAAGCGACAACAACGCGAAGAAGCTTGACCATCTACTTCGACATCCTCTATGACCGACGCTTGGGAGGCCGATTATCTAAATAGGATTCAAAGCGGCGCCCGCGGGCGTGCCAATGATCTAGACGATGATGATGTCGAGATGCCACCGCCTCGATCCCATGCTGCACTGGATGACATTCTTGCAGAGCACTTTGAGGAGTTCAGGGCTCCTGCGCCGCTTCCGGACGAGACAGAACTGGAGCAGTTGACGCGTCATTGGATGAACGAACGACACGCGCCGGATATTCTGCTTGCTCAGGACGCTTTGCTGGCGCGCTTGTTAGATCATATCCGGCGGCAGGTGCGATGGCCAACTCACAGCCGTCTTTCTCTCTACTGAATCTCCGTGTCTTTCAGTCCGATACAATTCAACTGCTACGCGGGGATCCTTCGACCTCAGAAGAGGAGCACATCCGGATCGTACTGGCTCAGACGGAGGTCGAACGCGTCAAGTTCATTGTCCGTTCATATGTAAGGACGCGTCTTTTCAAGGTCAGTCGGTTCAAAACTTGCATGGGGCACGCCCGGGTAATTATCTCACAGCGTCTAGATTGAAAGATACGCGCGATACATCCTTGCGAACGAGCACGTCCAGACCTTGCTTACCACTGCTGAGCGCGACTACGCGAGCAGGTTCGTCGCCTAGCAATACTATGCTGGCCCTTACGCTCAATATCGCAGACATGTGCACCTCGCAGACCGGCATTTTCACTCGACAGTTCTTCAGAGTTTGCCGCCCGATCAAGCAGGACTGGATGATGTCCCCCATTTCATCATGCCCAGCATCAGTTGAGTCGCGCTGGTCAGATTGCTCTTGAATGCATGCTCATTTGACAACGTCAGTCACCGAGCCAGACAATACGCGCGCTGTCTTCGCTCTTGCGCGTCGGAATGTGACTTGCCGCACTAGAGAGTAGGTCTTGTCGCTTGATCGTCGCTGCCTATGCTCACATTTCAACAGGAACCGAACGATAGATCTTCCCAAGGGCAGTTTGACGCTGATTGCTTTCGCCACCGTCGCAGACGAGATCGCTCGAGGAGGGATTGAGCTCGTGTAAATGTACAATTCAAATATCATCATCCTACAACTTTGGCAATACATTCAAACAGACAATACATTGGAATAAAAAGCGGGATATAAGATTATCGAGACCAGCAGCAGGCTGCGCTACCGTTTTGGGACGTAGGGCTTGTTGTCGTCCCAATCACTGTCATCCCCTCGGTCATACTCATCGCCATCATCCATATTGGTGTCGTCGTTCTCTTCAGGATCTGTCTTGGTCTCCGCCTCGGCCTCGGCCTCAGCTTCAACCTCGGCCCCAGCCTCAGCCTCGACGATCTCTTCCGCCGATTTCTTTTTCCTTCTCTTGCGCGGTGCAGGAGCATCGCCGCTGGCATTGGCCGTGGCGCGCTTGCCCTTCCCGCGTTTCTTCTTCTCGGCGTTCTCGCCTTCCAAATCAATCTTGCCCCCATTCGATGGATCCGGTACAGCCTCTACAAGCTCTTTCAGGAAATCCAGCATCTCTGTCGTGTCCACGGCGTGCTTCCTTCAGGCAGTTGCAGTAAATCAGACGCTGAACGCGTAGAGAGAAAGAGAGAGAGCGCTGGACGCACAAATGATACGCCTCGACTTTCTTTGACCCGCGCTCCTTAGTGACCTTGCTCGCCTCGTCGACAATAAGACCCAGAAACAGCTCGAGCGCTTTCGCTGGAGAAACGGGGATGAGTTGGTCATCGGAACCCGAAGATCAACGCGTAGTGTACGCACAGATGACGATGGGCGTGGCCTGTGCCACCTTCCCAACCTCCTCGTCTTTCTGCATTATCCGCTTAATTCGCGCCTGCGCCGTCCGAGTCAGACTTTCTCATACAGTGCTTTGAGGTGATCCAAGTGCATACGACGGGGAATTTGGTCTGCTTGTTCTTATTCTTCATCGTTGCGTGGCGAGACAGGATTGGTTGTCTTTTGTCTGGCGAACAAGTTCCCAGATACGAATGACGAGTCGTGCAGATCGAGAACAAGAGTTGGAGAACGATTCACTCGCGTGGGAAATTAAATGATATCAATTGAGGTCACGTGTATTTCTACGTCAAGGCTCTGGAGTCTGCACCTCGCCTTGGTTTCACTGAGACGGAGAAGAGTCTTCTTGTCCCATCCATCCATATACCCTTCCGAGACGAACAGCAACCCTGAGATACATAAGTCAATAATGGCGTCTCACCTGACTGAGTTGACCATTTCATTTGATGAGAACCGAGCAGTGAATGAGAATGATGCTGCCGTGGCCAGTCAGAACCGCAGAGAAAGAGACGGGTGTTCGGGGACTGATAACGCTAGCCGCTGTTTTCCGACAATCGATGCAGAGGGAGAACCCGGCGGTCTGCGAAATGTCGAGCTTGACGCGCTTCCCAACCTGTAGTAAGACCATGAGCGCGGACAGATGGAGTTGCATTCTGCGAGTCAGCCGAACGAAGTTGACATCTGACAGGTGTGTCGTCCTTGTATTTTAACGGTCGTCCAAAGATCGTATGAACGAACAGCAGTCCCCGTGAGGCTGGCGATGGGACAGTCAGCTTGAAACCTCTCTTTCCGATCCGATCTTGAATTCCACAGGCAAAGGTTCGGAGAAACCTGATGTTCGCCCCTCTTGACTGGCTTCGATTTTGGATTCAGAATCCACGATGGAGACAAAACAATCGATCGCATGAGAGTGCAGTCAGAGATATCGCTTGGGAGCATACCAGCGAGATGCATCAGTAGCCAGATGAACCATGGAGTTCCCCAATTGTTTTTGACTCAAGGGCAGCATGTTCTAAGCATTGCTGGCATCCGATAGCTGCCAGATCACCCAGAGCCTCAAACGCACCCCAGTGCACTGGTGTACATCTTGAGGTCCTCGTCGTGAGTTGCCCAGTGTGCTGGAAATGGAAGCTGGTCGAGGTATTGGGTTAACCACGAGGCGCGCACTCAGTTCAGCGAGCGGACATAATCTCTCGAGTGAGTTAGTCCTCTGTGATTCTGGGACATGGGAGTCGATGTGCGCAGGTCATGTCCGTCCTGTTACTGCCTGAAACGAGGCACATCGGATAGAGAGAGAATACATTCACCATGCAGTCGCAAGAGACCTGAAACTTGGTTGTCAACATTGAGTTAGCGAGATTTGGCCTCATCTTCCGCCAAGCCGACGACGCAAATTCGTTGGTCCCAAAGACGAAGCGCCAAAAACTTCGAGATCCCGCTGGTATACTCGCTCCGTGGCAGATGCGGTGTCCAGAGTCCAGATGCCTGCACCATGTGCTGCATCTACCACGAGACGTAGAATAGAGCAACAAGAGACGAGAAATGGAGCCCGATCACCCCGTAAAACGCCAATCTAGTGCGGAGTGCATCACCATGAATGGCCTGGCCACACGCTGTCTAAACAGTTCTTGAGCTCTCAAAGACAAGTCATATCCAGACACTTGCCTCGGTTCCTCCTCGAGAGACGATCCACTCGGGAACAATTCACGCTGCGGTTCGACTTGAGGATCATATTGTCATCCTTTTGTAGATAAAAGAGTTGATGAATGGCAGCCTGGCGCCTTCCAGCAGTTAAGAACCTGATTCGATCTTAGCGCGTAAGACTGCTTGATTTCTTGCCCTTTCTGGACAGAATGCGGAGCGAGATTTGGATCGAGAGGAGGCAAAGTATTGTTCACTCCTGCTAGCACAAAATCCGACCCACCTAGAGTCAGAGTCAATACGAGACAGCTGCAGACAATTCGACGGACTCGGCTTTCGTTCCTTTCTGGAGCTTTCGTACGCGTAAGTTGGAACAGGTTGATCTGCGAACTGGAGAAGGATCATCTAATATCTTCCTGGAATATCAGCAGGGCCCCTGGCGTACGCAAACTGATGCCAGTCCTCCATCGCTTTGAGGGCACGCCGGGACCGCATTGATGAGTCTTGTGGGTAACATTTGGACTTTTTCATCATCCGCGACATGACCACTTGTTCAGAGAAACTTCGAGATTGCATCAGGATCTTATAGGGGAATTGAGACCGGCAACGCCGTGACAATAGTTCCACATCGATGTTCTCCGCCCTGGAAGATTCTGAGCAGTTTCGAGTTGGACCAACGGTATCGAAGACAACGTTCCCGTGGGGTTGCACTCGTTACATTCATGAGTAGTATATTTAGTTCGTGATTTAGCATACCTGAATATGGTCCTGCGTATGAGCGAGATTGCAATGAGCGCCGTCATTTCGAGTTGTTCAGCAGAGCGCGCTAACTCTCGAATCCAGTCCTTCCTGCGCCAATGGTACGTCCTTTGAATGTGATTTCTACCCATCCGACGTTCTTCAATATCTAGCTCTTGGAGAGTATGCAGCTTCTGTCGGCGTCATTGGTAACCGGTTGCGGATGCAGGTCGGGAGGTGAGTGGGCGATATGACGTTGGTGTCAAAGACAGGAGGAGCTCCTTGGTCATGCCATCCCTTGACCTCTGGATTCGTTTCTTGATACTGCAGATTATGCGTCGGTGGCGGGACAGGTCAAGTACAAGTAATGGGAGGAGCTGAGGGATGAACGGGCCGATCATGATCGTGTTTAGACTCAGGGCTAACGCGGTCAGGTGATTCAGGAACGCTCATATATGGGCTGTCACGAGGACGGTCTACGTGCTGACAGGGCTGCCTACTGGAGGTGTGTAGTAGTGGTATAAAAGAGAGTGATGAGGAAAGAGTGTGTGTAGCCGCGATCGAGCGATTCTACATCGAACAGCTATTATCAGACGCGATGTATCAAAGATCGCGCTTGGGATGGCCGTGAGCTGGATGATGTCAGTATTGGACCAGGGTTCCAGAGGCTCTCCTACCTGAGCACTGGTGGCGCGACACAGTTTGTCCCGCGCGCGACGCTGAAGAGGTCGTGGAGACAGTGGTCGAGCTCGTCAAGTTTGCAATTGTCTTAGCAGGAGTGGAAGTAGTCAGGGTTGTTTGTACTGCGGTTGTGCTGCTGACAGTCGTCTTCAAAGTGGGCTTTGCCGCCTGTTGGGTCGAAGTCGAAGTCGTTGAGGGCTTTGCTGCGGGTGGCGCTGCCGCCGGTGGTGGTGCGGGGTTTGCAGCAACCACATTGGCGCCTGGAATCCTAGTGAGACTCTTCGCCAAGCAAAGCATCCGACCGATTCGACTCACCAGTGAATCCGGGTGCAGACCCTGTACGTTGGTAAATACAGAATTCAGCAGAAGCACGATTTCACCAACCCTTATTTCCGCAACCACCGGTGTTTGGCCAAAAGGACGCGTTCTCGCCGCTCAGACAGCCTCCATTCCACAAAGGGCTGCCGTCAGAGCCAGACCACTCGCTGCAGCTGACTTCCTCGAATGTGCCCAGAAGTGCGCCTCGTCCGGAAGGGAAAAAGGCTGCTGCGCCTCCAGTGTCTTCGCAAATGTCGAAACTGCGTGGGATTAGCCGATGCTGTCGGAAGCTTGAAGCGCTTGCTCACTGCACAGGAGCCCCGAACTGGTTGGCCTGATTCGACACAGTCTGTCCGCAAAAGGCCTACAAAGAAATTCTTGATCCCGTGGCTTATTACGCGCTAGCAGATGTATCGCACCTCATTGCCTTGAGCAGGACACATATCTGTCACCTTGACGACGATTGACTTCCCAAACGGACCCTTGAAGCTGGGGCTGTAAGGGTCCTCGGTGGCCGTCAAAGCAAAGCACCGGCCACACGAATCGCCAGCTCCCAGGCCAGGAACCGAGCCAAACGCGAGCTGGCTGATTGCTGCGCTGTACCCAGACGCCGCCCTTCGCACGCGGGCTGACCACACCCGCTGTAATGCGTGAACGTCGCGGTTCCAGACGGATTCTGGACATAGCCTCCGGTCGCGCGCGGGACGAGCGCAGTGGCCTCGGTCTGGAGAGCCAGGAGGAGGAGGGCTGCAACAATCATCGGGTGGGATTTCGTGGGGGGACTTTTGGAAAAAATGACATCTGCATCGGACGCAATACTTATTTATAATGGACGCTTGCAATACACTCCCTACAAGACGGTGGCAAATCTTCGGATCTTTTAAATTGATGTTGCTTAGCCACCGTCATAATTGATTCTCACTGTTCAGATCACCTCCGGTTTGATTTCGGACCGCTGAGAAAGCACACATAAGAGGTACGTGAGGCTGCTAGGAGCTGCTAGGATGTGTATGCAGCGTTATCAGAAATTAGCTCCTGAGAATCATTTTAAGCATGTGTTCGGCAACAACCGAAGAGCAAATGAGTGACTTGAATGATTGAATCAGTCTCGAAGATGGAGTCAACAGCGCCCGCGGCCATCAAGTTCGTCCTAATCTGGGCGTAGTCCGTGGGAATAAATACAAGATCCGAAGATCCGGTGAGTACGATGACGCTCTGGTGAGCTCTCGTGATTAACACTGTGTCATACCCCAGCCTGTTCTACACCACCTACTCACCTCCCATCTTCAGCGTGGCATACTCGTTTCTCGTCTCTCAATGGCACCTACATCTAAAGCGGACGCACCGATCAACTGCAAACTTCTCCTAATAGGCAACTCCTCTGTGGGCAAGAGCAGTCTTCTCTTGAGGTTCTCGGATGAGCAGTGGCTACCGGAAGATGAGAGTAGCGCGACCATCGGGGTCGATTTCAGGGTGCGCTAATCACAAGTGCCTGATGGGACTGGACTGGACTAGACCGGGGATCTTATATTAGGTGCACAAGATGGAAGTCAAGGGCAAGAAAGTGAAGCTGAGCATATGGGTGCGTTCGAGAAGCCCGGCCGTTGATAAGCTCTCACCCAGCGTCCCGTCCATCCAGGACACTGCAGGCCAGGAACGATTCCGCACCATCACCTCGTCCTACTACCGTGGAGCGCAAGGCATCATCCTTGGCAGGTCTCTCCGCCCCTCTCCCCTCGTTGCTAGCTCATGTCGCGCTTTCGTAGTATATGATGTTTCCAATCGGGAATCCTTTGACGCACTACCGCGATGGTATAGCGAACTGGAGACGTATGTGAGCGACAAAGTCGTCAAGATTCTGGTGGGCAACAAGGTGGACAAGGTGCGTGTGTTCCGTCTCCTTGCCACACATTCTCACTGGCCGTAAAGGAGTTCTCACGGCAAGTGCCCACTTCAGAAGCGCAGGCCTTTGCAAAGCGCATGAACTCCCTCTTTGTCGAGGCCTCCGCAAAGACATCCATTGGCGTCAAGGAAGCGTTCACAGAAGTCGTCGAGAGGATCATGGACATCCCAGAACTATGGGAAGCAGCTCCTGGTGTGGGTGCAGGCGCGGCTGCCAAGTCCTCTTCGGGGGGACAAATGCCTGGAGGTGTTAATTTGAGCGAGGGCGGAGATCAGGGTGGAGGTGGCTGCTCGTGCTAGAGACTCATGTGCACATTACGATCACGATCAAGACCACGACCCTGCCATGCCATTCATCTTACTTTCGCTGTTCTCCAGGCTAGAGTAGAGCTGTGAGGATTGAACACAAGTCTTCCAATCAGTTTCGGGAACTGGACACACAAGGGATCTGCCCTCGGACGACGGTGGTCAACATGTCAACCCGTCCTCGAGACATTCCCAGTCAGGGATTGCTGAAACTCGAGATTTATAGGCGATGGAGATGGCGGGTAACGGCAGAACTCATGGCTTGGAGCGCAAGAGCTGCTAATGATGAGTTCGATCACGTGACTCCATCAAGAATGAAAGAGTGTCAATAAAGAGTCAAACCGGTTCTTGGCCGTTTGGCAATGTCACGGCCAGACCATTATCAGATCGGTGTTCGAAAATTAAAGCGAATGGCAAAGGCAAAGGACGTCGAGCTCATGGACTAGACTTGAATCCGGTCCCTACGGCAACAGTGGACGCCAATGATCTGCGCGTTTCCTTTTTGGTCAACGCGTTCGAACGGTGTGGATACTTATCGCTAGTTCGAGTCGAGGCGTGGGCCTGGACTAGAGCCCAGGTCCCAGGCCATAGAATCAGATTGAATTCGATCGCGTGGAAACAACGTGTCTATCCCCGCTTGTAGTCCATGTATGACACGATGTAATTCCACCCTCGACAGCTCCCGTCCCTCTCGTGTCTCAAAAGGGAAACATACTCGAGACAAAGATAGATAGAGTTAAAGATAGTGTCCGGCTCATGCAGAATCTAATCTTCTTTCCCTGGACAGCTATCAGCGCGGTGCGGACTCCCAGCGATTTCGTGGGCTGCGCACCCATTACCGTTGCCCAGTAATTCTTCGAACCGGGCCCTCATCGAGTCCAACCGCGCATCATGTTCTCCCGAAGTCACATGCCCAAAGTCCATGAGAAATATCTCGCATTCCCGGACGTACTGCTCGAGATCCTTTCTTCTTGTAATACTCAGTTCGGGTTCATTTGATCCTCGAGCCCGAGCAAGATAGGATGCGAAGATGGTCGACAGCCCGCCTGGACGTTCCTGTCAGTGTTTTTATCACACGGGGTCCGAGGTAGCAGCAAACCAAGAATAGATGTCATGATGGAAGTCTGCACAAACCAGCGAGTTGAAATCCGTTATTGTTCAAACGAGACGGGTCAGCTTACCTGTCTTCCTGAGGTGACAGCCGAGAGCCCCGTCGTCAATGCACCGAGCACCACTTGCATTCCAATAGCGGCCTATCCGCTTTTCAGTTGGTGTTCATTTCCGAATTGGGACTCGGGACAGACATTGATCGCATAGCCGGACATCTTTGCTTTGAATGCATACTTGTCTCGTTCCTGTTTGGCAGATTCGAGTGTTGGATTCAGACGCTCGGAGATGCTTCTTGGACGCTGAGAAGAACGATGAGGGCCATGTGCACGCATCCTGCTGGACCACGCACGGGTTCCCTTTCTCTTCTCGGCATCACCGGCACAATCCAGTCCAGTTCCGACCTTCTCCGCTGCAGCCTATCGTCGTGGGCCGCATCAAGGTTCGTCATCGTGGGCGTGGAGAGCGAGCGCGTGTTGGTGTGCTGGCCGGTAGCGCTCGTCGCTGGATCTCGTTCTTCCACGGGGATTTCCGGCAACGGCGTGTTTCTCCGGGCCTGCAGAGGCCTCGTCGTCGCGGGTGCCCCTGCAATGGTGCCGGCAGGTGTCGGCTCTGTCTCGCGGTGCTCTTGTTCCATGGCCTGGGCCGCTGTTGCAAAGGGACGCGAAGATTCCGTTCTGGGTAGCAAAGATTCGAGCCCGCCATCAGGATTGGGATTGAGATGAAGAGCTTGAGTTTGTACGCGCGGTTCCAATGGGGTGTCCTCCTCTGATCCGTGAACACTGAGGAACTGGGATTCATGCGTGGAAGTAACGTCGTCCAAGCTATGTGGGGGATCGTTGCGATTGCGAGGCCCAGATGTCGATGGTGAGTCCGCCTCTGCCGCGTCTGTAGGCACCTCCTTTTCCTTCCCCTTCTCGTCAGATGCCATGGGAGACTGTGGCTGAAGCGTGGAGGCAATCTGGCAATCTGGCGACAACACAGTACGTATACAACTGCCGTATTCCACACGCGCAGATGTGGACGATCAGACAGCAGGCAGGCTGCAGGAAAGTGCGACGCGTGAAGCCTGGTCATAGACCATAATAGGCTATAAGCTCGAGATGCGGGGGCCGCTTGTCCTACTTCGCCGGGCATCAGGCAGCGAGCAATGACCGAATAATCTGCGGCTCGGTCTCCTTATTCGTAGCACATTGTGCGCGCGCGAAATGTGGGATGCGCAGAATCGGCGAGGCAGGGATGATGCGTGGTTGCCGAGGAACGTCAGATTCGAAAACCGCTGTTGCTGTTTCGAGTGTCATATCATTCAATATAGCGTAAAGGGGATGAATGTGAGAACGGGCGAAGGATTCAAGTCATGGACCGAGACTTCTTAGTGATACGGATTATCATCTTCGGTCAAAGTCACAGTGTGGAAGCAGGTAGACAAGGGGTCACGTGTCTTGATGATACCACAAGTTTACTCGACAACGCAGTTCTTTCTTGGCGGGCATAGTGCTCCATGTGTGCTTCGCGTTCTGGATGAAGGCAACTCCCAGTTCAGAATGATCCGCAACTTAATCGATTCATCCAGCGTGTAATGAAACGTCCGTTGGGTCAGGGCAGCGATCGAAGGTATCTAACCTTGCCACTCCAAGAATATCGCGTCCCACATGAGCCCTCTCCACTGAACATATCTCGTCACAGTGAACCCGATCGTGTTCGTGCCCTCAACGAGTTGAGAAGGATCGATGCTGTACTGGAAAAAGTGCCACTCTCCGCTGATTCGGCTAGAGCGATAGAGCGACGGGTCGTTAGACAGATTGTCTTTGCTCAGAGAGCCCAGAAGGTGTCCATTTACGTCGATATTCAACGCCGTGCTCTGGGAGTAGCTCGCAAGCGAGATGCTGAGCAGGGCCTTGCCGCCCGCGCCATATTTGGCAAGATCCGCGGCGTCAATCTGGAACTGGATGGTCCACGTGCCTAGTGCCGACATGGCGTAGAACCAGTCCTCGCCCGCGCTAGAAGCCCCGACCGTGAACGTCAGATTTGCGGGACTAAGGTCCGTGATCCCGTGCTGATATGGCCAGCCCGAATTCTTGAAGCCGAGGGATTTCTTGTCAAAATCGCCCAAACGGAAGATCGAGGTTCTCGCAGCCGGGAGAGCCCACTCCAATACTCCCAGATCAGTGAGTTGTCCCTCCACAATGCTGATCGGTGCAACGGTGACATTAGTATACACGTCCGCCAGAGATCCACCGTCGGCCCAGACATAGAGGCCATATTGACCGGTCCGGACGTTTTGGAATGAGAAAGCGCCGTCGCCCCCAGCGGTGACTGTGTAATAGTACTTGGCGCCTTGTACCAGAGGTCGAATGGAGGTGTCTGGATCGCCAAGGAACACTGATGCACCACCTCCAATCCGTCCGTCAGATAAACGGAGCCGACCGGCAACGCTCCCTCGCGACTGATATGCAGCGTCTTCATACCAGCTGTAAGGAAAGGCTCCAACTTCTTTTTCACGTTGTTGAACGACATCCGGGAGCGATCCGTTATTCTACATGTCGGCGATGAGTAATGCTGTACGAGATTGTAGTTCTGAAAGGACGCACCAGATACCATAGCCAAGGCCCCCAAGTCTTGCCCTGAGGCAAAGTCTGGTTGCCGACACGGAAGTGGGATGTGTCTTGCACGACATTGAGCTGCACCGAGTCGCCGGTGGAGGATTCACGATGCACCTAGTAATTCTGAGCGTCATTTCGAGGGTGCGACGTTCGCAACACTCACAGTCAGTGTCTGACTGAGCTGACTGCCTGAATAGTATTCGCTGGAGGGGTGGATGAACCACGACCCGACCAGTCCAGGTCCGTAGATCCCGTAATAGTCTCTGTCCCTGACGAAGTTCGACCAATCGTACTTGGTGATGAACGTGCCGTTGGGCAGTTCCCATGTTTCATCCTGAACTTTAATCGAGTTGTTCGCAGAGTACAAGTAGAATGGCGGCAATGGTCCCTCCTTGATGTTGGTGCGACCATTCAGGAAAAGGTCAGGATTGAGCCGCCACAGAGAGCGGAAGATCTCGAGGTACGGAAGGTCCTTCCCGACAAAGTATTGGTAGGCGCCCCGAAGTCCGTCGAAAACGACCCAATGAAAGTCGCCCTGTGTCGCAGAGAATGAGATGTCGATATAGTCGGCTCCCTCGGCGACGATAGTTGCAGATGTCCATTCGAGATTATTTTCCCCATCTGTTGGGTTGTCACGAGAGTTGATAATCGACTACGGAATCTTCACGTACCGATGCCAGCATAATGTCCAGCCGCTGTTCCCACCAAATCCACCCCTGGAACGAGATCCGAATATAGCTGAGTGGCGTAGAACGGTCCCTGAGTTACGTTCCAAAGATCATTTCCAAAAATCCAAGTCTGATTAGTGGTCTGCTTCAGAAAGGGCCCTTTAGCGATGACCGCAGCGGCGAGGGACACGACGGCGAGAGCACGCAACATTCTCGGTGTATTTCGAAGCCTCACATGCTGTAGACGCACTTATATCCTGGAGTTCTTGACGCTATATCACGTCAAATGTTCGTCAAGAGCGGGCAAAGATGTGCAAGTTTCGAATCTGATGCAAACGAGTTCTGCGCATGTGTTCTCGGAGCTATTCCAAGGGCTCAGCGTGAGAGAGTGCAGTCGGATGGATTTGAGCCGCGAGACAGGACGCCAGGGTCCATGGAAGTCCCGAGAATGGTTGCATTCCTGTGCTGCTGCTGCTGAAGAAAGTGCTAAGAGAGGGAGGGCACCAGGGCCAGGCACTGCTATGACGCCATATTGTGTCGGGATCAAAAAGAAGCTCAATAAGATTCCGACAGTGCATTTGTCAGTATCTGCGACGGATGTTTCCAATGTTGATTGGCATGAGATGTAGAGTAACCGGGAAAGACTAGGGAAGCTATAAATTTTACAATAAACGAATGTGCGTGACGAGTCGTAATGTATTCTTGACGGAACGGCGAGCTGGACAATGGCGGCGCATGGAAGCGTGCAACAAGAAAACCACTGGTGTAAGTCGAAAAGAGAAAAGTTGCAAAGTCTGATATCTATTCCTCGGGGAGTTCCTCTTCGTACTCGAGATCTTCCTCGATGCTGTGAGAAGCTATCAGTTACTGAAAGTAAACAATACGGAGGACTTGCGTTGCATCTTGGTATTGCTGGTACTCGGCAACAAGATCCTGCATGTTGGACTCGGCTTCGGTGAACTGAGATGAAGATGTTATTCTCTGAAGAGACAATCAAAATGCGCATATACTCACCTCCATCTCATCCATACCCTCCTGAGTGTACCAGTGCAGGAAGGCCTTGCGCTTGAACATGGCTGTGAACTGGTCGCTGACACGCTTGAATAGTTCTTGAATACTCGTAGTGTTGCCAATGAATGTAACCGCCATCTTGAAGCCGCGCGGGGGAATGTCACAGTGGGCACTGAGAACGTTGTTGGGAATCCACTCGACGAAGTACGCGGAGTTCTTGTTCTGGACATTTTGCATCTGCTCCTCCACTTCCTTCATCGCAACCTTGCCTCGGAAGACAGCAGCGACAGTCAGGTAGCGACCGTGCCGTGGGTCACAAGCTGCCATCATGTTCTTTGCGTCGAACATCTGGGCGGTGAGCTCAGGAATGCTCACCGCTCGGTATTGAGCGCTAGTGCGTGCCGTCAAAGGTGCGAAGCCGGTCATGAAGAAGTGAAGACGAGGGAAGGGGACCATGTTGACGGCAAGCTTGCGCAGATCAGAGTTGAGCTGACCAGGGAACCGCAGGCAAGTGGTAATACCAGACATCACACACGACACAAGGTGGTTCAAGTCCCCGTATGTGGGTGTCGAGAGCTTGAGCGTGCGGAAGCAGATATCATACAGAGCTTCGTTATCGATGCAGAAGGTCTCGTCAGAGTTCTCGACGAGTTGATGAACAGACAGGGTAGCGTTGTACGGCTAAAATGTTCAGAGAAATAGGGGCTGATGTTTGTCGTGTTAAGACACGCACCTCGACGACTGTGTCCGACACTTTGGGACTGGGCACAACAGAGTATGTGCACATCATTCGGTCGGGGTACTCCTCGCGAACTTTGGATATCAAAAGCGTTCCCATTCCAGAACCGGTTCCACCACCGAGAGAGTGGGTGATTTGGAATCCTGCGCATCCACTGAAGCGCGGCCCTTTGAATTGAGAGTGGAAAACGCACCCTGAAGACAGTCAGTTCCCTCCGCCTCCTTTCGGACAACGTCCAACACGGCATCGACGAGCTCAGCGCCCTCTGTGTAGTCTTCGAAAAAGATGATATTCAGAGTTGTGACAGAAAAACGCGTAAGAACACGACGTACGTCCTTTCGCCCAGTTGTTTCCTGCACCATTTTGACCAAACACGAAGTTGTCTGGACGGAAGAGATTGCCCAGAGGGCCAGACCGCACGGAGTCCATTGTTCCCGGTTCGAGGTCGATCAGAACCGCGCGCGGGACGTACTTGTTCCCCCCGACTTCATTGTAGTAAACTGAGATTCGCTCCAGCAGGAGGTCGTTGTCACCGCTGTAGAGACCATCGCCACCGATACTGTGTTCGTCTGAAAGGACTTCCCAGAACTTGGAACCTAGCGCGTGTCAGAGACCTGGCCACGCAGGGAGGCTGAGGGACAGACCGATCTGGTTTCCGCACTGGTAGTCACATATTCAGACGCCAGCATGACGCGACAAAGGGAGGAACGTGCATACCTGGCCAGTTTGAAGGTGGACGATTTCACGCATGCTGCAGAAGACAATGAGCACAATGAAGTACTTTACGACGCGTCTGAGACGTGTGCTCGAGCCATTCAGCGAAGAAAGGACGCACTTACGTTGAGACACAAGAGAAAGGGACAAGGTTGGACTGGTCCCATTCTGTTATTGGCTGTTGATTGATGAGCGTCGGCAAATCCCGTGCATATCCAGACGTTCTAAGTAGTATCCACTGGGTTACAGGGCGATTAAGTACTATTGACAGAAATGCAAGAGGTACAATGACATGGACATGAGAGTGTACGAAGGTCCGTGAATCCTAGTCCGAGAATGATCAGATTAATGGTCGTAAGGTGTCTTGTATGTTTCATGCGGATATCCTGAGGCCTCCAATGCAGCCTCCTGTGCGAATGCTGTCGAGGACTGCAAGCCCTGGTGCTTGCCCAAAAGTGACATCATGGCATCATCAGGCCCGCGGGGTGCGGCATCGTCATCAAAGCTGGTCCCGTAGTCATCAGCCACGATCGCTCCCGTCCGCTTGTCGAGTCTGAATCGGAGACCGTGCAGCTTCTTCTCTATCACTTCGGGGCTGTCGTATCTGCAAGAAAATCAGCTCTGTCGAAGGAAGGTGATGCGGACACAAGTTACGGCAGAAGCAATTCACCCCAGCCCGAGCGGTTGGTGAGAGCAACGGCGGTAGCAATGGAACCGGGTGGGGAAGCCAAAAAAAATTCCTTCTTTGACGTCGGTGGATGAGCTGCAAGAATATACCCAAGAAGCCTGCAAAGAATAGCAGGAAGGCGAGAAAGTGGCCGGGAAGAGAACTGTGAGTCGTCAGTTAGCCGACGGCGCAGTATCTGAACGGAAACAATCCCTACTCGATGATGAGTCTGGGAACTATCTCTGACTGCGTGGAAGACAGTGTCTGGTTCTGGTTCACGAAATAGATGGATTTGGCTGTGACTGCGAGATGTTGTCTCTACTCTGGTGTTAACAGCCACAACGAGATGGGATTCGGAAACTCACATAAACATTGCTGGCAATGTCTAAAAACCCGTTTGGCTCGCCGAATATTGCTTGCAATCCATTTGCACTTTGAAGAGCAGATCGGAATATCGCACCGGGCACTCCCACACGAGTTGCCGTTGCTCGAGCTTGGATGAACGGATCCACATTGGGGCGGAAGATGACGCTGTGGAAATCTTGATTATTCGGACAGTATGCCGAAACAGAGGCTTACGCGTTATATGGGACCCCGTTAATGGGCGGGCCCGTGACATTGTTTGCTACGAGATAGTCTGAGGCGGGGACGACGCCAGTGAGAGCCCCGCTCGCCAGATCTGCAGTCGCGTGGACATAGAAGAGGTCCATACTGGGATCACAGAAGACCGCTCGGGCCTTGTTGCTGCTTGTCTGATTCTGGAAGAACCAGAACACGATCGGCTGGAATTGTTCGTCCGTATTCTTTGAGCTTCCGCACGGGGCTGGTGCAACACTGTATTGCAAATCAGAGACCTGAAATCTGTCAATCCAGGCGCGTCTATAACCGTGTAGGATTGTTCGTACATTTGTGGCGATCGTAACAGTTTGTGTGCAACCCGTCAGTGAAGTTGCTGAGATTGTGGAGCTTGTACTGTTGATAACAGTCACGACAGGTGTGGAGGTCTACAAGAGTAAGCAGCGTTCTCAAAAGCCGTTGCTCCACGTACGGGATTAGTGCAATTGGGGTTGCTACGGATGGCGGTCGTGTTCACAGTCATAGAACCATTCAGTCCAATATCTGGAAACTAGAAAACATTAGAACAGGATATACAAGATCCGATGGTAGGTGCTTACGACAAACTGGGCAGTGGACCACCCTTGCGAGACAAAAGGGGGATCGCCGAGATCATTGAACACTGCTGCCTGCACAAACTATACGAGAATGAAGAGAGGTTCATTGCGGCCAATTTCGAGACTCACGCCAGCTGCAGCTGCAAATGCGTTCAATTGGGCCACGTCCGGATCGAGGCCTAGGCTGCGTGTACTTTGAGCTTGGGTATCTGGAAAGATATGAGCAAAGTAGCAAGGTTCCGAAGAGCAACCCGTACATGTGATGAGAACCCCCGTGTGGATCTGGAAAATGGCACCAGCTGGAAAGGATTAGCGGCACCTCGTATGATGGCAGATATCCCACCCAGAGATGCGTAGATATATGTCGAGGCAGCGAGCATTGACGACCAAAAGATAACTCTGTGGTTAAACTTCAAGGCCGCAAGGACACTGGAGGCGGTCCCGAGCGCTGTCTGTTCTCGCTGAGCGTCAGAAACACCGCCCTTGTTGGCAACGTACGTAGTCCATCTGGATGCTCTCCTCCACGGTCGCGTTGCCTCGCAATAGATTGACGTAAGGCTGGCAAGCTTATTAAGGATACTGTCTCCACGATAGAAATGTAGGCGATGGCTCACTTGATACCAGCGGATCGTCCAATCCAAGTTTCGCCAGAAGTAACCAACAGGTATCACGAACCTAGGCGTAAAATTCAGCCTTGAAGCGTCTTGTGGTAACGAGGAACGTGCAAACTGGGGACAAAAGACTGGAAGGAATGTGAACCTCAATTGAGCGAGCTAGAACACGACGCACGAGTAGAAATTGTGGTGAAACACTAGTGAGAACATTTTTCTTGGGGACCGAGAAGCCTAATAAACCGTCAGCTGCGACTGGAAGTGTTGATCCACCTATGAAACGCACCGCCATTTCTAGATGATATGTGTATACTGCGACTGCGTCAGCGGGTTGCCATGTACAGAAACAACGGACACGCTGGGTTGAGTGAATATCGTCGTTCCAGACAGACAGATCTCATGCAGAACCAACTTCCATCCCAAGACGATTCCGTTGCCCCGAAGCTGCTACTCACCCAACTTCCAGCGCGATTCCCAAGAGCAGCATCAGGACGGGAGTTCCAACAGCCACCGGTAGCCACAGGTAGATAGAGTCCTTCCTCAAGCCGTCAGCTCTACTGTACGCTCGCAAATGGCGCACACACGTAATTCTTGGGTCGATCTTTACCCGAACTCGGCGTCGGGATGAGGTGAGTGGACTCGCGGAAGCGTTTAGTTGAAGTGGTGCTGAATCGAGTTTCGCTGGTCGTGAATGGCGTTCCCGGAGGAGTATCCACATGAGAGCCAGAAGCAGCCATTACTAGGTAGAAGAAGAAGCGATGAGCCTAACCCCGAGGCTATTCGACCTTATGAGGTGGATGTCAATCATCACACGGTGTCACTGTTATGGAGGACTCGATCGGATGCACGCCGAGCACAGCTTCACTGCAGTCTCTTTTGTTCTCGCCCCCGAGGCCGCCCTGCGATCGTCGAGCGTCAAATTTGCATCCTTGCGTGCACTCCAATCCGTTTCGACAGCTTCGAAAATTTATGGTCATCTATCGTCTGTGATTTCCACCGCATGGATCTTTACCGGTGTGAAAGTGAAACGGAACAACGGCCACTACACGTCCATCTTCCACGTACTTCCTGACCTATTACCGTTGCGCCAAAGTCTCGGAGGACGTCGAGACCCTCTAGAATCCATTTCGTCCGGCATGGCGAATTCTGGGACCTTAGAACCTCTAATTTCTTGGAAGTATACGCGTAACCATATCATCCACTTGGTGCCATTGAGACGTCACGATTCCTTTTTGCCCTCTTGCGTGCATGCTACAGCACTGTCATTGAAACTCAAAGCCATGCACAACGCTGGCGCACCTCAGGCCTCAGTGCTCACATGCGTAGGATGCACATCATGCCTGATTTCTTAGCAAAATCGGGTGAGCCATCCCCACCGTCTCGGGCGGCCGTGTTTACAATGGAAGACTGGTCCTCAAAGGCATGTGAAGATTCCCAGAGACTCTTCACTCTCTCAAGTCCCAGCCAGCCAGGCATCGGATTCTTGATTCACGCTGGCTCATGTAATAAATGACCAGACAGGCAGAGTACGACGGCATTGTCATACGTTGCCTGATCGGACCTCATCTTATCACAGCGATCATCAGAGTGGCTATGTCGATTTTGTCGATTGTAAAAGACAGCGACAAACAATCGCGATTTATATAGATCGGCAAAATCCATGAAAATCTTCTTCCTCTCCACCAACCGTGGAGGGGAAGACTTTGAAATAAAATGTCTAACCCGGTTCTTCCACTGCCTTTCCGGCCGACGCTCGCGCGCATGACGACATTCAGCGATCCGTCCTCTCCCATTGTTGGCTCAACAACTGCTTTGCCAGATGCCATCCTAGAGTTGAGCGACGGCACCGCCCTCCGTGGCATTAGCTTCGGAGCCCAGGCCAAGAGTATTGCTGGAGAGTGTGTCTTCCAAACTGGTTAGTCTAGCCCTCCAGCAGGTGATAAAGTTATGCCAACCTAATATAGGCATGGTCGGCTACACCGAGTCGCTTACCGACCCATCCTACGAGGGTCAGATCCTCGTGCTCACTTATCCTCTCGTCGGAAACTATGGTGTCCCCGAGCGCCCGGCGGATATGCTCGAGACGCTCCCTGCTGCATTCGAATCGTCTCGAATTCATATCGCCGCTCTCGTCATCGGCTATCACTCAGATGACTACAGCCACTTTCTTGCCAAGTCAACATTGGGAGCATGGCTGAAGGAGAATGGAGTGCCCGCCATCTATGGCGTCGACACGCGTGCTCTCACCAAGAAAATTCGCGAGCAAGGCTCTATGCTGGGGAAACTTCTGGCTCGCAAAGTCGGAGCCCCTGTGGGTCGCGCGCGCTCCCTCATTCCGGCTTCGGCTGCCCCCTCTCGGGCACCTTCACGAACATCGTCACCCCCCGGTGGAACGTGGCGCGAAGATTATGATGACATTCCTTTCCTGGACCCCAACCAGGTTAATTTGGTCGCTGCGGTATCCATTTCCACACCGCGACTGTACAAAAGTACCACTGCTACACCCCGCTTGCATCCCACTGGTCGCCCACTCCGAGTTCTGGCCATCGATGTGGGTATGAAGTTTAATCAAATCCGCTGTTTCATCGAGCGCGGAATGGAACTGAAGGTCGTCCCGTGGGACTACGACTTCTTGAACGAGGCCGAACCTTATGATGGCATCTTCGTCTCAAACGGACCTGGAGACCCATCGATGCTCAGCGACACCGTGTCTCGTCTCGCGAAAGCACTTGCAAAGGCCGATCGACCCATCTTCGGTATCTGTCTCGGTCATCAGTTGCTTGCTTTGGCTGCTGGCGCCAAAACCTCGAAGATGAAATACGGCAACCGCGGACATAACATTCCGTGTACTGATGCGCTCTCTGGACGTTGCTATATCACCAGCCAGAACCACGGATTCGAGGTAGACTCGTCCACCCTCCCGAGCGGCTGGAAGGAGTTGTTCAAGAACGCCAACGACGGCAGCAACGAGGGAATTTACTGCGAAGACAAGCCCTTCTTCTCGGTGCAGTTCCACCCCGAATCGACACCTGGTCCCCGCGACACCGAATTTCTCTTCGATGTGTTCATCCAAAACGTCGCCGATTGTGCGACCACCAATGCGCTTATTCCGATATCCATGCCTGGTGGGAAGAAGGAAGACAACGAAAAGCGCGTGCCTCGGGCTAGTGTGTCCAAGGTTATCATCCTCGGCTCTGGCGGCCTCTCCATCGGGCAGGCGGGCGAGTTCGACTACTCGGGATCTCAAGCAATCAAAGCTCTCAAGGAGGAGGGCATTTTCACGATCATGGTCAATCCCAACATCGCCACGATTGCTACCTCCAAGGGTCTCGCGGACAAGGTCTACTTCCTCCCCGTCACCCCCGAGTTCGTGCGCAAGATCATCAAGTACGAAAAGCCGGATGGAATCTACGTCACATTCGGAGGCCAGACTGCCCTCAATGTCGGTATCAAGCTCAAAGATGAGTTCGAGTCGCTTGGGGTGAAGGTCCTCGGCACCCCTATCCAGACGATCATCACGACCGAGGATCGGCAGCTGTTCGCGTCTGCAATGGCCGAAATCGGCGAGAAGTGTGCCGAGAGTGCGACTGCAACCAATCAGGAAGAGGCGATTGCTGCGGCCCAATCGATTGGGTTCCCCGTCATCGTTCGTGCTGCCTATGCGCTCGGTGGCTTGGGCTCGGGTTTCGCTCAAAACGAGGCTCAGCTGAAGGCGCTGTGTAGCAAGGCCTTTGCGACAAGTCCCCAGGTGTTGGTCGAGAGAAGTATGAAAGGGTGGAAGGAGATTGAATACGAAGTGGTGCGGGACTGCCGGGACAATTGTATCACTGTTTGCAACATGGAGGTGCGCCCATTCGCTTGCTATCAAGACCTCGCAGGTCTGATATTTGACTCTAGAACTTTGACCCGCTCGGAATCCACACTGGTGACTCGATCGTCGTCGCACCTTCGCAGACGCTGTCGGACTCGGACTACAACATGCTCCGTACGACTGCTGTGAACGTGATTCGGCATCTTGGTGTGGTCGGAGAATGCAACATCCAGTATGCCCTCAACCCCACTTCCCAAGAATATTGTATCATCGAGGTCAGTGCTACTTCCTCCCCTTTGCTGCGACCTTTTTGAACGCAATGATTTTCGTAGGTCAACGCTCGGCTCTCTCGCTCTTCCGCTCTGGCTTCGAAGGCGACTGGGTACCCGCTGGCCTTCATCGCTGCCAAACTCGGACTGGGAATTCCTCTGAACGAGATTAAGAACTCGGTCACGAAAGTCACGTCGGCGTGCTTCGAGCCCAGTTTGGACTACGTTGTTGTCAAGATTCCGCGCTGGGATCTCAGCAAGTTCAGCCGCGTGAGCCGTTTGCTGAGCAGCAGCATGAAGAGTGTCGGTGAAGTGATGAGCATCGGAAGGACGTTCGAGGAGACCCTGCAGAAAGCGATCCGGTCTGTGGATGATCATTTTGCAGGATTTGGCAAGGTGGGCCTTACGTTTCGGTGATGTTCTCTTCAGTGCTGAGACCCTGATAGAACGATCTCGTGGAGAACATCGACGAGGAATTGGAGAACCCTACAGACAAGCGCATCTTTGCGATCTCGACTGCATTCTATCGTGGATACAGTGTAGACAAGATCTGGCAGATGACCAACATCGACAAATGGTTCCTGCGCAAACTGCAGAACATTTTCAATATGGAGCAGAAGCTTTCGTGAGTGGCTTGTCGTCTTTGTTGCTTTCCCTTCAATCAATTTTTCCTCAGTGAGCTGAACGTATCGACCATCACGCCCGTCCTCATCAAGCAAGCCAAGCAGCTTGGATTCTCCGACAGACAACTAGCCCACTGCATGGGGTCGACCGAATTGGCTGTCCGCCGGCTTCGTCAGGAATCAGGAATCGCACCTTTCGTCAAGCAGATCGACACGGTTGCGGCCGAGTTCCCAGCATTCACCAATTATCTGTACACGACATACAACGCCTCGCAGCACGATGTCGAGTTCAACGATCGGGGTGTGATGGTCCTTGGATCTGGTGTTTACCGCATCGGGTCGTCCGTCGAGTTCGATTGGTGTGCTGTTCGAGCCATCCGCACTCTCCGCGATCAGGGTCTCCAGACGATCATGGTCAACTACAATCCCGAAACGGTCAGCACGGACTACGACGAGGCCGACCGACTCTACTTCGAAAACATCAGCGTCGAGACTATCTTGGACATCTACGACGCTGAGCGATCACGTGGTGTTATTCTTTCGATGGGTGGTCAGACACCGAACAACATCGCGCTACCACTCTATCGCCAAAATGTCAAGATCTACGGAACCTCGCCTGAAATGATCGACACCGCAGAGAACCGGTACAAGTTCTCGCGACTGTTGGATGAGATAGGTGTGGATCAGCCCGAGTGGAAGGAGTTGACGAGCTTCGACGAGGCCGAAGCCTTCTGTGAGAGAGTCGGATACCCTGTGCTGGTCCGGCCGTCGTACGTCTTGTCAGGCGCTGCGATGAACGTTGTCTCTTCTGGCGACGACCTCAGCAACTATCTGACGCAGGCGACGGCTGTCTCACGGGATCACCCTGTCGTGATCACCAAGTACATCGAGCAGGCCAAGGAGATCGAGATGGATGCCGTGGCCAAGGATGGCAAGATGGTCATGCACTTTATCTCTGAGCATGTCGAGAATGCCGGTGTTCATTCTGGCGATGCCACGCTCATCCACCCGCCGCAGGACCTAGACCCGACGACCGTCCGTCAGATCGAGGAAGCCACCGCGAAAATTGGTAACGCTCTCAACGTTACGGGACCGTTCAACATCCAGTTCATCGCGAAGAACAACGAGATCAAGGTGATCGAGTGCAATCTGCGCGCCGCACGCTCGTTCCCATTCGTCTCCAAGGTCACGGGGACCGACGCGATTGAGATGGCGACCAAGGTTATGCTCGGGTTGCCTGTCGAGTCGTATCCTGAGTCGGGCATGCCGGCGGACTATGTTGGGATTAAGGTTCCGCAGTTCAGTTTCAGCCGGTTGTCTGGTGCCGATCCTGTGCTGGGGGTCGAGATGGCCTCCACGGGTGAGGTGGCTTGTTTCGGACATGACAAGTATGAGGCTTATCTCAAAGCACTGATTTCGACCGGCATCGTTCCCCCGAAAAAGAACATCCTGTTCTCGGTTGGTAGCTACCGCGAGAAGCTCGAGATCTTGCCCTCGGTCCAGAGGCTGAGCGCGGCTGGCTACAATATCTTCGCGACCAGCGGCACGGCAGACTTCCTGACGGAGCACAACGTCCCTTGCAAAGTGCGTAGTCTATGGCTTTGTTACGAACCTACTGACCTGTATGCAGTACCTCGAAACGCTGGACGACGATGTGCACGACAAGCAAAAGTCAGAATACTCGCTGACGCAGCATCTGGCGAACAACCTCATCGACATGTACATCAATCTGCCGTCGAAGAACCACTACCGTCGTCCCGCGAGCTACAGCAGCAAAGGATACCACACCCGCCGCATGGCCGTTGACTTTGCGGTGCCACTGATCACGAACATCAAAAACGCAAAGCTGCTTGCAGAGGCTCTGGTGCGGAAATTGCCGTTGGATGTCTCGAGCATCGATTCCAAGAGCTCTCACGGGACACACACATTCCCGGGGCTTATCAGCATCTCGTCTTTTGTGTCCAGCAAGGACGACCTGGTCCCTGTGACGAAAGCGCTGGCCAGCGGGGGATTCACGACCGCCGTCGTAGTACCCAGTGATGCTGCTGGCATCACCGATCTCAACTCACTCGAGCAAGCCCGAGCTGCTGCTGCTGGTTCCGCGCACTGCAACTTCGCTCTGTGCCTGACAGCGACGATCGACAATGTGTCTCTCCTGAACGAAGAGGCGCAGGCTGAAGCCAAGGCGCTCTTTATTCCTTTCTCTGGGGACAAGATCTTGCCATTGTCGAGTGTGGCGACGCATTTCGGCGCATGGCCCGCTGACAAGCCAATCGTGACTGATGCCAAAGGCTCGGATCTGGCGTCGATCTTGCTGCTGGCCAGTCTGCATAATCGCAGTGTGCATGTGACCGACGTCCGCTCTCAAGACGATCTACTGCTCATCTCGCTCAGCAAAGCGAAACTGCTCAAGGTCACGTGCGACGTCTCCATCTATTCGCTATTCTTCTCGCAATCGGATTTCACGGAGAGCAAGTGCTTGCCGAGCGCTGAGGATCGGAAGGCGCTGTGGTCGAAGTTGGATGTCATCGATGCGTTCTCTGTTGGATCGACCCCTCATCGGTTGGCTGTCGAGTTGGGACACAGCGGGTCGACGGTCTCTGGTATGGAGGAAGCGCTGCCGCTTCTGCTGACTGCCGTGCAAGAAGGCAGGCTCACACTCGACGATATCCGACTCCGTTTGCACGACAACCCGGCTCACATCTTCGGGTTGCCAGAGCAGACCAACACACATGTCGAGGTCGCAATCGGACGCAAGGCCAAATTCGGCAAGGAGGGCCCTCTCAAGTCGAGACTCGTGGCTGCATCGATCCACCGGGTCGTTGTGCACGGTGTGACAGCGTTCTTGGACGGATCGCTGGTGTCTGCGCCTCTGGGCAAGGACATCTCCAGTGCCACGATCAGCCACCCGCCAATGGTTGGGCCGTCCGCGCCTTCGGTCAAGGAGGCTGAACACACCAGCAGCATGATGACTCTGCCATCTTCGGCGGCAGTCGCCTCCTCGCTGCTTTCCGTCCAGACACTGACCCCGCACCCGTCGTTCCATCGTCGGCACATTCTTTCTGTCAAGCAGTTCACCCATCAAGACATGTACGATCTCTTCTCGCTTGCACACGAGATGCGTCTGCAGGTCGAGCGGAATGGGACACTCGACATTCTCAAGGGCCGTGTTCTTTGCACCTTGTTTTACGAGCCATCGACGAGGACGAGCTCTTCCTTCGACGCCGCGATGAAGCGGTGCGGTGGACAGGTCGTGCAAATCAGCGCTGACACGAGCTCTGTGGTCAAGGGCGAGAGTCTTCCCGACACGATCCGCACGCTGGGATGCTACGGCGATGCCATCGTCATGCGTCACCCAGCTGTCGGCAGCGCGCAGCTCGCGGCAAAATTCTCGCCTGTCCCGATTATCAATGCTGGTGACGGCATCGGGGAACACCCGACGCAGGCGCTGCTCGATGTGTACACGATCCGTTCTGAGCTCGGCACCGTCAATGGACGCACCATCACGCTCTTGGGCGATCTCAAGAACGGGCGCACCGTTCATTCCCTGGTCACGCTTCTTTCGCTCTACTCCGTGCGCCTCAACTTCGTCTCGCCGCCGTCCCTGGCGATGCCGGCGTCCGTCGTGTCTGCGGCCCGCAAAGCCGGGATCCCCGTGACCCAGTGCGAGTCCCTTGACGAGGTCCTCGCCGACACGGACGTGCTCTATGTGACTCGGATCCAGAAAGAACGCTTCGACAGCGAGGCGGAGTGGGCGTTGGTCAAGGATGCGTATCGCGTTGACCATGCGGTTCTCAGCAGGGCCAAGGAGGAGATGATCGTCATGCACCCCTTGCCCCGGGTGAATGAAATTGATCCCGAAGTCGACTTTGATCTGAGGAGGGCTGTCTACTTCAGGCAGATGCGCTATGGCCTTTTTGTGAGTACCACCCTCTTTTTTTGTTGGTATTTGGCAGAGACTAATGACAACGACAGATCCGGATGGCCTTGTTGGCGAGTGTGATGGCTTAAAAAAAAGTATTAGGAATATCAGTGTAATAAGTAAATGGTCTCGTCGTTCATGGAAATATCTTCCAGTTTCAGCAGGAATGATGGAGGCTTTGTGACGGGCTCAGGTCACAAACTCTCCGCTCAGTGTCATGACATCATCGATTTGTGGTGGGCCGATTTTATAAGTCCTTGCTTTCAACCCATTATTTGGGGATGATGGAACTTTCTTGTCAGATGTGCATCCTTCTCACATGTGCATGCCGCCTATCGAACCCGCATGTTGGTGGAAGATGTGTTTATCCTGGTACAGAAGGCTTGGACGATCGATCTAGCGATTTTGGACTTCCCATTCCTCTTTCACGTGACGACGCGACATCGGTCTGGAGCATTCCAGCATCATCTCAAAGACGTCCACCCCGAGCTCGACCGCGTGGAAATCGCGTGAGATTCTTCGCGCCGAACAGGAAACCGAATACAAACCCTTCGGTCATTGACGTAATACCAATGACTCCCCTCCGACCATTTCTTACTCAGACCTTGCATGCTCTCCAGTATAAGAGGGTCCACGGTCGCCCTAGCGCTCTCTCTACTTGTACTCTCTTTCGCAGCCTTCTACGCAACACCGAAACTGAACGCCGGTCTATCAGTGAAGAACTACAATCTCCGAAACATGGCGACGACAACTACTACTACTACTTCCCCGAGTGCGAGCTCCGTGACCAGGCGTGTGACGAAGAAGGTCCTGGCAGTGGAGCAGCTGGAGGGTGAAGGGGCGCTCGGTGCGTTCGGCAGTCCACTTTGCGATTTGTGCATCGGTGGGCTGACGGTCCCGTAATCAGTGCGGAGAAGTATCGGGACAGATCAATGTACGCGGTGTATCATTGCTCCGTATCCTCTCTAACGATGTGTAGTGCGCAATCTGACGCCGTTCTTAATGCTCGATCACTTCCATGTGTACGCTACAGTGTCGCGCATCCGATGGGTGTATTAACCTGCGAACCAGTAAACCCGGCGCGGGATTCCCGGATCACCCGCACAGAGGCCAATCGACCGTAACCTACGTGCGTCCGTCTCCCTCTCTACATCCTTCCTGCAATACTGAACCGTATGCAGATGCTCGAAGGGTACGCTCTTTTCCCGTGTCTCACACGCGTCGCTCACCCCGCGCAGCACAAGCGACCACGAAGACTCGGCCGGGCACCGGGGCACCATCGAGACGGGCGGCGTGCAGTGGATGGTCGCCGGGCGCGGGATCATCCACGCGGAGATGCCCGTCCACGCGCCCGGCCAGCCCGACCCGCGCGGCCTGCAGCTCTGGGTCAACCTCCCCAAGCAGTACAAGATGGTCGAGCCGATGTACCAGGAGCTGGATGCGGCGGGAATCCCCACGGCGTATCCGGCCGGCGAGGATGCCGGGCTGCGGGTGAAAGTGATCAGTGGGATCAGCGCTGGCGTCGAGTCGCCGGTCCGGTCGCTCGGTGGATGCTGGTATTTCCATTTCATCTGGAACAAGGAGGGTGTCAGCACCTTCCAGGACCTGCGTACGTCGATGTTGTTCGGTCTTCATCACCCCGTGACTGACCGTGAGGCTCTAGCGAAAGGCTGGACTGCATTCATCTACGTCCTGAAGGGGACGTTACTTGTCGGGAACGACTCCATCGCACATAAAGCGTTCCACACACTCGTTCTCTCTGCAGACGACGTCGAGAGCGGCGTGCTTCTGAAATCGGGCACAAATGACACAGAGTTGATGCTTGTGCGTGTCTGTTTTGGCCCTCTCCCCCTCCTTAAACTGATCCTTTGCATCCAAGGCTGCTGCCGAATCCATCGACGAGCCTATCGTACAATACGGTCCATTTGTAATGAACACGCGCGAGGAAATTATGGATACACTCCGTGATTGTAAGTTCGTCTTTTCTCCCCACGCGCATGGAGCTGAGATGCCACAGACCAACTCGGACGGAATGGTTTCGAGAAAGCCCATTCATGGAAGAGTGAGATCGCTCAGCGCGCCTAGTCGTTCGATTATCTATATCATTATTGTCTTTCAAATGGAATGGAGATTAAAGATAAAAGTGCATAAATACAGATGTGCAACGTAAAAAATACAATATGCCAGAGATACATCCAGTCCTCCTGAGTGGTCAAGAGAGAAAATCCCAACTGTCGCCCACCTTCCTCAATCCTTTGAAGAAGCCCTTGGCGACCTTCTTTGCCGTAGGCGGCTTCAAGCTCAGCAGCCTGCTGCCTGAGGACGAGCTGGTTTCTGACACTGCCATAGACTTGCGGGACGCAGACCCAGCCTTGATGGGGATCCGCCTAGACTCCCGCCGCTTGCCGGTAGCCTCGCCTTTGAGTCGCAGAATGGCGTCCCGATTCGCGTTCTCGAAGAAAGTGCAGGCTGCAAGTAGAAGCGCTGCGTCGAGTGCAGTGGCGCGCGCGAGCACTAGATGTAGTGTGATGGTCAATCAGATGAAACATGATAAGCTTGCAGGGAAAGACATACCCTCTTCGTAGGTCGCTGGCGAGATCTGATTGTTGCTGATAATCTTGGCTTGGACAAGCTGGCAGAGCTCTGAAAGGCCCCAGTAATTGGACAAGCTAGAGGATCGACATCAGTGTAAGAAATGCTCAGCGAACAAAGAATCACTCACTCCATGAGATCCAGCAGATCAGCCAGTTTTTCGACACTGGGTGCTTTGGCCTGGTACATAAAGTCCAAGACAGCCTCGACAGTCAGAGCCGAGTACTCCAAATCGACCTCGATAGGATCGTCTGCTGTCCCAGGCCCCGACTCGGTAAAGGACCCACAGAACAGGTCGTTGAGATACTCGCTCATTGGGGCCAGGAAAGCCCGATGGGCAGGAAATCTCGTTCCGTCTTCGGCGTCAGTCGAAGTGGGCTCAGACACAAAGACGACGTCCGTCAGCAGACCCTGCACACGCATACTCTGAAACCCGTCTCTGAGCATTTGGAGCTGTGTCTCCACCGAACTCCGCTCGGTGGCAGGCACCGGCGCGTTCACGATATCGTCAACGCCCGCTACGCTGAGCAAGTCTCTCCACGGGACCAGAAACTTCTTGACCGACTTGAGGTCCCCGCCGTCTAGAATGTTGAAGAACATTTCGTCCGCGCAATGCCACACCCAGCGCTCGGTCCTCGGATCATCGACATTCAGGAAGAGAGGCTGATCGTGCATCTCGACGATGATCTCCTCCGCTAGATGCTGATGGTCGTCGAGCCACTCGTACGTCGCTTGCAGATCGGAGAGCACGTAGATGTCGGAGGGCAGGTCCTGGGCAACCTGCAGAGCAAGCACCCGCAGATGCTCGACGACCTCCCGGGCCGTCGGCTGCCCGAACGTCGGATTCGCGACGAGTAGCCGTTCGTGAGGAGACTCGAGCAGGACACCGCGCTGGGTCCAGCAGACGGCCTCGTGGTCCGCCAATAACGACTCGCTTGGTGTCATCAGCCGCGGGATTGGCTTGACGTATCTCGAGCTGTTCTCGATTCCCATGGTTCGCCGGCGCAGAGTCTCCCTCGGAATGAAGCGGAATTCGTCGAATGTCTTCCAGCCCCCGCGCTCCATGCGCAGCGACATGTCCTCGCCGTAAGCCCTAAAGACAACCCGGGCACGCGCGATAATTTGAGGCTTGTCCATCTCCGCTTGGATCGCACGCGCACAGACACTGAACATGTCGAAATCGAGGTTGCTGTGGCTTTTCAGGCCAAGCGGGACCAGTCGGGGCTCGAGATCTCGGAAGCTGTCCAGGATGAAGTGTTCGGCCGAGAGATCAGAGCCGAAGGCCGCAATGAAGAGCGCGTGCCGAGCATACAGGGTGTTCGCTTTGACAAGATCCCGATTGCCATTCGGGACAAGGCTGATGAAAGTTGAGCATCGGAGATGGGCCTGAAATTAAGCACTCACATGCTATCGCCGTTGAATGTGAAATTCGCGGGCAGTACTCCCAAGAGCTGCTTGTACACAGTCTGATCCTCGACCGTCAGCTTCTGCGGCAGCTTGAGATGGTACCAGAACTGATTGAAGGGCATCGGCGTGACTTTCAGATGCACGAGCGACACATTGTGCTCCACGGTCGGCACACCCATGAACCTCGATGCAACGTCCTTCCCAATCCCGAAGGGCAACATCTTGAGATCCATCGCAGTGTGCAGCTGCGGCTTCTGATCAGAGCTGCCGCGCTGTAGCTTCTTCCAGATCGGCAACTGGCTGGCAATGGGGATCAGTCGCTCGGGGGTGCTCACGGTCTTGCCTCGCGCCCATTCGGCGAGCTGGGCATGTAGCGCGGGGTCCAACTTGGCAAAACGAGACGAAAGCGACGACTCCACCGTCTGGAAGTAATCCAGCACTCGCTCGAAATTCATGCTCTGTTGCGACTTGAGCAGCTCCCGCAGCGCTTTCGGAAGCAGTTCCTTGTTCTCCCGCTGCACAACACACGCCCCGAGGTCCGTGAGGGCGGCGCACAGCCACGCTGGGTCGTTGCTCGTGGCGATAAGCACCGAGTTTGTCCAGCACTTGCTCAGCGATATGTACTGTCCTGGCTTCGTGGTGCGGACGAGCGGATACCGAAGCTGCATCGTATTATTGTTCTTCGGGTCGATCCCGAAATGCGGGTACTCGGCCCAGAACAGCTGCACCCAGGCTTCGTCTTCCGGTTTCAGTTGCTTCTCATCACTGTTGGAGAGCTGCTCCTTCAGCAGCTGCTCGATTCCGAGGTAGTCCAGTTTGACGACGTTGAGACTCGTCGACTTGGGCCACGCCTTCTCTGCGACGACTCCGAACTCAGGTTGGACGAGGAACTCGGCTGGGAACAGGACGCGGTCGGGGAAGACGGGTTTCCAGACGTGAAAATTGGTCGTCGTGGTTGCCTGCAGGGCCAGTGTCCCGAGCTTCCCGTCCCTGAGCGGGACAAGTGGCAGACCAGCCCACTTTCCCAGCTGGTCCTTGGCCAGAAACTCAACGAGGCCCTCGATATCCTTGACGTTAATCTCGCCCTTGCTATATAGGCCCACGAATGATCTCGTCTTGGCCAGCAGCTCCTCGCGCACTAGAGTCTGGTCGACCTTCTTCATCACCGCAGCACACCGCTCCCGCACTTTCTGAGGCAGCATCACGACGTGCGGAGCGTTGAGCCGCGACAAGATCTTCGTCACGCATCCAGGCTCGTCCCAACCGAGCAGCACCTCGCTCGGCTTGAGCTGCTCCCCGGCTTCGAACACACTGGCGCAGATCCGTCGCTTGGTCGTTCCCAGGTGCGCAGCAGAGTAGAACGCGTCCAGGAGATGTTTCGACACCGGATCCTCGTGCTGACCAGCATAATTGCCCGGCCACCACTGCCCATTGCTCATCCGGCCCCGCAAGAGATCCTCCAGCAAGAACAGATATAGCGGCGGTGCGACCGTTGCCAAGAGCCAGGAGTTGTATTTGCTCTCCAGATTGGCATAGTCGTCCAGCCGGATGTGCCTCCGATCAGGTGTCAAAATGAACGATGCGGTAACATGCACCGGTAAACTGGTCGACATAGGCAACGGCAGAGTGGAGAAAAGCCGCGAGCGCTGGGTGTTGGTGATAGGACTGGTGCTGGCGTCCATCGGCGCCGCCATTCCAACAACCACGGGCGACCTCAACCGATGCGGCTCGATCAATGGCAAGAACTCGCTGGGGATATCTTTCAGAGGCATTGCGGTCGAAACGACCCTGTAGTCGTCAGTGCTCCTGCTGTCCTCAAATTTCACATGCACGATGTGGGTGCGGAAATTGAAGACCGCTTTCGCGGGCTCGTGGAAAGCGCTGATAGACCAGTCGGCTGTCTCCCGGCCTGCAGCGGTTCGGCACGACGTAGAGATGCGCTCGAGCTTGGTGAACAGCAGCGAAAGCTTGGCCGTTTCATACCACGGTCGCAAAATTCGTTCACGGATATACTGCGTCGTATACTTGGTGACGTTGCTAATGATGGAGTTCGGATTGAGATGGGCATTGCGCCGAAATGGAAGGCGGAAGATCGTCCCGTTGTAGGCGGCCTTGGAGTTGATGTTGAACCCGAACAGGCCCTGGATAGCCTGAAGGTGATCCGGATACCACCGTTTGAGCTGCTCCAGAGGCAACAGAAGGGAAGCTCTGCCTGATATCGATGAATGAACTCGAGGCGTGTTCTCAAATACAAAGCAGACCGCGTACCTTGTATGGGAAGATGACTCTTGGATGGATCCAAGAACAGGACCTGAGAACCTGAGACGACCATCGCCATCTGTATTACAGATCATTGAGTTAAGAGCCCAAAGCGAGAAGCATCAGATGACCAACCTCGGTGAAATGGAACATGGACAGCGCCCCCAACCCAAACTGCCCAATGGTATTCGTTTTCCCCTCTTTGCCGCCGACTCCAGTCCGACAGATCCCGTCAAAGTCCTTGCTTGTGAATACACCGCTGTTCCAGAGCACCAGCGCGCCCCCGGTTTGGAATGCCGCCATCGAGCCAGCCAACAGCTTCTCGGTGGGTGCGTTCTTCTCGTCGACCATAATCGCAAAGCTGGACGCCCCGGCATCAGCTGCGTTGGCCAGGAACTCGCTGCAGATCTGAGCCTCGGAGTATTGCTTCAACGTGTTCCGGATCGTTGTCGTCAGTGTCTCGCCCATGTCGATCCCGGGGCTCAGCTCAACCGACTTGAAGCCCAGGCGATCCATCAGCAGTTGTTTGCTGAGATCGTCAGACAGTTTCGGATGCGCGATATGGGTGGCAGTACCCAAGTCGATCAGGCATGCACGCTCCCCCACGTCGTTGAAATACACCTGCGAGATCGGCCGCAGAATTCCGGTCGTGTCGGGGACGAGAAGATCACTTCGAGACACGGATTTGAGGTCGGCGGCGAGAGCCGCAAGGACTAACAACGCTTGGTTGACGATGTCGCGAGAACGTGATCGTGCTTCCAGCGACTTGAGCTCAGTAAGCAGGATAGGTGCGGAGGGCCTGCGTGTGTTTGAGCGTACAGCATGAGAAAACGGGGAGAGTCGCACCGGTCAGTACAGCCCATCTTTGACAGAAATGCCTTCGTCTCTGGCCGATCACCCAGCCCGAATGGAATCTG